GAAGCTGCAGACCCCAGTTAGCCTTCTCCAGCTCTGTTGAGTCCTCCATGGGTTGTGGAAGAGGCTAGATAGCTAGATACCATTGCAAACTCACCTGTGTGATAGTTCCTTTACTGCCGGAACAAACCTTGCTGATCCCTGTAATTATCATGCACGCATTCTGCTGCAGCAGAGGGCTTTTTGTGCCACCTTGGGGTAATTATTCATTGTTGTGGATTGAACTGAAGCCAGGATGTTGTGAAAGAGGTGAGGAGGGTTGGGGATTTCTCCAGGTGCCAGAAGCACTTGCCCCTAGAGGCAGTGATAATTGGAAGCCCTTCGGCATATTTAAGCAGCTCAAGGCACAGCTGGTTGCCTGATGTGTAGCAGAAACTGCTGGCAGGTTACTAGATGTTATGGCAAGTCTTTGGCAGTGTTTCACAATAGAGCTGTGTACAAAATGACCTTGAAATTCTCCATCCTACTTGTGGGCAGAGAATCTGAGGGGATCGTTTCACTGCCTTTCTCTGGGATGGTGGAGAAGAATTCTCTAACAATTTCTCAGAGCATAGGGCTTGCTATTAGCAATTGTACAGTGTCTCTCTTTTTTCAGTGTTTTGTATTTGCTGCCACTATAAGTGGGACCAGCAGATCAGACCCCAAAGATCAGACTTTTTGTGATAAGGAAATGCACTGGAAACTGGGCTAATGCTTGATGCGGAGCCGGCTGTCCAACTCCCCCACAAACTAATCAGAACAAATGCTCAATAAATAGGTGACCTGGAAGAAATCTCCGTTGGCAGCCATTTTGCAGCCTGACCTAACATCATTCCAGGGCATTGTTGTGGGGGAGGGGAAAAATTGTGTTTGCTGCCAAAAAAATTAAAAGGTGGCGTGTATTCAGAGAAAAAGAAGCAAAATGGCCGTCTTTTTCTGGAGGGGTGTATGAGAGAAAGTTTTTGGGATTTTTCTTTTTCTTCAGTTCAGCTCTATTCAACACATGTTTGTAATGGTGTTTTAGTTGAGACAAAGTTCTAGTTAAATAATTTAAATATTCAAGGGTTCTGCCCCTCAGAGAGGGCCCTGTTAACAACAAATCTTACCCAACAGGGCTTTCTCTATATTATATAGAAGGACTGTGTTTGATTTACCATTTTTACCCATCCGAAAAGTGATGCTGCTGTTTAAGCCAGAAGATTCATGGGAATAATAAATAAAATAATTGCTCTCATTAGACTGTGTGTGTGTGTGTGTTGTTGTTTTCATACTCTTCTTAAATATATTGATGTGATTTGCCTGAGTCCCTTGTAATTCTTGGGTCCTAAATCCAGCAAGGGTTAAAATCTAATGGAGGATTCAATTGTTGAAGTAGCCAGGCCAGCTTCTAGGTGAGTTAATAGGCCTAAGCTTAGACGTTAGTATAACAATGGAAGTGGCTTTGTGCCAGAAGCCAAATGGATGGGCCCCCTCCCTCACCTGGCTAGTAGTGAGAAAGACAAAAGCCAAGGACTTGTGTGTGAGAGCTGAAAGCAGGCTGCAGGCAGAAGCCAGAGAATGAGAGTCATGCTTCATTTCTGTTTGAACCCATGGCTGTGACTATGGGAGAAGCAAGATCTTCTTTGGTGTTAATGCTGTGAGCCCCTCCATCTTAGGCTCAGGTTGCATATTTGTGTAAATAAACCATATACCATAAAGACACCACAGTCTCCGCTGTCCCTCATTCCAAGGAAACCGAACCGTAGGTGAGCATTTGGAGCCCCTGGAACCCCATACCGCTTGGAGATTGGAGTGATATGCAACAATGATTAGTTTAGCAGAGCATCTTGTTAACTCCTAAAGGTTGAAAAAGAAATATTGCTTAGGACCGTATGAAAAAAATAAAAGACTAAGGGGATGATCACCTAAGCATCAGATTTATCTTCTGCTGAGGATAGTATTAACACCTCTGAACAGGTGTTATTCCACCTTTACCATAAATCCGCTGGGAAGGTAAATCTGCTTGAGCTTCTAGTCTGCAGGGGGTAGAAATACCATTACTTTAATGTTATACTACACCTTCCAATTCAACTAGTGATTTGGATGGATCAGAAGAAACTAGAACCTGAAAGCAATGCTCATGCCCAGCTTACCCAGTGGGGAGGCTGGAGCCAGCGTCAGAGCTGTTTCTGAGCCCGGAAGATGTGGTGGTATTCAACTAAGTTATGCTCAGAGTAGACCCATTGAAATTAAGCGACATGACTAAGTTAGGGCCATTCATTCCAATGGGTCCGTTCTGTGTAAAACATAGTTGACTGCCACCACATATGTTTAAAGCACTCTTACACCACTTTAACAGTGATGGAGACTCCTGTGAACTGTAGCTGGTTGTTAAGGGTACTGGGAATTGTAGGTCATTGAGGCTAGTTCCCTGAACCAACTGCAATTCCTAGGATTCTTTGTGTGTGGCTCCCACCATGTGCACAACATCATGTGTACATTGGGTCGTATACATGTGTGCTGGGTATTAATAACTCTCTCACCTGAAGGAGGACTGGAGGCTGTATTTATCATTATGGCTGCTGGCTGTAAGCCTGAGTCCATTGCACATAGAGCACGATAAAAGTTAAATGCCTTCTCTGGGACATTGATTTCAGTGGGAGAGAGTTATGTAGGAGCTTAACTGTCTTTCACATGGCTGTTGAAATCAACAGGACTCCAAAGTGCTTCCCTTTGGCTAGATTATGGTCTCAGAGTCTTCCAGTACTTCTTACCACATGAATTGGTCTTGAGCTTCACATTATCCACACACCCCCACCCCAGTACAGACCTTCTCATCCATTGTGAAAATATAAACCTCTTTCACAAACCTTCACAGCAGCATATTCTTCATGTCCTTGTACAAGAAGACCAGCCTCTTGTTTGTGATGAAACAGATTCTCAATTGGATTGATGTGTAAGGAGTAGATTTGAGATCAGTAGGTGTAACAAGCAGGACTCCCTAATTTACAAAGATGTTTTCAATGAATGAGTGTGGCTCAAGTCTCACAAGAGACATTAGGGAATGCAGGGCCTTCATGGTGCTGCTTTCCTATTCAAAGCATATGTCTCTGATCATAAGTCATCTTTGAAGGAAATCAATGATCTTTGTTTCCTGACAGCTTTTCTTACTGTTCCCAGGAACCGCTTTCTATCATTTCTCAAGAGGGCATTAAAAATGTTAAGCACTCTCTCTCTCTCACACACACACACACAGCTTGTTTATATATTACACGCTGTACGATTCACTTACAGAAAGATTTTGGTGCCAAATTACAGCTTGGCTGCTGTGAAAACATCTCCTTTCACACCCTAGAAAACAAATGCTTCTCAGCCGCTCTGGGCAATTAATTGTTCTCAAAGATCCAGTGGAATAGAGGTGATCAAAATAAGATGGGTGAAGATTTCCTTGGCATTTGTGCCGATTTCTATGGTGACCGCATAGATTGCAAACAATAAACAGCTTACAATGCTTTTCTAAGGAGAAAACAGACTGCCTGTGTTTAGTTTTGTCAATGTGACAGAAACCTAAACTGGAGATGGGAGACTTCTGTGTTTTCACAATTCGCTAATTGCGATTTTAAAGCTTTCCTACTTCCTTGCTTTCCCCACTTCCAAGTACATTTTGAAGCAAAAAAGAAATGGTGAATCCAACTCCAAACAAAAAACCCTTTCAAGAAAACAGAATATAGTTCACTGCTGCATTGCAGTAAGAGTGTAAAAAACCCCCAAACATTTTTGTTCTTTGTATTTTCTTCACTGCAAGACTACGCAGAGAAAGAAGTATTATGCGATTCATTGTCCAATGCTAAGAGCAGCTTGACTAAATAAACATGGTGAATTGCCCAGCAACATCCAGAGATGTCATGGTAGCACAATGGTGCAAATGTATAGCAAGAGATACAGGAAATGTAAAATGGGCTCCACAAGGAATCTTGTGATGGAATTCTGGTGTCCATAATCATAATTCATTTTTGTTGTATCCCTGGTTGTGGGAAGCAGATTCAAACTGAATTCTGGATTATAGAAATGCTTGCATTATAGGCAAATGTTCCCATTCAAAATTCAAATGCCCATACTGGAAACACTCCTGTAAGACATCCAGCAGAGTGCCTGATTTTTGTGAATATGATTTTCTTTACTTTTCATTTTGGTGCTTTGTGCTTAAAGCAGCAGGGGTCTCAAACTGAGAATCCTGGCATCAGTTCTCAGGAGCAGCTCTCCATTTTACTGTGTTGGCTTGACAGAAGAAGGAATTTATTTACTTTATTTCATACAAATTATATACCCCTTGATTGGAAAAACAACCACCACCACCCTGGTCAAAGTGATCTTGCTAGTCTGGTTTCTGCTATACTCCAGCATCACCACCTATTGGCCTATATTTATGGTCATATAAAGCTTTTGACATTGGACTGCTCCTCAATATGAGTAACTTGTGAACAAACAGCTCTTAATATTGTCTGCCTGGTTATTCATGTATCTGATAAACTGCTTGTGAATTCGGTATATGTCCACCTACACTCCATAAACCCAGGCGCCTTTCTCTCCCTCAGCACTGTGAATGAGCCCTGTCATTTTCAGTTCCCTGAAGAGTAATTGACAAAACTCAGTCACAGAACTGTGGCAGGCCATTTAGGACAAAAAATTAAAAGATGTGTTCCCCTTCTTAAGGCTGGAGCATTTGAAAAAAAGCTTGTGGCGGGGGGAGTGCAGATTGGTTATTTGTTACTTGTTTAACTCGTTAGTAATCTAACACAAGCTAGTCTCTAGGTGACTTGTGCAATCAAGTTTAAAAAACATACAAAATTGTTAAAAATGGTCATCAGAATTTAACAAATCAATACAAAAACACCAATCTTCACAGGGGGTGAGGAGAACCTTGTCAGGAACCTTAACCCAGTTGGATCATATCCCATCAAATGCCTGGGAGAAGAGGAAAATCTTAACCTGGCACCAAAAAGCTGTGTTGGTGCCAGGTAGGCCTCACTGGGGAGATCATTCCACAGGCAGCGGGGCTACAACAAAAAAGGCCTTCTCCTTTGTTGCCACTCTCCAAGCCTCTCTCAGAGGGGTACCCAGAGAAGGGCCTCAGAGGGTGCCATCCTTTCTCATAGTGGATTGTAGGGTGAGCTGCTGGGCAAAGAAAAAAACAGGTAACTTTCTTTCATTGAACTTACTTTCAGAAAGGAGGTTTTAATGGAACACAAGGTCTGCTGAGGGTGGGAGGGGGCAGAAAACACCCCCTCTGTGTGAACTTCCTGTAATTAACTTGTGTCTGTATCCCAGTTACTGCCAGTCAGCCAAAAAACTCTCAGCATGTGCTCTTCTTAAAAATCAAGACACGGCAATTACGCATTTGTGCAGCAGAATACTCATGTTCATTACATTTGTCCTGAAATAATGAAGACAACATTAGCTTCAGTGCAAGCAGTTTCTTTGCAGCGAGGAAAATGCAGAAATTCTACATTCTGTGAACATAGGTTTGCAGTCCATAAATAGTGTTTGGCCTGGATAGCCACAGTCAGGATGGACAACAAGAAACACCCCCATCATCCCTGACTGCTGGACTTGCTGTCCGAGGTTGATGCCCAACAATATCTGGAGAGCCACAGGTAGTTGTTCACCTCTGGCCCAGGTAATTGTTGGCAATTCTCTAAGTTCAGGCTTGAATGAATACTTAACACTTTAACATTGATTACAGTTGCTTGAGCAGTAGTCGACGCGCTGCCTTAGGTTAGGAAAACCTGTTGATACATTACAGTACATTTTTTTTAATTTATCTGTTGAGCAGAAGAATGACAAAGCCACAAGTTCTCCTGGTATACTAGACTCACAGTTAACAATTCAGAAAAAAATAGGCAGACACTGGCATCTTAAAGTGCAGCCCCTGTAAGATAAGCTGACAAGCAGAGGGCAGGAACACATCTTTTAAGAAGAGACAAAAAAAGCTGCATTAAGGAATCAATAGCTAGTTCACCCTTCCAAGAATGGGTTTCTGTTTTAGACTAAGCACATTCACGGAAGTATTTAGCCTGCGTCATAGGTCCTTTTGTATCTGAGATGTGATAAAATGACACTAACCCCTGGAGTAGCCAATTTGGTGCCCTCTACAATTTGTTGAGGGATGCGGGTGGCCACTGAGCCTAGGGCTTGCCAACCAGAAGGTTGGCGGTTCGAATCCCCGCGACGGGGTGAGCTCCCGTTGCTCGGTCCCTGCTCCTGCCAACCTAGCAGTTCAAAAGGACGCCAAAGTGCAAGTAGATAAATAGGTACCACTCCGGCAGGAAGGTAAACGCCATTTCCGTGCGCTGCTCTGGTTCGCCAGAAGCGGCTTAGTCATGCTGGCCACATGACCCGGAAGCTGTACGCTGGCTCCCTCGGCCAATAAAGCGAGATGAGCGCCACAACCCCAGAGTCGGCCACGACTGGACCTAATGGTCAGGGGTCCCTTTACCTTTTTAACTCCCATCAGGCCCATGGTCAATGATCAGGGATGGAGGGAGTTGTAGGTCAACAACACATGGAGACATACCACATTGGCTCTTCCTGCACAACCTATTTAAACCATAATCCAGTGATGTAGCTCCTCAAGCCTCTTATTTGTGGAGTTACCTTCACCCTGACAGGGAAAGGGTTCTTCTTGAGCTTTTAGCCTAAGACCACATTCCAGAGCCCTGCTAAGAGCCGACAATGACACATGGAAACGCAGGAAAGAACAGCACATATGGTGAGAAGTGTTCCTTTCTGTTTTTGCTTTGCCAAGACACTGTCAAAGAACCAAGCTGCTTGGTTCAGCCTGATGATCGCTATGGTTATTTTGCATACATTTTAAAGCTTTAATTTAACTGTTACAGGTGGTACTTTTGTGCACGTCATTGCTATTTAATGCCATTTTTTAGTTCCCACCCCCTGAATACATACATCTTACAACTGAGGATAACGCCATGCACTTGATGTAGAGAAGCCTCCCACAACGTTGTGCTTTCCAGATGTTTTGGACAACAACTCTCATGAACCCTGCTACTGTTCCAGGTGCTGTCTGGGGCTGAAGGGAGTTTGCAGTTCAAAACTTCTGGAGGGAAACAGGTTCAAATTGGCTGAAGTAAATTCTTGTGCACAAAAGATTAAATTGGTTAAATCTTTAAAATGCTAGGAGACCCTTTGTTGTCTTAACCTGCTGCCATTTAGTTTATATAGTGCTGCACAAAATAAACATAAGCTGCATGTGCCATTTGCTCCTGTTCATGTATTAATCTTGGTTTTCAGTTGCAAGCTCTCCAGGGCAGGAACTTTATCTAGTCTGAGGTTTGCATGACTCATTGCCTGTGCATATCAAATACTGAACACAGTAAGACTGTTAAGAAAAGGATTGCCTTTAAAAATAATAGGCAATAAGCAGCATCTACGCTCCTTTTGAAATTTCATTTTGCTGTTACAGTATACTGCATTTAACAGTGCAATCCTACACATGTCTACTCAGAGGTTCCACTGAGTACAACGGGATTTACTCTCATGCTAAGTGTGTATAGGCCTGTAGTCTGTTACTGATGCACAACTATTCCAAAGCTAAAATGCTAATTTATGGAATTCCCCCCCCCAAAAAAATTCCCCCCTCCCCAAATAACATCATCTTGAAGGGATATAGAAGCTAGGAAATTCCACAAAGTAAAATGGGAAGTCTGCAGCCCAGCACTCAGTATATCCACATCCGAACTTAACAGACATGTAAATAGATGAAAGACAGGGCTTAATCTTTGGACAAGCTTAATTCTTGGACCATGTGCTATGGAAAAGTCACATGGATTTAAATATGGTGACTCCAGGTTAAGTAGCTATAGTCTAATGTATAGGTCTTGTGAATAGCTGCACACAAGGAAGGAGTTCTAAGTGAATGAATGGAAGGAAGAAAAGCTGAAAGCAGAGAGGGAAAGGAGAACGTTTGAGTTAATTTACTTCTCTTTCTAACTCATCCGAGCTTTTTCTTGGGGCAAAGGCTCTGCTTAGATCTATAAATTCCTGAGTAGTGACAGCAATCAAATAGGCATCTAAGTGCTAAGACTGTACATGCAACTTATGGCAGCTTAAGAAATCCTTTTTAACAAAAGCCCCATCTAAGACATTTGCATGGCATACTAAATAAATACACGAGGAGTATGTGTGTGTGCTGGCACACCCACATTGCCATTCTTGGCATCCTCCACAAGTTGAGAGTCGGCTGCCCTGTAATTGTGGAGGCTCCTTGCAGATTTAAGAATCCCTCAGTGTTCTAAAATGTGTAGGGAGAATTCACAAGTACAAGAGGGCAGTCTCCACTCATCTCACGGAGAGTGACCAGAACAACGGGAGGTGGAGCAAGTACACTCATCCACACAGACTTGTCGCCTTTGCATCTGATCCAGTAGTGTTGGATCCAGTAGGTCTCTTCTGAGATTCCTAAAAGGAGCCTCAGTGAGATCAGAAGACATTTCATGTGAACATTTAATGTACTGCTATCTTTTCCTTAGCACAGGCTGTCTATTAAAGTATATACATAATGACTCTCTGGCTATGCAAGAGTTGATCTTGTAGGAAAACTATATGCTTCTTGGTGACATTTTGGAAGTAGAATCTGCTGGAGCTAAGCTAAGATGACCATCTGTGCTACAGTGATTGGCGCCAGTGGGCCTACATTATAACTAATCAGATATAAACCAGATCACTATGATTGTTACATCCTGCATCCTTCAATACGTTCACATAATTTATGCAGTGAAGTTATCCTTCAGCTCAAGACTTGCCCAATACCAGGCTGCCCATAAATGCCAGTGTAGATTTACATTCATTGACTTCACAGAGGTCTAATGGCTTCTTTCCAAACATCTGAGCAAATAATTGAATTCCCCTCCAAATCATAGATTTGCAAGTGCTGTTCCCATGCTACACAGTGACCTGCATTCACATTTCATTACAATTCAACAGTATTGTGCATAGGTTAGGGCAGCCTCCCGCAACCTGATGTTGTTGGACTACAACTCCCATCACCCCTAGCTAGCAAGGCCAGAGCTCAGGGATGATGGGAGTTGTAGCCCAGCAACATCTGGGGACCCACAGGTTGAGAACCGCTGTGTCTAGTCCCTTCATGACAAACATCACCTGTAGAACGTCCTCTCTTACACAAGGGGCCAAGTTCTCCTTTGCATGTGGCCATCATAGCTGGGGAAGTGGGCAACTGTGCTCCAGACTGCACTCATTGTTTGTATAAAGCTTTCTAGCTGGAGACAAATAGCCCTCTTCCAACGGAAACAAGTGGCTTAGTGTATCCTCCCCATGGAGCAACATTTGTTGGGCTCTTTCTTCCAAAGGAGCAAAAGAAGAAGGACATTTCCCCCGCTCCACCCTCCCCCACTCCACATGCTCTAAATACAAATTGCCTGCTTTCAAATGAAATAAATTCATCTGACCTTCTTCTTGCTTGCTACAAAGCGCTAGTAAATGGCATCCCACACAGATTTTCATTTGGCTAGGGAAATGCTCCCTCTTGAACAGCATTACAGAATCATGGGAGCAAAGTCACAAGAGACACGTAAGGGAGCAAGTCACAGAGAAGAAAGAGGCAAGACAGGCCGGGGGGGGGGAGAGAACCTCTTTGCTGTGTTTCATAAACTGAGAAACATTTCAATAGTAGAACAAAACAATAGTTCCGTTGACTTCAGGAGCCCTGCTCCGAAGTCAAGGGTCTTTGGGGACCCAGACTTATAAGTCCTGTTTCCAAGCACTATACATGGATTCCAAGTACCCATCACAAGCAACGCTGACCTAAACAATTCTGAGGTAAATATTTTGTGATTTTTTTTAAAAAAAATCTCCTGAACATTAAAATGCAATTCATATTAGTGTAATAGCAATTATTCCTTCACAAACCTCCTGACTAAACTAAGGGCCGAGCCAGACTTTCATAGCACAATTAGCAGCTACATCAAGGTTTCCTCTTTCCGCATCAGACGTGTGGTGGGACCAGATTTTTTTCAGCAATGGAAACTTTTGCTGCTAAATGCTGCACATGCAGAGTGTAGGGAAGAGGTTCATTGGGGTTGTGGCTGGAGAGAAAAGGTTAAATCTCCTGGGTTCCACAAACCCCCAGACTCCCAACCCAAGTCGAAAAGTGGAGAATCCCATGTGTGGTATTTAAATTTAAAAACCAAAACACAACCAGGTGTGATTGCTAGTCATGCTAAGTGGGTACATACCATACATTTAAAATAAACCCCTCCAAGAATCCAGAGAACTGTAGTTTGTTTAGGGTGCGGGGAATTGTAGCTACGAGGGGTAAATTTCACTTCCCAGCATTCTTTTTTGGAGGGGGCAGGGGAGATGCGCTTTAAATGTATGGTGTGTATTCAGCCGTAATGTCTGGTTCGACCCTCAGGAAGAAAGGGCCCAGTAATCCATACATGCAGGCTTTTGCTATGATAGTCTTTAGGTAAGGCTTATTGGCAAAAACATTATCCTTTTTGTTTTTGTTTTTAAAGAGTGCTCCACCTAATATTCTTGCTATGCATAGATTTGAAGATTGTGTCATACATGGCTTTCGTAAACAGTGCATGTGTCCATGTTGCTTCCCAGAGTTGCCTCAGGAGGGTTCGGTTCACTGGGAGGCTCTGAGACCGGCTCAGGAGGTTCTTCTGGCGCTTCGACAATTTCTTCCTCTTCCTCTTCCTTCTCCTTTTTAATTTCCAATTGTATACTGCCGTGTGACTGGTCATCCACCCAGTCCTTTTTAGCCAACGGGTGGACCGACACTTTTATCGCAATCTTCAGCGGTGGTTCGTGCAGAGAGGAAGCGTCTGAGTCAGCGGTGAAAGAGTTGCTACGCTTTAGGGAGTTGGGAATCATGTACATCTCTTCCGTCTCAGCAGTCTCTTGTCCTACAGCTGACTGCCTGACAGAGTTATGGCCCTGCTCCTCTAGCCCCACCACCTCCATGATTTCTCCCATTATAGTCTTGCAGTTCATGATGAGAGGGGGCAGCGGGACACTCCTAGCCAGCTCTTCAATGTAGCGGGCAAACTCCATGGTCTTGAACTGCGTGACTTTGGCAAGTTCAAGGGTCTTTGCCGATGTGATGATTGGGATGCGTTTCGCAATCTCAAAAGCCTTCTGCAGCTTTTCTGCCCCTTCCGTCCGAAAGAAATCATTGATCGCTTTCTCAGTCTTCTTTAGGTGGCTGCTCATCATGCACAGCCGAGTGATGTTTAAGATCAAGACAATGGTAAATGCTACAAGACATACAATCATGTAGTAGACCCCCATATCTCCAGAGGTAAAGACAACCCTCAGAGTCACTGTGTTATTTGCTTGGCCATAGATGTTAGAAGCGACGCACATGTATTTTCCTCGATCCTCAAATGACACACTAGTAATGTTCAGTTGCCCATTGTCAAAAATCCATTTCCCTGCTGGAAAGAACGCAAAAGTGATCAGTAAAATGCCTTTGTTTAAGCAAAGTAAGTGTCAGCAGAATATTTTTTTTATCACAACCATGCACCAATGCTATCTGCAAATAACTTGGAAATAATGTTCTACAACAGTCCTATTTGGGCATTCTGCGTGCATATAGGACCATGAGAATGCAAAGACAGTGTGCTAAGCCTGTCCCCAAATGGCTATCCCTGCCGCCCTCAAACTTGGTGTGTGTGGGGGTGATCCTCCATGAATAATGGAAGCTCCTGTCCCTGCATCACATGACCCCCGCCCTCTCTCCAAAGCTGGAGAGTGGTGGGAGTGGGGTGGAGCTTGCATATTTCATCCCCACACACATATAGGGTTTACATGCAAGCAGAACACCCACATAGGTTTGGTCTCCACAATAATAATAATTGTTATATTTTATTACATTTCTATACGGGCCAAGACAATAACCCAAACATATCCTGTCAGGATTGCTATGGTTTATCTTGCTCAGTGGCTAAACTGGCTGTGTGCACATTCTGGCACAGCAAGCTGTGATCAAAATAAAGGAAGTAAGAACAACCTTTGGAACTTTTAAATTCATCTGACCTGAAGGGCATCCTGTGGTCCAAAAGCCAATGCATCTTGTGCGAGTAAATGAAATTTAAGTGGTTTTGTAAGCAAGTTGAAACATGAACCAGTCTTCTAACCAAGGAACACAATTTAGCACAGTTAGACAAGGTTAAGCCCAGTAACATAAATAGACTCAAATGCACCTAACAGAGATTTTCTCATATACATTCATTTTTAGGCAATAGGGACGTGGGTGGCGCTGTGGGTTAAACCACAGAGCCTAGGACTTGCCGATCAGAAGGTCGGCGGTTCGAATCCCTGCGACGGGGTGAGCTCCTGTTGCTTGGTCCCTGCTCCTGCCAACCTAGCAGTTCAAAAGCACACCAGTGCAAGTAGACATATAGGTACCGCTCCGGCGGGAAGGTAAACGGCATTTCCATGCACTGCTCTGGTTTGCCAGAAGCGGCTTAGTCATGCTGGCCACATGACCCGGAAGCTGTACACCAGCTCCCTCGGCCAATAAAGCGAGATGAGCGCCGCAACCCCAGAGTCGGCCAGGACTGGACCTAATGGTCAGGGGTCCCTTTACCCTTTACCTTTACAGGCATTAAAATGCAGAACTGGGGGAAGAGAGAGGTTAAAGCAACTTCTCCCACCTTAGGAAGCTACTTTATACCAGGTCAGACTTTTGGTTCATCTAGCCAAGTACTGTCTCATCTGCCTGACAGGAGCTCTCTGGCAAAGGCGCTTCTCCTCACTGGTTACCCAACCTTTCAGGAATATAGGGAGCTGCCTTATACTGAGACAAAGCAACCACCTACCTAGCTCAGCATTGGCCACATTGGCAGAAACTCTCCAGGATTTCAGACAGGAGTCCTTCCCTGCTGAACCTGAAGACACCAGGATTTGAACCTGGAACCATCTACATGCAAAGTCAGTGCTCCCCCACTGAGCTGCAACACTCACCCAATGCCAGAAACCGCAACATAACTGTTTGGGTTAGAGCAACTAGATGGGGAAAGAAACTGAGAGCAGAGTGCATGAGCAGGGAGCAGATGGGCAGGGAACGCTGATGGCTTGCAGTGGCAAAGGCAAGGCCGCCCCCTGTGCCCTTGCACGTCTTGCCCTGCACACCACAGGCAGTCCTCCTGCCTGTCACAGTGAGAGGTGCTTTGCAAGTGCTTTAAATAACATCACTGCAAATTGCAGGTCTTTTGAGCCCCAGCGGCGTCATTCAAACTCTAGCGGAATCGCTCAGAACACAAAAGCATGTGCTGTAAGCCTCCTACGCTGCTTCTGAAATTCTGTCCTCCACAGTTCAGCTTGTTCCTTCCTTTGCTTTCTTTGGGAAGAAAATGTGTAAACCCGTTTCTGCTGCGCATAGTTAGCTGCACAGGAAGCGACTGCAGAAAACAAAACCTGCTTCTTGCCCAGCCAGCTGCCCCAGAGCAGTCCACAAGCAAGGCTCTTCTCCCATGGCTGCTCTGCACCAGCTGCTATTCAAGGGGATTAGGAGATTTGAACTGTTTTGTTTTTAAAAAAGGAGTTTTAATTGTATTGTTTTAGTATTGACACGGGATCCTTTAGAGCAGGCATGGCCAAACTTGGCCCTCCAGCTGTTTGGGGACTACAGTTCCCATTACCCCTGACCACTGGTCCTGTTAGCTAGGGATGATGGGAGTTGTAGTCCCAAGACAGCTGGAGGGCCAAGTTTGGCCATGCCTGCTTTAGAGGAAGATGTGGGATCTAAATTTAATAAATAAATGAGATGGCGATGTGCCATACTCCACTTACTTCAAAATGTGGCAAGCCTGCCTTGCTGCTCATTCTGCTGGGCAGGGCCCTGGACGTCTGCCCCAAAGTCCTGCCCTGATATAGTGCTACTGAGCGCAGGTGCTGTAAACTGATACATATTCCTAAAAACTGTTCTCTAATCCTATCGACCTGAACTGGTGCCGAAATGACATTCTATGTTCAGCTGCGCTTTATTTACTTATTGGCATTGTCACGTTGACCTCATCTTTGCTGCTGCCATCACTTTCATGGATTATTTCATTTTACTGTTTCTAAATGATGGTTTGTTATTATGTGCTTATGGTGTACAGTAGGGGTTGTGAACCATTTTTGGCCACCTTCGCCCATGACCAGTCCTCCAGGGGTTGCGTGCCATAGGTGACCATGGCCCAAAGTGGGAGAGACTCCCCACATTCTTATTTGTACACAAAGGCCACAATCTATCAAATGATCCAGCTGATGACAGGGGAAGGAGGAGAGCTGAATTCCTATCAGGGTGTTGGGTTAGGTCAAAGGATTTAAACTTCTCCACTCAACTCATGCCACATTTGTGCCACTGTTACAAGAAATGGTGGGGGACAGAGCAAAAAAAAGATGCTTTGGGGGTCCTCATATATAGCCACCCCTAGTATACAGTACTTTACTTCATGGAAGCTGCCCTGTGAGGGAATTTGCTCAGGAAGGCAAGTGGGAAATATCTTTTAAAAATAAATATGTAACACAATAACTGTAGCATCTCATGTTTGCACTAGACGGACCATGTGTTAGCTCCACAGTTACATACCTGTATTCCCATCTTCCTTCAGCAAACGGCCGTTGGAGTTGTACCACTTGTACTCTGGCCCCGGATTACCTTGAACGTTGCAGTCAATCAAGGCACTGTAACCTTCTTTGACTATAATGTGATCAACTCTGGAGACAACCACAGGCAAAGATCCTAAGAGCATATGAGTGTGGTTTAAAGTGCTGTTCGTGACATCTTCAGCAGCTGTCAAGACTGCTAGCAAGATGGAAAGGTGTACGGTAGTCCAATAGTACAAAAGGATGTGGCGGCTGAACATGTTCATCTGTCTTCTTGTGCACTGCAGAGCAGACTTAAGGATGGGCCAGGAATCGTGTAGTGCACTGTCCTGAAGAAGCCACGGGTAATATTAACCTCGATCCATGAAATTTTAAGAGCCAAGAAAATAATACCCTGCAAAATAAGACAAGTAATATCAGCAAATGGGAGTGAGGAACATTACTGAAAGTGGAATAATATGTCCTTAACCAGTCCAGGTATGCCAACCTGCTTACACCATGAGTAGCCAATGTGGTATCCTCCAGATGTTTCTGGACTCCAATTCCCATCAAACTCAAGCAACATGGCCAATGGTCAGGGATGATGGGAGGTGTAATCCTACAACATCTAGAGGTAATCACATAAGCACATGTGTAAAAGGCTGCTGGGGGGGGGGATGCAAAAATATTTAAGCACACATGATTTTTGTGTGACAGAATGTAGCTAAGGTCATAGCTTATAACGCAGGCAGAGCCCTGAAACACATTTGAATTATTATAACCTTTTAGCAGTCAATTATCCAGCAAAAAACCTCTCTACTGGTGATGCAATTAAGGTTTCACTAGATCCAGAATGTAAGTTGTGATCTGTTCCATTAAAGCAGTGCAATGTGGTTGATATTATTAATAGAGCAACAAATCTATCAATAGTTGAGTCATGGGGGCAGAAAAGTCCAGCAATCCTTGGAAGCAGCTGTAGCACACTAGGACTTGAGAAAATGTGCCCAGGGAGTAAATAACCATCTCTCTGCTGTTGCTGCCTCCCTGTATTAGTGTTTCAAGAAACACCAAACAGCTGATGTCCAGAGCAAGTGCTGTAAGGACCAGGAGGCTTTTCTTTCCTCCCTGACTGAGAATTGCCCAAAAGCAGAAACACCGAAGGGAATGGTCTGCAAAAAGTTTCTGCAGAAATTAGGGTAGCCCAGTAGCTTCAAATGGTTAACAAGTCCGTGGCTGGTGAGGATTTTCACAGCCCTCAGTTGTAATCCTTCCCTTGATTGTGTCATGTAATGAATAGAAGAAAGCGTTATGGAAGCAAAATGTTGTCACACTCCCATTAATCCCAACACAACAAAGCAATGCTTGGCCACCTCTTTATGTGGTACTGTGCCCTGCAAATTAATTAATGCAACCCTTTATAATGACATAGGAGGCTCTAAATTTCATGAAGACATGTTTTAAGAGTATCCAAACCAATGTACTTCTAAACAAGATTATCATATGCAACCTACAGATTTTGGCTTGGAAGGAAAGGCAAAACATTAGGATTTACTGATGCAGCACACAGAGGTGGAAGAAGGTGGTGCGGTGGGGGCGGTTCGCCACAGGTGTCATCACTGAGGGGGGTGACATTTGGCCACGACTCCCAAGTTGGGGGAGGCTTGGGAGTCGTGGTTGCTTCTGGGGGGGGGGGGAGCCTCCCCTGAGCTGTCAAAAGGAAGAGGGAAGGGAGGAAGGCTGCTGGCAAAGTGGCCCAGCTCCCTTCCCCTGCCCCCGCCCAGGAAGCAGCCCACCATGGGTGGCTCGCTCCATCCCCCATGGACAGGTCGCTCTGCCCCCATGGGCGTCTCACCCCCTGGGATGCTCGCCCCACCCTCATGGCCCCGCCCCCGGGTGTACAGCATGGGCTCCGCTTCTGGCAACACATTGGGTTCAAAAGTTCACTGGTTAATGTGCAGTCTCAACGATGTGAACTCAAGGCAATGACAGGCTAGAAAGGGTGATCGATAAGTCCCACTCATTGGTAGCTGCGATCTCTCTGGCTTTTCACAGTTTTTATATGAGCAAGCAATTGTCTCCAACTCTATGAGCCATTTATAGTTGAACAACATCACCTCTGGGATCTCTCCATCCCCATCCTTTTCACTAGCGCTAGCTGAATTATAGGCACTGAAACACACTCAACTTATATACTGTGGCAGCATCTTCAAAGCACCGCACCCGCCTGAAAGTTACTACGCCAAAATGCATGTGTGCATACCTTCTCTCACAATAAAATCTCTTTCTTCCCCTCTCCCAACTTCCCTGCAGCAAGCAGAAAAAGGAATATAGTATGATCTGATGTAGTACAACCCTATGCATTATTCAAAAGAAAGATCTACTGTCTTCAAGGGAACTTGCTTCCTAGAGAGAGTGTAGAGCCTTAGACACAGCCTAACAGTGTAACCCTCTTCATGTTTACTTGGAAGTAAGTCCCATTCTGTTCAATGGGGATCACTCATTAGTAAGCGTTCTTAGGAAATGCGGAGAACTGGTTAGGGGAAAATGAGAAACTCTGTCCATTCATTCCTACCTAGGAACGTAACTTACTTCTGAATAGACATGCATAGGATTATATTAGGCAGGGTCCTTTCCACCCCCAGTCTTACCAATCAGGAACAGCAGGGTTTGTTTGTTTTGTCTCATTTGTCCCCCCCCCACTCCATGATGGAATACAAAAGGTACTGTATGTTTATCATAGGAAAATTGGCAGGTATATTCAAATCAAGGCTAAAGTTACCCAGGTACATATTATTTCATGTGCAGATAGCACTTCTCTTAGCAGTTGACATGAGTGCATTCTTTGCAAACAAATCTGTTTTGTGATACTTATTACCATACACTGGACCTGCAGTCAAATTTGCTTGCTTTGAAGCCACATCACTCTGCCACATCTACAAATCACATGTTGTAATGTGCAAATGAAGCATTTAATCACTCCAATACCAGTTCTGGGTGGAGTGTAGATGCAATAACTTCTCTCATAGCAATCTGTTTCAGGCACATCATTAATTTTGGGGAAAGGACTGTATAATCATTTCTTTCATCTGCTCACAGATTCAAGTAATTTTAGTTATACCTATAGATATGGGCTGGAAAATCACAACCCAACAAACGCAACAGCACAACAAAAGTAAATTTGGATTTAAAATGAGTGATACTCTTATTTCTTTCTTATGAGCTTGTGAAGTCAAAACAGTTTCTGCTTTCCAAGTTTATTGGGACATTTTTTGTCCTTGGTATTACATTTGTATAAGTTCCACCCTAGAACATTTACAGTGTAATTATGTAGGCTTGCATACGTCAGGTAAATTCCTGACATGTGCTGGTTTTCGGGTGTAAAAATGGCGTAAGAGGGGAATTTTGCCAAATCATTAAAATGTCAATGAGACTTACTCTCAAGAAAGTGGGATTGGGATTGCAGCCTTCATGTGATACTGCATTTCCTTATCAGCAGGGATTTGAATCTCTGCAGGACGGGGTATAGCCTAGCTGTGGGGAAAACCAAGCTGCTGTTAGCCTTCTTTAGAAGCAAATAAACTGAGGAACACCAAACCTACAACACACAGCCAGTCTGGAAGCACCCTTAAAACACAAGTATCAGAGAGCTGCATAATTACGAAATAGCCCAATGGAGGACCTACAAGCAGCAAGAACATTTTTAACAATTAAGTAAAAGTGGCATGGGAACAGGAAGAAGGCTGTGTTTGCTTTTCACAAGCAATGCCACAGGCACTGTGCATAAGTGCTTATAATACTTGCACAGCCACATTCCATGCAGCAATTGAAAAGCAATGAATGATTGCAATAATTGGCAGAGGAGTTGCATTTCGACAAGTTTTTCCAGCCAAATGAAAAGGTCTCTGTCTTATGTTATGCATTTCAAACCCTATTTGCAGTTGTTCTTTGTATTGTTTTTAAACATATGTTTGCGGTTTTTATATGCTTGCAAATCACCTTGAGACAGATCTGTAAAAGGCGATTCGTGAATTAATTATTAGTGCTACCATCATGACTAATAATAATTTCCCAATTTATAAAGTATTGAACTTTGAATATGGACTCTCCTTGAGAATAGAAAATGTGCAAAAAGCCAACATCCTCCATCTCTCTAGCTATCTGTTCACTTGAGGAGTATCAAGTACCAATGAAGTTAGCCAAGCTATCTTAGTTTTTTCTTTGTGCATGGCCCCAGCAAAATCTTTCTTTGACTTGTAAATGCCTTCAGAATATGGATCGTAACAACAGGTCTTGAAACCAGAAGGTGTCACCTTCATTTTCTTTTAAAGAGCACAACTTGGAATATCCTTTGGCTACTATCAATGGGCAGAGCAATCTAGTATGAGTAGGGGAGGGAGAATTTGTGGTAGTAAAGGAGGTAGCCTGAGGGGAAAGAGGTATTCCAGCTGTAGGGCTTTCATCTCTCCCCAGCCCCACCTGGGGGCAATCTTGGGGGAACAGGGGAAGGAACACTGCAAAATCCCATGGCTCCCGGGATGCCTTCTTAGTGACCACAGGATTGTGCCCTAAATGTCATCACACATTACATTCCAACATTAATCATCCTCAAAAGGAGACCCACTGAAATTAATGAACTTAAGTAACATGTCTACTGATTTTGATGGATCTACTCTGAGCATGATTAATGCTGGATATCACCTATATGAATTGGATATCATATAGGATATCACCTATATGAATTGGTTATGAATTGGATTATGGATGCAAAAATCATTTTCGTGTTTGAATTTCCAATAAAATTATAACGCTCAAGGCACGGATAAGGGGGGGGGGGATGACTCTCAGCCCAATCCCTGCATTCCAGGTGGGTTCATATGGGAGCAGCAATCTCTGAATCCCCTAGGTCTCAAGCGTCTATCTAGATATTGTTGACCTCCAACTTCCATCAGCCCCAGACAACATAGCCAATGGTCAGACATGATGAGAGCTGCTGTCCGGAAACATTACTGGGGGGCGGGGATTCAGAAGCATGAGAGATTCCCATATCTGCAGTCCCCAGAGTTTTATATAGCATCTGAATCAATGCTAAGGCTGAAATAAAAAAGAAAGAGAAGAAAAGAGTAAAGTTCTTCCACAAAGAAACATACTTTTTCTGCATGAAAATGGTTTAGTGGATTTTTTGGGTTGAAATTTATCTGCTTGCCTTTTAAACAATATTGCTCTGCTGGTAAAAATCTGGTAAACAAAAACAACACTGTGCAGCTGAGGTGAAGATTATATATATATATATATATATATATTTTTTTTTTGATGAAGGTCTTTTTTTAAAAAAAAAGTTCACTTAGTTCCTTGCTTGGTTGATTTCATCTATTCTTTAGAGGAGTTCTGAGGGGCTTGTGAATACGACAGCTGCATAAATCATCTGGATTTATTTAGAAGCCCTGTTTATTTATGAGGGCGGGCAAGTCACTCTCTGTAGCTTGGTACACAAAGCTATTATTCCAGAAACAGCTGTATCTCTTTATTAGATATTTGTTTAACTCATTACAAGAATACCCCAGGCAATGACTTTGAGTACAGCTGCTTCTTCAAAGCTGCAGTGCATGTGGAATATATGCACGTTAACACCACATATGTATCAGGCAGTTAAATCCCTCTTATTGTTAAGAATGAAGGAGAGAAATGCAAAATCAGGACTCTTAGGCTAATTCTCCCCATCTTCTGCCTGCAGCCTCCCTGCCATACCACTTGCCTCTCCCCTCCCCCATTTAACTGTTTCCAGTGTTTAATTTCCAAAAAAAGATCTGCTAGGGCTCAGGGCTCTGTTTACGGAAGCGATCCCATGATCTGGAAGCCATTGCCCCTAATCCCTGATATACAGGGGAAACTGTTTGCAGCCACTCAGTGGTTAGAGAAATTCCTGCTAGGGAACTCTTTCATCTATTCCTATTTCATATGCTTCCTATGGCTCAGCAATGCGCAGGCAACAACACCCTTCTGTTTTCCAGTGCGAGTAATGAATCAGCCATTAGTCAGAGACAGGAATAAGGAGCAAATCTAATTTTGTGTGCTTGTCCTCCTTGCTTCCTTTCCTAAAACAGAAGCAGAAGCAAGATCCAAACAGGGAAAGTGGTACATTTTATTGCGTTCCAGGTGTCCAAAAGGGCTTGACTTGTTACAGGACAATAGTGCATTGCTACTAGGAAGAGAAAGACAAGGCTAAATTGTAGATCGTGCTTTAGGACGTGTATGCAAACTTATATCCCATTATGTATACGGGTGTCTAGAGACTTTGGTAGATCTCATAGGATTTGCTAGAGCCATATCAAAATCAGTGTTGGAATAAGGCAAGCAGTATATTCTGGTGAGCTGTTGGACCAGGCCCTCCTCTAGAACAGGAGTAGGGAAACATTTTCAGCCCAGTGTCCAAATCCTTTTCAAGTCAGCCTTCCAGGGGGCCACATGAAAGTGGTGCAAGGGCCAGATGCGAAAGTGGGAGGAGCAAGACATATGAATTTTACCTTTGTATGGTGAGTTAGTTTCTTCACACTTACACTTCCCTCCCTCCAGTCAAAAAAGAAACAAGGTCAGAGTGCAAGGACACACTACAGACAGGCAAAAACACGTAAGAAGAAGGTGCAAAGCAGCTCTGGTGGTGGGTGTGGCCTGAGAGAGTCCCCATATACAGAGTGTATTCCAGGGGAAATCCCAAAGTTTGCGATGTGAAATACAGAAAGAGAAAGACTCTCTCTCTTGAGAACGAATCCTAAAGTTCCTTACCTCCTGCATAGGCAAGAAGAATCAACAGGGCATGGAAACAAAAAAAGTCAGCAAGAGGGAGAAGAACCGTAAAAAATCAGGGATATTGAGGTTTCACGGTTCCTTGATAAGATTTATAGGTCCTGTTGGCCTCTGATCTCCAGAGTGTATGGAGGAATCAACACAAGATTCTAGGGACGGCAAACAGTGTCTAGAGAGTATTTGTAATTCCTGCATTATTACTATACATACTTGCTATTAACTCATGTCTGGCTATAGATACCTAAACTTAAGGAGCTTAAACAAAGTGAACAAACAAAGAACTAAAGGACACCAATCCATCCAATTTTTCAGAACAGCCATGGGGTTGGAGGAGACCTGCTTCTGTAACGAGGTGTTTGGGCTCAGAAGTACTATCGACAGTCCCAGCTTAGTGATAATTTGCAATGGGTTTTACCTTGAGGCCATCTCTCCAAGTCCTCTGCCACTACTTCCCTTTCTCAAAAGCTTACCAGGGAGCAACAACAGAGGGAGCAGCTTTGTGGTAGAGCTCCTGTTAAGTTGTTGCTGCAGCTGGAATTATAGGGCAGTATTCAACTGAATAATTGTGTGAGTTGAACAACTTCCACAACAGGACCCTGCCCCCATGGCAATCCCAAATCTGATCCAGAGTGTTGGGGAATCTGCCAGAACAGAATTAGGGGGTGCTGGTGGCATAGCTGTCAACATTTCCCTTTTTTAAAGGGAAATTCCCTTATTCCCAATAGTATTCCTCGCAAGGAAAGGGAAAAGTTGACAGCTATGGCTGGTGAGTGGAGACTGGAAGAAGTCCAATTGCGCAGACAGAAGTTGTTCCACTTGCACAAGGAGCTTAATAATAATAACAACAATAATAACAATAACAACAATAACAATAATAATATTTGTACCCCACTCATCTGACTGGCTTGCCCCAGCCACTTAGTGCTACTTTGAATACAACTCATAGTAAATATAGTCCTCAGCGTCTGTTGCCTTTAGTAGAATAACGAGAGCTACATTTCCAATGGTTTGTGTTGCAAGCATTCAAAACAGCATCCTATACTGGTCCTTATGTTGAGATGGGCACTGCTGTAGCAGAGCTGAAGGCCTAACCAAGGACTCAGTGCGAGGCCTCTCTGTCCTGCTACCCAGGCTGGGGTGGGAAAGGAAAAGGCAAATATTGCAACAGAAACTGAACCCAAGGGTTCAGCAAATTACAGGTTTGGGTGCTATCACTATTTCAATCAAAGGTGCAAGCGTATTTCTGACTTGGGCCTACAGGTCAAACATCCTTAATCAAACATTTATAATCCTCCTGGTTGTTAGGTGGAGACTGTTCTTAAGGAACTTGCACACATTCTTTAAAAAAGCGATTAACTCCTTTTACAAGACCACGAAGTGTTACTATTGACAATAGTGTTACATTTCCTCAAGCTTTTTTTTTTTTTTTAAATTCACTGAACAGTTTGTAGTTCTCATAAAAGGTAACGTTTCAACAAAAGGCTCTGATACTCACAAAGGAGAGAGAACAAATCTGCACAATACCGCCCCACTTCCAAAGACCCATTCGTAGGCGGTGAAAGTGGAGGGGTGTGTTCAGGGATTTGTTTGGGGATGGGAAGAAATTATATGAATTTTTAGTTTCCTGGGAGCAGAAGCTCTATACCCCACTTCTTATATATCTTTAGGTGTCATGCGAAACAATTCCTTTATAACCAGGCTTTTGGCCTTTAACTATCTGTGGGCTATTAGAAGTGGGTAGAATGTTTTTGTCTTTGTCCATGGAGTTTTCTTGGCAGGGATCCTGGAGTGGCTTGCCAGTTCCTGCTCCAGGTGGATCACGTTTGATCAAAACTCTCCACTAGAGTGAAGCTGAGGCTCCAATACTTTGGCCACCACATGAGAAGAGAAGACTCCCTGGAAAGACCCTGGTGTTGGGAAAGACAAGGAGAAGGGGACAACAGAGGACGAGATGGTTGGATGGTGTTCTCGAGGCTACCAGCATGAGTTTGACCAAACTGCGGGAGGCAGTGGAGGACAGGGGTGCCTGGCATGCTCTGGTCCTTGGGGTCACGAAGAGTTGGACACGACTAAACAACTAAACAATAACCGAATATTTTTAAAGGTTTCAATGTACCTGTGTGGGTTTTGTTTTTGCCTTGTTTGTTTGCAAGTTGCTTTGGGTTGCCTTGGGCAAGCTAAAGCAACAAACAAATTTAATCAATAATAGTAATAATTCAGTGTTGCTGTTGTAGCAGCAGCAGCTGCTCTCTGGCCAGTTACCATGTATACCCATAATGCTCAGTGGAATGACACTATGTCAGAAGGATAGGCTAAACTGTTAATTTTGGTACCAATCACTTTCTCATTTTCTCGTTTTAAGTTCAGTTCACCACATCACTTTGCATTTTTAAAGAACTTGAAAATTCATCAATATTTTAGTGTGAATTTATCTGAACATGTTTGTATGCATCTTTTTATACTATATACACACTTTTGGAAATCAATTTCCTAACAGAGATATATTTTGTGTGTTGTTTTCACTAACATCTGCACACATTATCCTAGTATGTGCATTTTTGTACACATTACTTGCACTGCAAAATTCGGAAGTCTGAATTTTGAAGGCGGCTGTGTTTTGCTTCACATGCGGTTTTGAAAGTGCAAATTAGGTAGCTGTGCCTTTAAACACACACTCAGTTGAATTTCTTCCCAATCCTTAGTCAGTGTCGCTCCAAGTGAGGCTTTATGGAGGAACATGGCAAGCCCACTCTATGTTCGCAGAATTGCATCATCTGTTGATCTGCAGTCTTCAAAATCTCCCTAAATTTCTTTCCATTCCCTACCTACACATACTTCTCCATACACAAATCTTCAAAAGAAAGGTTCTGAGATAGAACCTTCAACTCAGCTCTAATATCTAGGGCTTAAGGGCGTAGACCTATTTCTGTAAGCTGCATGTATTTTTTTTTTAATTATCATTATTATTTATTTGATGTATATCCTGTCCTTCCACCCACAGGACCCCAGGGGCACATGTAGCTACCAGGTGTTAATGAATGGTCTTTCCTCATTCCAATATCATTAGATAGATACAAGGAGGTTGATTACCAGTTTTGTGATTAGGACCAGTTTCTGAAACATCAGAAGCAGTTCATAAGCAGTTATTAAATCTAATCTGAGCAAGTTAATACTTGCAATTTTAGAATAATTGTTTTAAGTCAATAATTAGCATGACAAAACTAATATATTTACTAGTTTTGAGGCTGTACTAGGAATGAAGGCAGATTTGGAACTCTAGGAAAGCAATGGACTTTGCAAAAGTACTCAGGAATCCTCATATAGTTTGGGGGGAATTAAGTCTTAGGGTGTATTTACACCTGTAGTAGCAATGCTGTTTGAAGTGACTTTATAGCTAGAGATGGCCCAGAGCCTGAAGCTTCCAGGAAGGCCTCTAACAGGATCGAAGGCAGCAATGCTGTCATATTATTTGTCCCCCACCCACAAGCAACAAGAATTCAGCGACTTGCTAACCATGAATTTGTAAGCTCTAGCTAGCTAAAACAGGATTGGCCAATAGCTGTTGATAGACCTGTTCTGTATCTTTTTAAACACAAAGCAGAGACATTTTCAACCAAAGCATTTCTCATGTGCTTGCTCTTTGCCAAAGGAAATGGCAACAATACTTTTCTATTTGTTGGAGCAAACACATTCAGAATACATACATGAAGAACACCCCTAACACTTTAATGTAAGGATGCAAAGTGGGTCATTTACATTTCATTGAGGTGAAAGAACCCCAAATTAATTAAACAGCAGGATTTTAACACTCCCCCATATTTGCACACAGGCCTATGCATAATGCTTTCTTTTGAGTTATAAAATGAAAAGTTTTCACATTCTCCTCTGCATTTCATTTTGTTTTCTAGTTTTATCCAAGCTTTTCTCTCAATTCCTTGCAGACTAGGCCTATGAATGCTTATCTAAAATGATTTTATTATTTAACATGGGCAAAGACAGTACAGTCTCTTTTACTGAAGTGCCAAGGCATCTGGGAGAAACCCAGAACTTTTGGACAATAAAGCTGTTGTATACGGACATACTTTATCCAGTCCCCAAACATTGGTTATTACATTGTAAACAAAACACTTCTCAGCACTTCTCAGCTCTTTTCCAACAAGGTATTTATAGTGAAGTGGCTACAATGGCTTTTTTATGAGCACAGTTTAATTGGGGCTAAATCTGAACAAAATCACAGCCGTTGCTAATATTTTATGAAAACCAAGGGACTGCAGGGACAGACTGAGGTTTATGTGGATCCTTATAATAAGAGATCTACAGTGTGGGTCTCCCACATCCTTGGCAAGAAACTTGCTTCACTTCTATAATCCTTTTCCAAAAAAAGTTTTTTTAATTATTTCATGTTATAATGTGTATAAAACAGAGATAACAATTATAACAACAGACAACAATTAAAAGATGAAAAACAAAACTTTAAAATAGGCACATAGAAGAGTTAAAATAAAAGTTCAAGTAAAGACTATCAAATTGATCAGGTATCAAATAGTTCCAGATCTGCCTGGTTTGTGGTTTGTGCCTGGTTTGTGACAAGGCTTGTATACTGTATATGCCACCAAGGAATGCCAAATCATATAAAAAGGGTCTGGAGGTTCTAGTCCATGTCAAAATCTCAAATTATGTGTGATTTTCTTCATTATAGCTATACTCCTGAGTGAGCAATACCAAGCATCCAGTGCAAGATTTGGGGCTGTTTTCCACTGAGTTGCAATGACGGTTTGTGCTGCCAAGATCATATATAATTCTTTTGATTTCTATAATCCTTGATCTGCTACCCCCAGTGGTGTCGTTGCCATTGTTTAAGAAATACACCGGATCTCAGGCTCAGCAGGATGGGCCTTGCAATATCTATGGGCTGTAAGCAACTCTCTGACTTTGGAAAGATGTTGGTGTGGGTCATAAACCAGGTCTACAGTTGCTGAAGAAGAGTAATGGCCTGTGTCGGCTACTTTACCTTGTCAGGTCCACTTCCTATGTGATGATTATGTGGGGAGCGGGAAAGATTAATAGCTGTGGCTTCCCAGTGAGGATGGTAGCTGTGTACTAATGTTCCGGAAGCAGCTAGGAATGCAAACCCTAGAACTCATTTCTTACCACTTGGCAGAGTGAGGCAGCTGCTTCAGGTGGCAAATGTTGAGGAACGGGGAGCAGTGGCAAGGTGTTCAAGGACAGAGCTGTGTGTGTCACACAGCCTGCCTTGCATCCCCTAAACTAGCTTGCTGCTTTCAAGTAGGTGGAGGATGCTGCTGTGCTGTGTTGAAGTCAGAGTCCATTGCCAGTCAGGCTAGCTTTTGCATGTGGATTGGACACTGAGAGCAAAATGTCCCATGCCCAAGACACGAACCCTTCTCCCCTCTTTTTCCTGGGTGCAACCTGTAATTTTCCCTGCTGCTCTCATAAACCATGGCGACTCTGTGCTGCTTCAGAACTGCCATCAGCTCCAGCTTCTCAGATGCAATTTCTTCTTCACAGGTCTCTGTATGATTTTGTTCTTATGATAGATGCTCGCAATAACTCTTTAGTGCTTTTCCAAGCTCTGTGGGATAGGTAGATTGGGAGCTACTTGCTTTTTCAATCTATTGAGCGTCTATGGCCTACAGTGTGGATTTAAGGGCTACATTGTGCATTGGGATTATATGGTTCTCTGTTCCTGCTCACGTTTTGCTTGTGGACTACTATTTGGGCTCAGCAGCAAGATATATATTAAATTTCCTCCAGTGTTTATCAGATGAAAATAGATACATGTAACACCAACAAAGTAAAGTGAGAGAATGGCTCATATATGAGACAGTAGATCAGTTGCGTGGGAAAGCTGCTTCCATGGTGATCCAGTGACTGGTGCAGCCTGTTAAGGAAACTTTCAAGTTATAAGTCCAATGTACACATTACTGCTACCTAGAAAAAATTGGAGAGGACATTGCTGGCGTGGTAGATTACCATGTGCCCCACCTTTGCTTAAATACTGTATAAAAATGTTGACTGGGGATGGTGGGACTTGGCGTCCAACCACTTCCACAAAGCCTCAGGTTTGCCATCCCTGATGTAGATGGGGTGATGCAGGAACAACCTTAAAGAAGGCAGCAATCACACTGGTCCAGCTCCCACGTTTACGGGAGCTAAAAACATGCTGGCAGCCTCTGTGTTCAATAATAGGAAAGAACATATACCAAGTTAGACCAGTGGTCCATCTAAGCTTAGAACTGTCTGCAATATCTGAAAGGCATTTCCAGGGTTTCAGGCAGGAATTTTACCCAGCCCTACCTGGAGATGCCAAGAATGGAACCTGAGACCTTCTTCTGGAAAAACAAGCAAGCAAGCACCCACCCACCACTGAGCTAAAGCTTCATTCTCAGCTCCCCTAAGTTGAGAGAGAGATAACAAGAAATGCCTGTTTCCTTACATTAATGGAGAGCTCTGGCTGGCCACTATTGGAATCAGAGTACAGGCCTTGATAAACTTTGTCTAATCTAACAAAGGCAGCTGCTTCAATCTCATTGATAAAAAAAACTATGTTGCACTGATGTACATCAAAAACGAGAACTCATATAGGCCAAGTAGATATTGTACCTCTGAAACAAAGAGAGGACATGACCTTGAAAAAGGGGAAGACTTGTGGTTCTGGAATTGCAGCATTGGACAAGTTATCTTTTGTGTGTGGGGAGGAGGTTCTGAAAAGGTTGCATTTCATTCTCTGAAAGATCCAACAATATTATTGGAGCTTTAGAAATGTATAGTGTCACATGTGAAGTTTATATATTACAAATGAAATAGGAATGAGTTGGATGCTCTTGTCTGCTTTGTTTCACACGATTTCCCTTCATTGCAGGGTTTGTACTGTTGAAGTGGATAATGTCAGGTTGCTATGAAAAGCATGAAACTGCATGGCTGCTCCTTTAGGCCATTTACAGTATCCAGATAAGCATCTTGTGGAACTATTCTAATAAGAAACACCTTTAATTAAAAGTGCTGAAAGATAGCAGACAGTTTAAATTAAATTCAAGGACTTTTGCAAAATCCCAATTTGAAAAGGTTATTTGCTTGCATTTACTGCTTCAGAGAAATGGATGAGAAATTAAACACCAAGTTCAAATTATCAACTCGGCATGTACTGTATTGGGCACCGAGGCAAAAGGAACAAAAGGAACTTCAAAACACAAAGTGCAACATTGCTCTAGCCATGGCATCATACCCGACTCCAAGAATTACCTGATGGGATTGTTTCTATCTCTCTCTTTTGCAACACTTTCATTGCGTTGTTATTCCACCGAACACTCCCAGGCAGGCATGAATCAAACTCGCTCCCCAACCCCCAAGTCGCATACACACAGATTGCCATCAAAAGCACTCACTCCAGGCCTTTGAGCTGTACTTGGCCATTTCAGTATTTACTAAATAACCCTCCCTGAACATTTCTCTTTTCCTGGTTGTGCATGCACTATACTTTTAAAGCACACTGAAAACACATCCCCCCTCAAAGAATTCTGGGCACTGTAGTTCACCCCTCAGAGAGTTACAGTTCCAAGCAACCCATAGCAAACGAGAGTGCAAGGAATTTGGAGAGGGCTCTGAGTGTTCTTTAAATGTGCCTTTTGGGCATTCCTTTACACAGCCTGAGACTAAAGAAACATTCCAAATTCATTGGTGTCAACTCTGATAGACCCCCTTCCCAGAAACAAGTGCTCCAAAGGCAACACAATATCATCCTTATGTCTAGTTTGTTCAAGGACCCAGTTCCTAGAAAAATTTCAGAGGTAGGTGAATGGGATTTTAGGTTCTCTCACTCACAAATATATCCACCAATGGTATCAAATCCAAGGCAATCTCTAGACTGCTAATGCTGTTTACTTTGGATGCTGGGAGCCCCAACTCTAAAAATCCTTAATTCCTTAAAAGAAAGGGATTGTGACTTAAGCCTGCTGGGCCTTTTTTGGCCTGGAAGTCCTTCTTCTTCACGCAAAATTCTGCATATGCTCAGATGCACTCTCTTAAAAAGTTTCATTTTCTTTATGTTTTACTCCCATATGACTTAGACCAAATGAATCTTGCTAGCAAACAGAAGCACACATCCTCCTCTCCTTTCCCCTTCCTATCCCGTTGCCTCTTACAGAACCACCCGACACACGTCTACTCAGAAGTAAGTCCCACTGAGCTCGGATTCGTTTCCTCCCAGGTAGGCGGCTGCATTAGCATGGAGATCGCCTGGAGCGCTTTCGCCCGAAGAAAGGCGGTAAGATCAATGTGACACATTAAATAGCTCCCTGCTCTGGCACCGCAGAAGCCCTGCCCGAGTCTCACGTCGACTTTCCACGGTTTCATCATCCCCATCAAAACCTGTTTCGGGCGCCACACTCCTACAAGTTGCAACAAACAGAGCGACCAGAGCCGTCATTCTCCTGAAAACATCACCTCTCTCTCTCTCTCCAACCACCCCCACCTCACTTCGCTAGTAAGCGTCAGCGTAGCTGGAAAGGCGATCTCTCCCCATCCCACCCCACTTTTCTTCCTCTCTCTTTTTTTACCTGCAAATCACCGTCCCGACGTTACTCGCCGCCACTGCGCCCGGCGATACGGCAAAGGGAATGGGATACAGGAGTGCTCGCAGCGGCCGCTTCCTTCCTGCCGTCCCGGCTTCTGGACCGCAACCCTTCTTACGAGCTCCGCCGCTGCGCCTCGAGCAGCTTGCCGGGCGACGCGTTCGATTTTGGAACGCCGGCGTGTCCACGAAGGTTCCACCGTGGAACGTCGGGACGCTGCAGCATTCCACGCGCGCGCGCGCCCTGCGCGCCTCCCCCGAAAGCCGCAGCGCCGTCGCCGGCTCCCTCGCGCAGTGAAAGCGGCAGCCCCAGAACTCCCCGGCTTCGGCGTGCATAAGTAGGTCAGAGCGCCACTGAGCATGCTCGAGGTCGAGCCAAGCTGCTGTGAAAATGCGACTATCCTCCTCCTCCCTCCTCTCCGCAGCCGCCGAAGGTCGCTCGCAGGACCTAGAGGGGGCACCGGGGTGGGGTGGGGGGCGGGAGCGGCTTAACCACTAGGAAACACTCCCCTTTCTCCTGTAGGTAACCTTGGGACGGGGGGTGCAGGAAGATGGCAGATCTCCGCCCAGCAACGTGCAATGACAAGGGATAACGCTGCACAATTAGTATCTGGACCGTAGGGATCCCTTGCAGAAGCTTTGAAAAGGGATGGTTGTTGTTGGGTTACTATTCAGCAGACTGCCTTTAAATACAACTGCCTATTTGTTGCCGGGGTTTTTCCTCTCTACTAGGGTAAAGACTGCTGCCTTCACAGCACACAGATGTCTGTGTCTGTTTTAAATGACTAGTACCCAATAGGAATCAATTAAGTCTTTCTGAAGAGCTACTGGGATTTATTTGGATTTCCTGGGATTCTGTCCAAAAATATATATTTTTTGCAACAAATTGGGAATTCCCTCAATTACCCAAAGAAGGAAAAAAGACTTTTAAAAAGCACCTGCTGTATAGTAGTAAATTACCTTTGTGCCGTGCTGGTAATTTAACTGCTAATTACTATATTCTAAATGCCTGCCTGGAGGCCTTCATCTCTGTCTTCTGAAATAGCATAGATACTAAACAGGAGTGGCCACTGTCACCCTTAGTCTTTGCTGTGGTGATCAAGGTTCTGGCTAAAACGATAAAGGCTGGGGAAGTAATAAGGGGAGTCAAAGTCAAGAAGGTGGAAGATAAACCAAACCTCTTTGCAGATGATACGTTACTGATGTTGCAAGACCCTTCCTCCTCCATCTGCAAGCAATCTTAGAACAGTTCTGCCTGGTAGTTGGACTTGAAATCAATTGTGCCAAGTCTGTTATATTACCTGTAAATGTGCCACCCAATGAAAAAGCTCGGCTTTTTGCTGAATCAGGTTTCGCTCCATGCTTCACCAGCTTTAGATACTTGGGGGTTGTGATAAGGAGGTGGCTGGGTGTGCAACTTCTGCCAAGTGTGGCATAGAAACTCTGGAGTTTTAAAGGAGCTTCAAAGCTGGAGCCACCTTAATTTTAGATGGCCCAGGGAAATAGCTGCTGTCAGAATGCCAATCCTTCTGAAGTTTCTATACCTCTTCCAGGTTCTGGTGTCAATCCTTGTAGTGAATATTAGGAAATGGCAATTGTTATGTACTGAGTTGAATAGGATCCAAAAGGCAGCTGCCTGGTTGGTCCTAGAACAATAGGCTCCAGAATGCAGCAGTCTGATTGGTCCACAGGAGCCACCCAATCCAGCTCCAGGTGGAAGTGAATCTGCGACCTGATTGGCCTACAGGAGAATCCTGGAATTAGCCAATCACGTGGGGCCCATTGTGTAAATAATGTATATAAAGCAGACATTCTGGGGGAACTTCCATTCCTCCTCACCACTATGAGCTGAATAAAGAGCATGAAATCTACTCTCGACTCTGAGTATATTTCAGCAATGTTTATTGAAAGATTTTGCTACCAGAGTGAAATGAAGCAGCTCATCCCCATCATTAAAGTGTACACCTCTTGTGTGGGGGTGGTTACATAGGGATCTACACTTCTCTCTAAACTTAGGATATAGAGGGAATGATAGATACATCCTCTCCAAGCATTGTTGGACTACAATTCCCATCATCCCTGACCATTGCCTGGGGTTCATGGGAACTGGAGTATGATCTCAAATTAGGAGGGCACCATCTTGCTTACAATTGCAGTAACCATTCAGAAGGCATGAGTGCATTATTTTGCCATTTGGATGGAGAATGAGTTATATCAGAAGCAAACAAACAAAGTCTATGGAAATGAATTATATAAATAAGTAGCAGGAGAAATCATCGTCATTTTAACAGTATAATTAGCTTTATCCCCCCCCATTTCTTAAATTTGTTTTTGTTGCCACCAGCCAAGTAAACTTCATTAAAAAATATTCACAGATAAATTGCTTTTCAATAGGATTGCATTCCATTCATTGCAGGACCAGCATAATATGAATTATAGAACCTCAATGAAAACAACTTCTTCTTGTCTGTAATGCATGTAGAAGAACAGGATGCAAAATTTGACAATGATCTACACAAGAGCTAGAGAGTGAGGTGCAGGGCATGATATTTAACCTTCAAAAGATTCAGGATTTGGGTCATGAGGGAAAACAGCCAAATTATTCATGAGTGTGACAAAGAGATGAAATGTGTAGACTTCACACATGTCAAAAGAATACTGGAAGAAAATATTTCCTCTAGCCTTTGATATCAGCATTATGTACTGTTTAACAAAACCAAACCAAACCAAAAGAATCCTGGAAAGAGAAATCTGCCTATCATTTATTTATTTAAAATATTCATCCCTTACCTTTCAACTAAAATTCTCCATGGGGCTACTTTCTAAAATTCCCTTTTATACCAACAATCATATAAAACTAGCAGAGTGTTCCGCTCCTTGAGTTTTGCCTGCTGGACTGGATAGGAAAATTCATAAACCAGCTTTTGCTGGTAGAGTACAGTGCTGATCTAGTGAGAGAGAAGCCATGCCGTCTTAGCAATACCCTTGTACAAAAAAGGAGGAACAAGAGTAGAATGGAAATATGGCAGGACACAAGTGGAGGTTAATCAGAATCCTGCTTTCACTCTATGTCCACAATGCCTTTATGGTATGATTCTAAAACAGGTGGCCAATGAAAACATCCCCATTAGAATGCAATGGAAAGCCACTTCTCACTGGCTGTCCTTTCAACTGCAACGGAGATTGTGATTCTGACTAACTGGAGCTAATCTGGGCACAACCCTAGGAGTACAAAAGTCTCAGAACACAGCTCACGGGTACAACATGTGGCAAGGCCAAAGCTGGGTCCAGGTGTGACCCCCCCCCACAGCTAAATGTCACCTAGTAGACTCACCCTTGTGCACCCCCTGTGGTGGACTTGCTGTTAGTAGATCTATGCCACAGCAATCTGCAGCCAGAGTCTGTAAGCCTCATGTGACTTCTGGCAGCAGTGACCCTCAAGGACAAGGACACATACTCTAAGTATGGATTTTGCAGGAAGGGTGTCCTTCCTAGCAATCTCCAGTGTAGGTACCGTCATTAAGTCACTAGATGATTAAGTCACTCGATGGCACTGAACTTAGTTGCATGTGAATGGAGTCAAGACTGTCCTGTGTAGGTTCCATAATTTTTGGAGTCAGCCAGCCATTTTCTTGTTAAGCTTCGAGGCTGGAGTGTCCTCTGAACCAGTGTTCTTCAACCCTGGGTCCCCATCATCTCCAGTCATCTTAGCCAATGATCAGGGATTATTTGATATGTAGTCCCAACAACATCCGGGGACTCAAGGTTGAAGAACATTGCTCCAAACCTTCCATGACATCTCCCACCATGCACTGATGAAGGTAACAGAGTGCCCACTCGACCGCTTGGATTGGAAGAACAGGCACTACCACAGGTGCCAAATTATACCTGTTGCGCATTTGTAAAAACTCAATTGTTTACTGTGGCAGCACCTGCACTTTGGAACTCCCTCCCTGACCAAGCAGGAGCTATCACTGTACTCTTTTTGGTACCAGCTAAAGGCTACCCAGATGCTTAGAAAGTTGAGATAATGTTAACCTGTATTTAACTTGTGTTTTCAGTATTTTTGGGATGGTTTTAAGCAGTGCTTTTTTCTGGGGGGATACAGGGGGACGCATACCCCATAACATTTTGTGAATCTAAGTTTGGCCTCATTGAGGGGCAGTATTTCAATATGAGTAGGAAAATGAGAGTACCCTAAACATTTTTTATTTTTTTTTTAAGAAAAAAGCACTGGTTTTAAGTATGGATGTATTTTTTTCTTGGCATTATTGTTTTATCTTTTTGTAAACTGCATTGAGGTGTACTTTTTACAATCAAGCAGTGCATAAATTTTATTAACATTTATAAACGCACACGCCTCCATATGTAGACATCCAGGAGATTATCATTGGGAGTGGGAGAAGCTAGGCTGCTGCATCAGCCATGGCTCCCTGCAGAAATCTCTCCTGTATCTGGATTTCTGTCTTAACAGAAATAGGATTATTAAAAATTGATGCCACAGGTAACTTTCAGAGAATGTGCTGTTCCTTCCTCTTCAGTAATAATACTACCTTTCTTCTAAGGCAGCTGTGGTTTAAATGAAAGAATAAAAATTGCTGTTGGTTGCACATCAATAGGCATCCCAAGGTGCACATGGCACTAAGTGACTGCTCTGTTCTCAGTGCTACTCAATTCAGTGGCTGGGAGAGAGATGCAAGTTGCACACATTATACAGGCAGTAGACCACAGAGTGAGGAAAAGGGGTTGGGTCAATGCTTTCCAAAAACATTTTTTTAAAAAAATTCCAATCATGAAATGGAGAGTCCCAGGAAACCAGTGGACATGAGTTCAGATTTTGCTTTCTCTGTTGCGTCTGTATGCTTTCTACCCTGCACTGAATAGCAACCACGGGAAGCACACGAGTAGGACCGGAGCACACCAGCACTTCCCACTCCCCTGGTTTCCAGAAGCTGCTGTTTGGAAGCATGACTGCCTTCAGCTGTGGAGGCAAAGCATGGCCACCATGACTAGTAACTCCAATTCCAATTAAGGGCCCTGTGGCTGCTTTTAGAAAAAGAGAATCACACTGGCAGATCCAACCACAGATCTTCCATGTCATGTCTTGTTAGGCACCGAACGATTGATGTGCTATCTGCACATGTGAATCAGCTCTGTATGTATTGACAGATGAAACAAACATTTATTTAAAAAATCTGATGAGTTTTATTGCCGACATTCCCAATATGTCTTGAGGAAAGGTCTTTCCTACCTAACTAGTCCATCTCCTCCGTTCCTCCCTAAAGCATCCACAGTCAAATATTTCATTCTGAAGGTTAGAATGCAGTATTGTATTGGTTTTGGTTTTGGTTGGGGGAGCAGTGTTCTTAATATTTAAGGTTAAAAAGGTTCAGTTTTACATTGCAGAGGAATCATGGTAGTTATATATTCTTATATGCACCACCTCAAAAATAAATTATTAATAACTTCAATGTGTTTTTAAGAGTATATCACACTGGTAGCTATTAATTTTACAGAGTTACTTGACCCTATACTTTTCAATCATAGATAATTTTTCATGAAGTTCGGGTGCCACCTGGTGGGAGTTTGATGTAACTGGGAATAGTGGGGGTTTTTTATTTTAAAAAATATACTGTTTATAAAACCTTTACCAGGGATTTCCTCTCTAACCTTCTGAAGAGACTGGGTGTGCTCCCCTTTTTGGCTTTGGTAAAAAAAAAAATCCATAGAGCTAAAGGAAATGGCAGGGAATTTATCTCAGCATTGTAGTTCAAGCTGGTCTCTTGCTTCTCCTATAGGCGCAGCAGCCTTGAATCCAAAGCAGAAAGCTGCCATGCTCTCGGACTCTTTTCTACAGTGTATAAGCAGGCAGCCCCCTTGTGCTCTGACCTGCCTCCTTTGTGGGTTCTGATTTCTCAGCAGTGCTCTGTGTGAAGGCCAAAGTTCTGTGCGAAGGCCAAACCTCTCACCTTCTATTCTGCTCAAGTTACTATGTTATACTTGCAGCACCCTGAGGCACCCCCTAGGCTCAGCTCCCGGTGTGGTGGAACCGTTTATACCACCCTGAATCTACCTCTCTCCCCCCTGTCACCACCAACAGACCCTCATCAGGCAAAACCGCAATCCTAAAAACTAACGCTGGCCTTTGCCTTATTAACTAAAACCAGGGCTCAGGGAGGGGCTTCTCCAACTTGACAGTCTGGCACTGAATCTTCCAATGGCCCAACTGCCTACCTTTTGTTTCGTTAACAGCTCAGCCATCACTAGGCTCCGTTCTCCTAACAACCCACACTCAGCAAGGCTGGCTTGGCTTGTATTTTCAACATAAGTGGTTTGGCACAATTTAGCTCCTCAAACCTTGATTAATTCCAACTTTTATTGGGGCCGGGAATTTAGGGGGTTTGCACCCCACAATCTCATAACAATAATTTTGACAGGGTTAAAGGGAACCTTTACCCTATGAGCCAATGAATCCCTCCCAGCCACCCTGTCAGGTCCTCAGGAGGCTCCATGTGCCATGTTCCTCATCAACTTCACTCTGCACTCGGGTGGTTTTTCCTGGCTGGAAAGTTTCCTTGAACTGTGTTGAAGCTGCTTGCTTAACTGGATTGAGAGATGGGTGGGTGGGGGACTAGAAATCTCTGGCTTTGGCACAGCTGAAATGGAACCCATGATATAAAGAGTGACAGCCATTGTTTCACTTCTTGCTACGCCTTTGGCCCTGCTCCACACTGGCATACAAGCCCTGGAAGGTTTTCTACGAGGAAATGCGTTTTCCTTGCGCTGGAAAATGTCCCCTACACCAGTTTGCAACATGATCTTCTGTCTGTGATCCTTTCAACTGGCAATGCCAAGGATTAAGCCTGGAATCTTGCATCCAGTATATAGGATGCTACATCATACCCAGCCAGGGCCCTGATCCATCAACATGGTGCCCATAGGTTCCATGGTGCTCACAAAGTCCTGTCAAGTTCCCAGCCAAGTTCTCCATCCTCCTCACACACCCTGGGTGGAAGTCTAATCTTGAGGAAGCTATCTCCGTCTCTTTAGCAGTTGTACACGTCTGCAAAGGCATCCACCTTCTGTGCTGACCACAGGAGAAAAGCCATGAGAGTTATCAGCGGGCACTAGTATTGGACAAAAAGGAGTTCCCCATGAAGAGAGATTGGTGGTTAAATGACCTTGGGAATTGTGGTGTCATGCATAGAATCTAGTGGCTATTATGTTTAGGAGAGAGACCACTAGAGGGAGTCAACACAAAGGTTTATAATTTTTCTAGGGATGCTAGACTGCCCAGGTTTGCAGTAAAAATAAATTTCTCCACTGACTATGTAAACTTGTGCATGTTGCTGTGGATAATCCAATTTTTAGCTCTCCCTTTCCCTGGATGGAAGAAGGCAAAGCTGGCTCCGGGTTAGTCAGGTACAGCAGCAAAAAGGCAGGGCTGGCCTTTTAAATTCCCTTACAATGCCCCTGGAGCAAATCTATGTCAGGGACCAAGAGGAGACACTTGGGCCTGCTCCAGCTCTGGGCTGCTGGTGGTTTTCCTTTGCTCTGTGCTGAGAGAACCACCAGGCTTGTGGGAGCTGTACCTAACATTTTGTATAGGTTCAGCAACAAGTCCTTCTGAGGGCTTGGGTCATTGGCATTTGCCCCATGGTGACAAGCCCTGGTGCTGAGTCTGGAAATAGATAATTCTGCTATTTCAAGATGTGGGTTTTGTTATGTTATTGAGAATACATTAAGCAGCATTGGAATAATGCTCCAAAAAGGAGCTTGAAATTTTACCTTAAGTAACCACCAAATAATATTAACTGTAATAAATTATAGGTCACAGTAATGCTTGCTTGCTTTTAACAAAAGCAAAAAATCCGTACTATTTAAAATAATGAAAGACTGCTGTATAATCAATGATTTATTTAACAGAACATTCTGTGAAATTAGAGGCACAGTTTTGAATATTAGCCAGTGAAGATTTTGGTAAAAGCTAGTTCACTGTAAGTATCAAGCAGTTTCTTCCTTTATAAGTTCAGCCAGTATCTGGAAACCCTAAAAAAAAGAGCAAGAACATGCTTTCCAAAATGCTCATAGTTCATCTTGACAAAACTCAGTATTATTTAAGTAATATTCCTGTAGTTAAACAAAGCCCATTCATCTGAAGGAATCCAAAGACAGGCTTTATTGAATGGTGTGAGCAACTAATTTATATAATAATAATAATAATAATAATAATAATAATAATAAAAAATCTACTCTTGTGGGAGTGCTGTCCATTAATTAAATATTCATTTTAGTGGACTAACTCTCTTAACTATTAATGCAAATACCGTTGTCGCCTTTGATCATTAGGAATTCATCCAATACTTGAAAGTTATGTGCAGTGCAGTGCGCTGATCCTACATATGCTTACATGAGAGTAAGCCACACTAAACTGAAACTTAATTGTGAGTAAACACGCATAGGAATGCAGTGCAAATTTCTTTTTACTCTGATCTTGCTTGTAGGCTTCCCATGGTGGGAAAAGGGTGCTGAATTACCTGGGCCTTTGGCTTGATCCAGCAGGGTTCTCATAAAGCCATTATTATCAGGGCTTTTTAATAACAGTACTCACTGGTTACAAAGTACAGGCACCTCTTTTTATTTTGCTACCCATGGCAGCTATTTAGTATTTGAACCCACAGTATTTTTCAAATACATAGATACCTAAAAATGCAATGATTATTATCATTCTATATGAATTTAGATACCATTCTTATAATACTTCATGGTGTTTCCCTTTTATGTTTATACAGCAGAAGAAAGCTGGTTATTCAGTAAAACAAATAAATATTCCTATTATCACGCATTTCCTTCTGGCTTCTCAGTGTTTTGGTGTGACTTCTGGAGAAGAAAGACTTTTCTGCTTATGGAAAATCTTAACCATGTGCTGAGAGCCTCCATAAAAATGGAGGAAATCGAGAGAAGTCCTCCTGCTGTCCAAACAGAGGAGGCACTTGATAGTGGGGGCAGCTTATTATGCAGGAGGAACAAAAGCTTAACGGTAGCTCTAACGCTATGCAGGCCCGAGGTCTCTGGTTCAGCCTTGGCACCACTTGTTAAAGAATGGGATATCTGGGAGACTGATGCTTAACCCGGTATCCCAAAGCAAATTCACCCTCCTGTTCTTGCTTATTGGATGTAGAAGGTAGGGCAGGTGAAAAATTCCCAGTCTTGACTACTGGCTTTCATCACATGCTCCCGTGATGGGACACTTTTCTGCTTTCAAGGTGTGTGCCCGTGTGTGCGGTGGGGCTGTTCAACACTTCCTTTCTCAAAACTGAGCTGGCCGCAGAACAGGAATGGGCAGATCAGGATCTATACTGGTAGTGTCAGCATTTTCATCTCTCCCATTGCAAGGATCACCAGATCATGTTTGTTTTACTTTCTGTCTGAGAGAAAGGAGGGGGCAGAAGCTACTCTTCCAGACTTCCATCCCTAGTAATGTGTTTTTTCCCTCCTTTGATCTGTCTAGAGACAAGATGGCAGTATGAGAGAGCTGTTTCTCTCGTACATGTTTGTTATGTTCTTTTATTTGTTTAATTAGAAGAAATAAATTAGGTATGCAACAAAACCTCCACAGCTTTGCTTCCGTTACTCTGCTGCATTTGAGGTGCTCACATGAGCAAATGCGAGTCCACTGCACCAGGACCTATTCCTTGGGAATGCTGTGTTGCTGTCCCTACGTTCCTGTGATCGGAAGGTCAGAGAAGGTGCTCCCGACACCCAGCCCATGCAGGCGCCGAAGACGTGGGCTGAATATGGGTGTACGGAAATCTAGAGCACTGGCTGATTTACAGCAAATTGGCAGGAGAACATAGGAAGCCGCCTTATACAGAGTCAGACCATTGGTCCAGCTTGCTCAGTGTTTTCTGCACTGATTGGCAGTGGCTCTCCAGGGTTTCAGACAAGGTTCTGGATACAGCAGCAGTATGAAGACTTCTGCTGGGGAAAACCTCTTTCAGAGACTTCGGAGAGCACCTTTACCAAAGGCTAGATGGTCTGCTTCAGAGATGGGTTTTGGGTTATTTCCTAACCTACCTGCTTTCTAAGAACCCCTTTTTAAGTTACTGAAGTGACAAATACCTATATCTGACAAAATAAGTATATTTGCTCCAGTATACAGTGGTACCGCGGTTTACAAACGCTTCAGGTTACAGACTTCGCTAAGCCAGAAGTAGTACCTTGGGTTAAGAAATTTACCTCAGGATGAGAACAGAAATCGCGGGTCAGCAGGAGCCCCATTAGCTAAAGTGGTACCTCAGGTTAAGAACGGACCTCTGGAACAAATTAAGTTCTTATCCAGAGGTACCACTGTATTGGTTTAGTGGCATTAATACAATACATTGTTGTTAAAACTTGTCTATTCACTGCTGTGTTGTGTGTGTGCCTTTCTTGTATCTTCTTGGCTTGAGTCTTTCTGTTTCAGCAGCACATGTAAAATACTGGCAGTATATGGAACCGGAAGGACACTTTAAGCATAACCATAAAGTGTAAAAATGATCACTAGGTGGTAAAGTCTACTGGGAGTTCAAAGAGAGGGCAAAATATATGCCACTTCTTTGCAAGTTATCAGACTTTTATTGTAATTTAAAATTCTTAAGACGAGACTGACTGAGAGTATTGGAAAACCCACAATTATTTTAATACAGAAAGAGAAAGTCAATGTTTTTGTAACGATCCAGAAACCGACTGTGATTTATTCTTCATTTTTGTCAAATGCACCTTGTTCCCTTATTCCTTTTTATTCACAACATAAAAAAAGAAAACAATTTGCACTTAAACTGGAATATTCAAGCCAATGGGTTTGGTAATTTTTCTAATGTTTCCAATGGGGCTTATTTACTTGCACTAATGATTTTCAATAAAAACTGTTTCAGTTGTTTCTTCTGACAGAAAGAGAATGTCAAATCAAATGCAAAAAAACCCCATTCCCTTCCCTGGAACCAAGATGCAACAATTTGGCTGTAGTCCTATACATAATTAACATACACACACTGAACTCAAGAGGAGTTTCGTCTCTGTAGACGTTTACTGGCACTGGCCATCACAGTTACGCAGCAACTTAAATTCCCAATCTACACTGTTGCCAGGGACTTCTCTCTGCTGCAGGGCAAACCACCACAGAAGCCCCTGCTGTGCTCGCTGAGTCCTGCTGGCAGTAGCTAACAACCTAAATCCCTAAATGGGACTTTTGTAGGCAAGGGCCATAGATGAATCCACTGGGTCCACAGCAGGTCCATTTCCCTCAGAATGGCCCAGCTCAGGCCCCTTTGCTGCACCAGCCTGAGAGTTGGCACAGCAAAAATAGACAATTCAATTGTTTCTGCCACCCACACATACCCTTTCCCCTGGCAAGGTTGTGGATCCAGCAATTAATCTACCGCTCCATGCCTACTGTTTCACTTAGGATGGTGCAGTCCCATACATGTCTACTCAGGAGGAAGTTCTATTGAGTTCAGTGGGATTTAGAATCATACAATTTTGCTTCTCATGTAATTCCTTTTTTTGGACAACAAGAGAGTAGATTGCACTTACCCGGTCCATTTCATCTGGAGTAGCGAAAGAGTAGGAAACTCTGATATGAGGAGATGGTTCTGAGGGATCAATCATATAAGGTTTCCCAGGAAGTAAAGACACCTAAAAATGTTGATTATTTTTTATGACTTGTTCATTACTTTTATTGCTTGTGTGTATGTAGATACTACTAATTTATCATGCATGAATATACTGTTTGTAGATCTGTTATTGTCCACATGTTATCTCCACATGTTTACGTAGTGAAATAACTGGAAGGGAGGAGTTATAGAATGGAAATTCAACATATTTCCATCAATGAAAGCATATACTTTAGCCCAATGAACAATCTTTCCCTGTGTCCTATTGCACTAGCTTGTACTGGCTTCTACTAGCAGAACAGGGTAGTTTAATCCATCCCCTAAATTTTAGTTATCTCAGATAGAAGTAAGAAATAGACCTTTCCATACATATTAAACTAGAGAAAAACTGCTGAAACAAGTTCATTTCTGGCCTGCTTATTATAGTACACTTTATTCTTGTGGATGATGTGGGCTCATAGAAAGCAATCATATTACTTACGTAAAATGATTTATGCTGTAAAAAAAATAGGAAATTAAATTCAAAAGGATAAATCAATGGTAGTTCTATGGAGCTCCACCTTACTGAACTGGATTACTTGGCATGCATTTATATTTTTCAGGAGTATTTCATTTTCAGTTGCAGAATTTCTACAAGAAGTTCTTTCATTTGCATTTTCCTCTGAAACGGCTTTTTGTTGCTAACACAACAATAAGGCTATAACAATAGAACTGGTAGAAGCTGAGCGCCACAGAAATTTATGGACTGCATGACTGGGTCAGAAGCAGGGATGCATGAATTTCAGCCCCCCCCCTTATTTTTCTAGCCTTAAGATCAATTTTACACATTTCCACACCATTATACAAGTTGTCTTGAGTATTCATCAACATTTTGCTGTGTATTTCTCCCAGTATATACATTTTTGTATGCAATTTGCCAAATAATACACATAATTGGATGTTATTTTAACTAATATATGCATTTTTATGCACACTTTCCCCTAATATGCCCATTTTTCTACACATCACAGTTGTATTGCAAAATTCAGAAAAATGAAAAATTCAAAGGATACAAATGAGCCTGATCTAATTATGTTTGACTCTACTGAAAGTGCTGTAAATAAATTAATCATGTCCATTAATCGTAATGTGTCTACTTTGAGTAGGATTAAGATTTCTTCGGGAAGTGCAAATTAATCAGGTTTGCAGTAAAATGCAAACTAAAGCAGAATTTCTTTCTCATCCTTATTCGGACATGACAGCCCAGTGACATCAGCCCATTCACCCCCCAACTCCACATCATGAAATATTTCAGCCTTTCCCATTACCACAGCAGTAGAGTAATCAATTTTTCCTACCCCTTTCTCCAGTGCTTTTTCCATGACCATCTGGAATGTATCTGTAACCCCCTTAATTTTAATCCACAAAAATAGTCCAGCATTAGGAGCATGCCACTCTGCTAAACCTAGAGGAGAAAGTACAACAATGAAGTGAAAGCATCCCAACAAGCTTATCAAGCGTTTGTGTTTTTAAAAAATTCAGTGCTTACGACAAGCACAGTGGTGTAGCAGAACACTTCAGCCTTCTTCACCAGGGCCTCAGCCATACAGTTTCGCATGTCAGAGGCCAGATTTTCTACCACACTCAGCCAACTAGCTATCATAGTCTTGTATATGTATTGGTTTTGAGCACACATGGTCCTTGGACATTCCAAGGGTGAGTTCACACAACCTGAGCTTCATGCTTACATGTGGGTCAAGTAAACAAGCACTAGAACTGGAGTTTAAAGTTGCCATTTACCATCATACTGTTTTTCTGCTTGGCCCAATAGCAAAGCAATGTCTCTTTTTCTGATGATGTGAGACACATCCAGATACTACTATGGTGGTGTTATAATCTGATGACAGGAAATAGAAGGCACAAAATGAAGCCCATGTCATTTGCTAATCACACATCCAGGAAGTACCATTCCATAGTTCTGGTTGGCTAATTTAGCTATAAGGATCTCCTCTAGCAAGTTCTTTTTACCTTCCTGCCTTCCAGACATACCTGTTTTTACTCTGGAAAACAAGCGCTACTGGCTGCAAAGACTATGTTAGAACTGTCACCAGTTCTTGACAGATGTATGGTTGCACCAAGAACAACCTAAGATACCTAACATGATCTAGAGCTCTTAGTCTCATGAAGTGAAGGCCAAGAAATGTGCTCTACAGACTAGTCTAAATGTTTCATTTCTAAAGCAGATACTGCTTAAAATTATCTCTCTGTGTTGCATTTTCCACAGTAACTCAGAGTGCAGCACCTAATGGACTTTTCTCAGCAGGCAGTTTCCATGCACTCATTATTGACCGTGCCTGGTGCCGCCAACACGAACACTCTACATGATGTGGACAAATAACTTGATAACCCATGCTGTGCACACCAGTGGCGCATGGAGGAGACACACTCCATTCTGTTTGGAGTTCTTTTGAATGGCAGATGCTCGTTTCAAGGGGCAACTGTTTGACAAGTAGTAATGGCAACCCTAACCCATCCGTTTTCTCACTCCTACCATGTTAAAATCATCTTAGCCTTTGTGTTTCTTCTTTAAATCTGTAAAGAATCTTTTGTGGGGTTTTTTTTTATAAAAAATCTGGGCACATTGTTACATCTAATTGCCCATGGGAGTGAGTTCACTGACCTGTCAGCCATTTGTCTGCTGCAGCAAGCATCGTGTCGCGCTGTTTTTTGTAGAACTCTGCCACTCTGAAAACAAACAATCAATGCTTGCATTCTTAGCGAAGAAAAGTGGGGGTCATGTGTCAGCCGTAGCACTTCCATTAAATTGTTCTAGACAAGTCACATTCAGAACTAATATAACTTGAACAGCAATACAAGGCACTCAATCTCTGTACTGTGGATGGAGACTATGGGCAGTTGCTTAGGTCACACAATAGCTGGCAACAATTTACTGTGGAAGAAATGGCTAGCACTGTTTCTTCTACTACCCCTTTCATGGATTAAGGAAAAAAAATGCATTGTTGCCCACGATCTCAGGTGTGACCAAGAAGACAGCATATATTTGGGTGAGAATTTAATGATTGCATCCTTCCTAGTTAGTATGATTTCTTCAGAATTCATTTTGATTATAAGTTTGAGTGAAAAATAAGCTCCCCAAATTCTCCATCCTATTTGGGTGGGGAAATGGACAGTGTGGGTTTCTTTGTATATTCTCCTACATAACCCTAGGCTGTCCACCTCTTCCACGATGTAGCAGCAGTAAAGTTAATGGGAAACCTCTGCCTGCCAAGAACCATAACAGAATGAATGAATGAATGACATCAAGAGAAATAGGGAAGGTAAGTAGGACACATGTCAAGGGGTAGATGGTGCAGTATTTTTTGCTCTATAATACGCACTTTTCCCCTCCAAAAAAGTAAGGGGAAATGTGTGTGCGTCTTATGGAGCGAATGCAGGCTCCATGGCTTCAGCGAAAGCAACGGGAAGCCTCCGGAGCACAGCGGGATCTCCCGCTGCGCTCCGGAGGCTTCCCGTTGCTTTCGCTGAAGCCAGAAGAGCAAGAGGGGGTGGTGCGCACCACCCCCTCTTGCTCTCCTGGCTTCGCTTCACTGGAGAGGCGCTGCGCAGCTTTCCCTCTCTGCACCGTGCCCCTGCAGCGAAGTGGGAGGAGAACTGGAAGGGGCTCCGTGTCTCCTGCCACTTCGCTGAAGGGGCGCTGCGCAGAGAGGGAGAGAATTTTTTTTTCTTGTTCTCCCCCTCTATTATCAATTATTTCAAAATAGAATGAAGAGACGGTAGGACCATGGCGAGAGCTTTCACAGGCAAAGGTGCTTTTTTCTGATCTGGTGATATGAGATACTGTGGCCAACTGTCAACCGTATCCATTAACTATAGCCTGAGCCCGGTTTTTGCCAGGGAGGGCGGGATACAAATAATAATAATAATAATAATAATAATTTCTTCTATGGAATTGATGAAAGTGACACTTACAGCCTATGGACTGTGAGCATGTTAGAAACATAAGGAGCTGCCTTATACTGAGTCAGACCACTGGTCCAACTAGCTCAGGATTGCTTGCACTGACTGACAGCAGCTCTCCAGGGTTTCAAGCAGGGAGTCTCTCCCAACCCTACCCGGAGATGCCAGGGATTGTACCTGAGACCTTCTGCATGCAAAGCTGATGCTCTACCACTGAGCTATAGCCCTTCCCCAAATGCTAGCATTTTCATAATCCCCTTACCGGTCTGCATTATCCAGAAAACCCTTTTGCCCCCACTTCTTAAGAAGTTCCATTACGATGACCTGCAAGAGAAAGCAAGAAAGCACCCAATGTGATGTCACAATCTAAATAAAATATGCAAGATTTGTGTATTCACTGTTAGTTCCCAGGATTCCTTGGAGGGGAACCATGACTGGGAGTGCTTCGACTTTTAGCTGAATTCTATATATGTTTATTTAGGATTAAGCATTCAATTGGGGCCCCACTTTCAATTAAGTGTTATCAGGATTACAGCTTTAGTTTTGAAAAGGAATCCAATATATGACTAATGTTTACCTGTGCAAAAGTGTTGGGTTGCATTGTTGAGGCCTGAGTATGTAGAACAATTTTGTCTATAAAAGGTGCAGGTCCTGTTATAAAGCCTATTCTCAACCTATAGAAGAGAAAATACAACAAAGAGTTGAAAGACACACACCCTACTTAATTTGGCAAGTCCCCAGTTTTAAATTTTGTCCCTTTTTTGTTCTGCACATTGTTTTGTACAATTCCGTCTGGATTTTGTGAGGGCTGTCAAATCACTGAAAACACCCATAGCCGTGCAACGAGCATTTCAATTTGCAGTATTTGACAGATTCAAATGTCGTTATTGTTTCAAAATCTCCATCGTCACTCTAATTTAAGGTGATAGGGGTATTGCTACAGGGAGCATGTTCTGCACTTCCATATTCTACTCACCCGGAAGAGATAATTTTAGAGAAAGAATCACCTCTGATGACTCGACCATCAACATCCATTGAAAGAAATGATGGCGCTTTAGTCTTAAAATGCAAATAACATAATATTATTAAAACAAAACAAACCAATATTAAGGTTTCGCTTGGCACATGAGCTATGTGGAGGTGGGATAAGAACATAAGAAGAGCCGTGTTAGATTCAGGGGCAAAGATGTCAGAGGCAAAGGGATGGAGGCTGTCAGTGTTATTTACTGCTGAAGTGGTCCACCTAGTCCAGTACCTAGTTCAGCAGGTTCTGAGCCAAATAGCCATTTTCAGCAGCTGGAGTACTGCTCCAGCAGTGGAGGCAGAACATAGACATCAAGATTAGTAACCATTAATATGATAGCAAACTATTCCCCTGAAAAGTCCTGTAAGAAATGGGAAGGGGAAAAATTGTATTTCTTTCCTACCTAGAAGTTGTACAAATGGTGCATAGAACTTTTTTAAAAAATGAACCAACCTCTAGACACCAGCACAGATCAATGGAGACATTGACCGTCATCATCATGCCAAACCTACGGATCAATGGAGATAATGACTATCATCGTCATCACGCCAAACCTGGGCCTAGGAGAGCCCAGGTGTGTGTAGGGGTCTCTGAGATGATCCTGCAGTTTCTATGGGATCTGGAGGACCTTTCCCCACAAAAGACAGAGGGCTATATATTGCCACTGTGAGTGTGCTCTCTACAATGCATTGAAAGCACCTTGAACCAATCATGGGGCGTGCACATAGCCAGGAAAGTGGAGTTAGCTTTGGCGAAGCTGCAGGATGAAGTAATCAAGGTGTTAGAGGCAAAGATACTGGAGCTATCAAAGCATTAACTACTGGTCTAGAAAGAAAAATATGACCATTGTGCTTAGACATGATGGAGGAAAAGAAAAACTGGATATTCTTAAAAGAGACAAGCTAGGGCAAGGCAGAACTGTGTGACATGTGACTCAAGACTGTCAATCATCTACACTTGGGTTGTCACCTGCTTTTGGGGGAAGAATTGTGACTTGGTAGTAGAGCACCTGTTCTGCATGTAGAAACTCCCAGGCTCAATCTTTGGTATCTCCTGGTAGGGCTGGAAGAGACTCCTGACTGAATTCCTGGAGAGCTGCCAACATTCAGTGTAGACAATACTGCTCTTGATAGATGAATGGGATGACTTGGTTGTAAGGCTTCCTATATTCCTATGTTCTTGGGCCTAAGTGCCTAAGGAGCCTTAAAATCTAGATCAGCGGTTCTCAACCTGTGGGTGCCCAGATGTGGTTGGACTACAACTCCCATCACCCCTGAGCTCTGGCCTTGCTAGCTAGGGGTGATGGGAGTTGTAGTCCAACAACATCTGGGGACCCACAGGTTGAGAACCGCTGATCTAGAGGATGAACATGCTTTTATTTTGTGTCAAGAAGAAAACATACACAGAACAAATCAATTAGTATATTTAGTTTGGGAAGTGCTATTAGTTTGATTTTACCTTCTGAAACTGGATGAAATAGTATGGATCATCTTCTATTATAAGAAAGTTGTATTCGTGGGCAAGCTAAAAGATAAACCAACAAGAAAAGAAGAGAAAATAATTTTGTGGAATGGTCAGTGCATACACAACTATGGTTTGCCAACAAGCCAAAACAATAGTGGTCCTATCAAACATGAGAAAACCTTGGAAAATTGATGTGTCCCAAGTTTATGTTCATGTTTCCCATTTTGTGCTGAGTTGATGAACAGTCACCTCAGGTGGCAGCGGAGGGGAGGAGGAAGCAGGGGGCACCATGTTGTTTTGCCTCAAGTGGGAAAATGCCCTGGGTTGGCCTTGCTTTCTGTGAACTCTCCTTTGCTGCCTTCTTCCTTCCATTCTTCCTTTGCTGTTCCAGAGCAGCGAGGATGGGAGCACAGGGAATTTGCTTAATTGTTTTGGGAAAGAGACATCTCTCTCATCTGCTGCTGCATTTGTAGTACTGCCAGCTAGTGCTCTCTCTTTTTGGATAAAATAAAATAAGGTGTCAGTACATAGGCTGCAAAGAGGAAGAAGAGGTGACCACACTCCATATTGGTAGGTAGTTTCTTAAAAAAAGCAAAAAAAGCAAGAAGAAGAAGAAGCAAGCACAGTTGTCTATATTAAATTGCTGCTCTGTATACCTGCCTAGGGTTGCTTAGTGGAAATGCTGTCTTTGTTTCTTCTTAAGATGATGCCCGGGTACCAAGGATTACCTGGTAAATCTCTTTTTTGCGTTCCGCTGTCAGGGAGCTCCCAGAAGGATTGCCACCATTAGGAACACTGTACAGGAACTTAGGGGGCTTGTCCGTGAGCTTATGCACATTGTCTGATTTCCACCTGGAAAGAATCTCCTTCAAGCCTTTGGGAATGATTCCATGGGCATCACTAGGTACTTTGATGATGTTACATCTCAAGGCTTTTAGCTGTTTATGAAAAGAAACATGGTATTACACATAATTTATTATCCAATCCACAGAGGCCATTAAAACCAGGACATTATTTCAGCAGCTAAGCTCGAAACCACTCGTATACAGAAGTCATATACCGTGCCCCTTAAAACTGGTTCTGAAATGTCATATGCTGGTGGTAGTAGCTGATGGAGGATGGATCGCAGTTGGAGGATGGATGGCGGCTAACAGATTGAGGTTGAATCCTGACAAGAAAGAAGAACTGTTTTAGGGGGACAGGAGGTGGGCAGGTGTGGAGGACTCCCTGGTCCTGAATGGGATAACTGTGCCCCTGAAGGACCAGGTGTGCAGCCTGGGAGTCATTTTGGACTCGCAGCTGTCCATGGAGGCACAGGTCAATTCTGTGTCCAGGGCAGCTGTTTATCAGCTCCATCTGGTACGCAGGCTGAGACCCTACCTGCCCGCGGACTGTCTTGCCAGAGTGGTGCATGCTCTAGTTATCTCCTGCTTGGACTACTACAACACACTCTATGTGGGGCTACCTTGGGAGGTGACCAGGAAACTACAACTAATACAGAATGTGGCAGCTAGACTGGTGACTGGGAGCGCCCGCTGAGACCATATAACATTGGTCTTGAAAGACCTACATTGGCTCCTAGTACGTTTCCGAGCACAATTCAAAGTGTTGGTGGTGACCTTTAAAGCCCTAAATGGCCTCAGTCCAGTACACCTGAAGGAGAGTCTCCACCCAGCAGCGAGGGCCTTCTGGCGGTTCCCTCATTGCGAGAAGTGAGGTTACAGGGGACGAGACAGAGGGCCTTCTCGGTAGTGGCGCCCGCACTGTGGAACATCCTCCCACCAGATGTCAAAGGAAAAAACAACTACCGGACTTTTAGAAGACATCTGAAAGCAGCCCTGTTTAGGGAAGCTTTTAATATCTGAAGGACTATTGTATTTTAATATTGTGTTGGAAACCGCCCAGCGTGGCTGGGGAAATCCAGCCAGATGGGCGGGGTGAAAATAAATTATTATTATTATTATTACAGTATAAATGCCAGTGACAATTAGAGATGCACAAAGATTCATCCTTGCTGTATTGTTTTTAATATTCGCTTGGAAGCTGCCCAGAGTGGCTGGGGAAACCTAGCCAGATGGGCGGGGTATAAATAAGTTGTTGTTGTTGTTGTTGTTGTTGTTGTTGTTGTTGTTGTTATCCGAAGAGGGGATTGAGACTCTCCAAACCCTCCCTGCCAGAAATGGATGCTAACAGCTTCATTTTCCCAGGAGGGATGTTGAGACTTGTCGTTCCAGCCTCTTTCCTGTGTAGGAAATGGATGCTCTAAGTACCCATGCTGACATTGCCACCTTTGCTGCTGTCCCTTTACCGGGATAGAGGCAGGGGAAGGGATGGTGGCAGTGGGTGCTCAGAGATTCAGCTGAGCAGGCCTTCGTGCAAGCCTGATCATGGCATGCTTCAAGTTAAGGGCCTTGCTTGGACGGGTCTAGTCATGAGAAATGAAACTGAGCTGCTTGCTATGCGAATATTCCTGTTGATTCATCACAACATCCACACTGACAATGAAAAAAACCACAAAGAACAGGCGAAAACAAGGGAGGCAGTGGTAGGCAAAAGAAGGCAGCTCCTGGTCCTGTTTTGTAAACTTTAGGAATCCAAAATGGAGGCTCTGTTAGTATGGTTTCGGACATAGCTCAACAACTTTTCTGTCCGGATTTTCACCACTGTTTGAAAATGGCAAACCTAGCTTAGATGCATAGCTTGTAGCCACCAGAAGCTCTGCATCCAGCATTGTGGGCCTGATTCTATGGAACCCCCTCCCAGCTGAGATCAGACAGACCCCTCTCCCTTTTTTCAGGTGGTTGACAAAGACCTCCACCTACCATCAAGCAGGCATTTTCAGGAAGTTTTCTGTTTTTATGATTAATTTATTTTATCCATATTTTGTAATGTACACCACTTAGAGACTGAGATAATTAAGTAGTATATAAATACCTTAAATTAAATAAAACACTTGTTACTTTTTGATACAATTCTTGTCATACATGGCAAACCACTCACGGAGTCCCAATATGAACTTTTACAATGGCGTGTTTATGCACCAAAGAACTAGAGTTGGCATAGCAGCTTGCTGTGATGGGACCCCAAAGATAACTCACTGCTAACATTGCCCCGTGGAAGTTCGGCTCCTCTACAAGGACGTTGTCGCCTGGGTTGATGAGCATATCAAACGCCTGCAAAAAAAGATCAAAAAGGTTTGAAACAGTGAGCATCCTACTGGATTTTAGTGGAGTCCTATCCAAGTTTTAATATTAAAACCTAATACTTTACCAGTGTTGATGTAAGGCATATCATCACCACCTCAACCCCCATAGCAATTAGGCTTGGCAAACAAAATGAAAAGTCCTGTTTTTCTCTCTCAACCTAATTGCCACAAAGGCAGGTTGGGGCCCAAGAAGGGATATGGCAGGGTAGATTCAAGTCATCAGGTCATATATGGCCCACAGGTTGGCCAGCCCCCCAATCTAAATGGTGACATTATCTTGCTCTTCTTTTGACACCAGCCAGGAAGGCTGTCCTGAATGTCTTGTCTGTATTTGAGATATATAGCAGAGACATGTTAGGAGATCTTTCTCTGGTTATATCTGGGCTGTGGAAATCATTGTCCCCTGATTCTGGCTTAATGTTTTTGGGCTGCTTTCTTAAGATATCCCATCAGAAGTTCAATTTATCTGGCTGACAATTGATAGCTATCTGCTTCCTGGTTTTAATCTTTTCTTCCATTAGTCATGTGTTTTTGTTTTAAAACTGGTTTTGATCAACTTTTAACTGTGTAGTATTTGGCCTTGGGTCCTTCTCAGAAGTGGACAACCAGAATTAATCTCATTTTATAAATAAATAAAAATGATAAAATTGCACTACCCCTAACTTAGATTTTACGCAACTTCCCCCCCCTTGAGCATATAGTTTACATATAGATGCTAAGCACAAGCAAGCATTACATAACTAGAAAATAAAAATAGTTAGTAATGCAGAAGATTAAAAACAAAGATGACAAGGAGCAGATCTCTGGTGAATAAATCATTCTATGATATGTCCCTGAAGTCAATCATCTCTATAAAGAACAATGGATGTGCATCTATTTATATTTAAGAATCAGAATTTAGAACTACATAATTGGAAAGCTACATAACTGGAAGCAATTTCATCTGGTTCTGTCTCCACTGAGGACAGGGGTGCCAACTTGAATAAAAGATTGGGGGGGGGAGCAGGTAAGATGTGGCACACACACTCCATTTGAATGCCAATGGCCATCAACTTTGGACCCTCCCCCGGCACCCTCAAATATTTTATTGGGGTGTGGGTGAAGGAACCTTGGCCCCTCGGACTCCTATGACTAGGGACAGGAGTCAACAGTTTCCATGAGCTTAATTCTGAAAATAGGATAGTTCTGCTGGATGAAGGAGAGAAGTAATTTTAATTTCTCCTCCTTCTCCTTCTCCTTCTCCTTCTCCTTCTCCTTCTCCTTCTCCTCCTCCTCCTCCTCCTTCTCCTGCAAAGCTGCTCAAGAAAGTTGGAAGACCCTCTTGAACAGTGTAGGAAGCAGCGTGAAGGACTGAAGGAGGAATGGGGAGTTGATAAAAATCCCTTCCCTTCTACCAGTGGGGACCTCCACTGAATCTCAGACCTTTCCATGGAAGGGAACAACAACAAAAAAAACTTGATGGAATAATACACTTGTATTTTCCAATAGTGCACATGAAGCAGTCATGTCAAGTCTTTATTTTCAAGTATTAACTTTGCTCAACTGATTTGATATGATGGGGAAGAATCATCAGCAGAAAAATATCCTTCTGATTTAATTGCTATAGAGGGACTCAGTGGGCATTTGGCTCAGTTGTCTGAACTGACATGGTTCTGTTGACCTTTGAATCGCTCGTACTTTAGTAAGGCCATCCTGGCTGCCTGAAGTGAGACATATCTTCATTTGTCCTTTCTCAGGAGCATACGTCGCTGTTGGTGGGTTGTGGAGCTTCATCTGCAAGTCTCTGAACCAAGACAATAAGTTGTGCATTCTGGAAGACAGAGATTTTATTCTTCTTTTTAAATATCCTCAGTTCTTCATGCATAATATACCACTTCAGGTTAGCTTGAAGTTGGTACAATGAAGAAAAAACAAACAAACAGAAATACACAAACATCTTAACACTTACTTAGAAATGGATATGAAAAACTTATTTACGTGGACCAGGAGTGCGTTCATTAGTATTATTTTAAATAACAAGTCTTTTGAATAAATGACTAGGGAGTTGCTTGAGCTAATTAAGAACATAAGAAAATCCTTGCTGGGTAAGGCAAAAGGCTCATCTATTCCAGTATCCTGGGCTCACAGTGGCCCACCAGATGACTGTGGGAAACTCTGAGCACTCTCCCCCCAAAGTTTTATATTAAATTGTAATTTATTTTGTATCTGTTGCGCATCCATCTATGGACAGAGTTCCCTGGAAAGAGGGATTGTTGGTTAAACCACTCTGGTAATTGTAGCTCTGTGTAGGGAATAGGGATTTCCTAAGAACACTCAGTACTATGGTTCCCAGGATTATGTTGCAGAATACACCTGCAATAAAACACCAGTCTGGAGGGCCCCTCTGCATGATTTTTCATCATACCCCTCTGTAGCACTGTACTGAAGAGCTCTCTTCATCAGTTGTTCTCCAATTTCAATGGTGCTTCCATCATTGAGGGTTATACTTGCTGTTTTCATTGGGAAATAGTTAGGGTTTGGCATACCCCCACTAAGCATGATGACGGTAGACGCTGTCATCTTCTTTTCCAGTTCATCTGCCGTTAACATGAGTAAAAGAATATTAGCTAATAAGTTAAAAGATATAATTAACAGAAAAAATGAACTTCAGAGGAAGCCAAATGTGAAAGAAAATGCTATTCTTTTTTTAAAAAAATAATTTTTATTAAGTTTCTTACAGATGTAACATAAGAAAAACAGATAAAAAAGAAAAAAGACAAGATCACAAATATAAACAAAAAAGAGAGTAAAAACAAAATACCGGTAAACACCTACAACCTAAACACCTAAACAACACAAATTAATTAATTATTTAAACTTCTAACCTCATAAACATATTTTGGGCTTCCTCTGAGCCCTCCCATCTGAATTTCCTTGTAATTAAAATGTAGCAGTTTTCTGATATCATTTTTTTAAAACCACAATATTCCAATTAAAATAAAATTTCTTAACTTTCCTTAAAGTTCTAAATCTTATTTATTTAATTAACTCTTAATTTAATCCTAGGCCTATTTTGGTACTTTCAAGTAATTTCTAATTTTTAATATCACAGTATTAAATTTCTTCCACTCTTCTTGGTATTCCTCTTCTTTTTGGTTGCGGATTCTTCCAGTAAGGTCAGCCAGCTCCATATATTCCATCATTTTCATCTGCCATTCTTCCACACTTGGTAGTTCTTGTGTTTTCCATTTCTTGGCTATTAAAATTCGAGCAGCAATTGTGGCATACAAAAATAACTTTACATCTTTCTTGGGCAGTTCCAAACCTATTATTCCAAGGAGAAAGGCCTCTGGTTTTTTTTAATATATGTATATTTCAACATTTTTTAAAATTCATTATAAATCTTTTCCCAGAAGTCTCTCCCCTTGGAACATGTCCACCACATGTGATAAAAGGTACCTTCCTTTTCTTTGTATTTCCAACATATGTTATCACAACTATGATAGATCTTAGCTAATTTAACCTTAGCTAATTTGCTATTCTTACCTACTGTGTCACAGAACACTTTTTAAAACATTAGTGTTTTTTAAATATAAGGTAATATTAAACATCACAGTTGTGTTCTATGGTGAATGTAATCCAGTTTTGATCTGTATAAGCAGCTATCTTGGAGAAGCCCATATGTTGTGGTTTTCTAGTAGTTGGGGGATACAATATGGTGGTTGAAGGATGCATTGTCTACATGATTAGGTATATCATGAAATAAGAGCTTCTGTAGGAATGAGGTTCTTAGCTGAAACTAGAAACAAACCTAGAGGTTTTCCCATTCATGTTTAATTTCATTGTGAACAGCATGTTGGTGCTGTGTACCCTCCCCCCATACAGGTAAAACACGTCCTCCATCCTCAAGAATCCTGGGAACTGTAATTTGTTAAGGGTACTAGAGATTGTAGCTCTGTGAGGGGGCAAACTGCAATTCCCAGGATTCTTTGGGGATGGGTAGGTGGGGGCTTTAGTGATGTATGGAAGTGAGAGCTGGACCATAAAGAAGGCGGATCGCCAAAGAATTAATACTTTTGAATTATGATGATGGAGGAGACTCTTGAGAGTCCCATGGACTGCAAGAAGATCAAACCTATCCATTCTTAAGGAAATCAGCCCTGAGTGCTCACTGGAAGGACAGATCCTGAAGCTGAGGCTCCAATACTTTGGCCACCTCATGAGAAGAGAAGACTCCCTGGAAAAGACCCTGACGTTGGGAAAGATTGAGGGCTCAAGGAGAAGGGGACGACAGAGGATGAGATGGACAGTGTTCTTGAAGCTACCAGCATGAATTTGACCAAACTGTAGGAGGCAATGGAAGACAGGAGTGCCTGGCATGCTCTGGTCCATGGGGTCACAAAGAGTCGGACACAACTAAGCGACTAAACAACAACAACAAGGCGGGGGCTTTGAATGTGTGCTGTGTAAGCAGCCTTAGAGTCAGATAGATCCAATTCCATTACAGATAAAACACCTAAATAACCAAAAACTAGCAGAAAATGAAATAGGAGTTGAGTGCAATTCTATACATATCTATTCAGAAGTAAGTTTCACTCCATTCAGTGGAGCTTCTTCCCTGCTGAGTGTGTGTAGGCCTACAACCTAACTCTATTAGTTTTTACTGTTATGCAGTGATGTGTATATTTATGATGTTACTGAGCAGTTAATTACAGCATTACAAGGTTGCCTTATATACCTGGCTACATTATTTAATCTGATTCGGAGCAACTTGCCAGGGTCTCGGGCAAAGGTCTCACCTGTTACCTGGTCTTTAAAAAATCTGGAAATACTATCAGGGATTGAACATGAGACTCTGTGCAAACCATCTGCTGTAGCACTGAGGTGCAGTCCCACCCAATTTATTATTCATTTATTTCATAAAATTTATACGCCGCTTGATTGTAAAAACCCCTCAAAGCAGTTTACAAAAAGGTAAACCAACAATACCCAATAGCATTATTCTTCCGAATGGGAACTTGCACTCTCTCTCAACAAGACTTTTCTGAGCATAAGCATATTCTATTAATATAAAGCCAGGAGAAAATGAAAATTGTGAAGCAAATCAGGTGATGACTGGAAAATGCAACTACTCACTTGAAAGTCTTGCAACGTTTGGTTTCCTTGCTGCACTTACATCGGACAGGAATTTGGAATAATCCATTTTGATGTGACAAGCAGTGAAAAGGTTCCTTAGATTTCCTTAGAAAGCTGCAGTAGAAATTAGACACAGATAATGATTACACTTGTATGTTCTGATCTCTTTCTCTTAGCACAGAGAATGCTTCAGTACTTTATGTTCAACTGCTCACATGTTCTACTTTATAACTTGGCACAAATAAGAGCAATCAAATATCTTTTCAAATCCAATATTAACTAAGGGGCCTTCTCTGAAGCTGAGGAACACAGGGCAGCCTAAAACAATTTAAAAACGCAATGTCATTAAATAGAGTAAAAAAATAAATCACATTAACAACAGGCAGAACAACAAGTTCCAAACAGAGTTAAAATCACCATCAATTTTTCTTCTTCAAAAAATGTATTTATCAGGGATAACAAACTTCTATAAAGTAGAGCTGTGCTAATTCTTCATGCATGAACATATCAAGGAAAAATATTGTGCTTTTGAGAAGCAAAAAAGGGTTTTCCAACATCACATTTCTCCCTCTGCCTCTGCCTCTGCCTCTCCCTCTCCCTCGTGTCTCTCTCTCTCTCTCTCTGTGTGTTAGTGTTATATTCACACCTGTTCTTGGCCACTGTTTCCCCAAGTTGCGACTGCTTCAGCTCCACTCTGCCCCTCTGATGTATAGTTCCAGGACTGGTCCTACTCAACCAGGGACCACAAAATGAGCATGATAATTCTACTGAGTGGAAACATAGTTGAGCTAAGGTGAGTGTAATATTTTCTAGACTAGTGATGTGGGTCATCGTAACCAGCCAGGAATTCATTGCCTCTCTAAGCAGGCAAATCATCTGCGGATGAGAATCATTCAGAGTGTGGATTGCTATTTTTCAAGTGGCAGTTTGCCACCACTGAAGTGGCAAAATGTTTGTTCACCGCAAAAGAGACGGGCGATTCCCTCTCCCCTTGACAAAATGTGAACTGGCTAGGGGGGATTATGTCTCTCCCCCCCCCCCATTTGGTGTGTCCCCAACCTATTTTCATGGGGAATAAAGGGACATCCATTTGGCTTAGCCCTGATGTAAATGAAATCAATATTGTTAGCTTCTGAATAAATCTTTAACACAAAAAATTAATAAACGTATGAAACTTACAGTCTGCAGCTTGATGTAGGAAAGAAGGGCAGGAAGCACCAAATGCTCCAACAATAACAAAAAACAACAACTTTTTTTCTTCAACCGTCAGGCACAAAGAAAGAATAGTAGCAATGCCGAAAGCTGTTCTTCTCCTAAAGTGAATATAATATAATTGTATTTTTCTCATAGCTTCCCTCAAAACCATAAATCTCTTTGCCCAAGTACTTAATAATTTACCAAGGAAAATCAGTTATGAAAATTTAGACTCTGGACTTACATCAGGAATAGCTCAGCCTTTCTCCTTATCTCCTCTCAAAAGCTAGTTGGCTCCCAGTGTGAAACAGCAGCCCCTTCAAGCTCGTCTACCCAATAGTTCACACAATCTCCACAGATAAAACTGACCCAATGCCTATATTGACTAATAATGGCACCAATTAGGGTGCCATTGCAAAGAGAGAGCCCTCTCTCTGACTGCTGCATAAGAGATAGTTCTTTTGATGCAAAACAGCCAGGCAGACCTCAACTTCAGATCTTAATAGACAGACAGAACTATGTGGAAGGAGCTGCTTCTTTGAATAAGCCCCTAGTTATTTGGGACTTTATAAATTAGGTTTTCATAATACTCTTCTGAAAGACAGGTAAATGACCATGTCTATTCCTGCATACAAGGGACGTGGGTGGCGCTGTGGGTTAAACCACAGAGCCTAGGACTTGCCGATCAGAAGGTCGGTGGTTTGAATCCCCGCAACGGGGTGAGCTCCCGTTGCTCGGTCCCTGCTCCTGCCAAGCTAGCAGTTCGAAATCATGTCAAAGTGCAAGCACGTCAAAGTGCAAAGGTACCACTCTGGCGGGAAGGTAAATGGCATTTCCGTGCGCTGCTCTGGTTCGCCAGAAGTGGCTTAGTCATGCTGGCCACATGACCCGGAAGCTGTACGCCGGCTCCCTCGGCCAATAAAGCGAGATGAGCGCCTCAACCCCAGAGTCAGTCACGACTGGACCTAATGGTCAGGGGTCCCTTTACCTATTCCTGCATACAAAGGTGCTCTCCTCATTCAACCCTTGAAAAGTGTTTCCCGCTGCATTTTACTTAAAAAAAAGAGAGAAACTTGGCATCTTGCATGGCCAAAGCTATGGAATGTTAGCTTAAACATACTGTTATGATCCTCGAGGCGAGGTACTCTCCTTAAAGTTAATGAAATAAGCTGGGTGGCAGTAAGAAAGCAGATCTCTCTCCCTTTTTAAGCCTTCAATGTATTGCTCTGCATCTTAAATAAGGACAACCAAGAAATCAGTAAGCTTTTAATGATAGTTCTTGATTAATTAGTAGCTTTTCTGAGAAAGAATCCAGTACCCCCCCTTTCTTAAAACAACAACTTAGTTCTTTGCTTCTCTGGCAAGAGAAACCATAGCCTATGCTGTATTGAACTGCATGTTCTATAACTAATTAATTTGCTGAGTTCTTAAACAATTACTCTGTCTATCAAGCAAGAAACATGGCTGTATGCCCAGTCATGACCAACCTTTGATTCAATACTACTTAGCAATCATTTATTTGCTTTTTTAAGGTGTCCCAGGGGCCACTGAAAAGGTCAGGACCTTCCTCCAATGCCAGAGATCCATTATCAGAACCTCCCTCTCCAATTCCTTAGCTTCCAACTTAGGTTGGAACTCTAACATCAGTAGGGCAAAATTCTGGGGAGCGGTGGGCGAAAAGGTCAATTTTGGTTTCATCCCATTTAAGTTAAATTCCCACATTTCCACTTCACTTTGCAAATGTTCTAAATGCGAGAAGTTCACCTGCATTTAGTGAAAAATTCTCCTAATAATGCGCTTTTTTGGTTTCCCCTAGTATACACATTTTTGGCAAATTAATTTCCCCGAATAAAATGCATTTTTTGTATGTTATTTTCAAAAATATATGCATTTTTAAAAAGACACTTTACCCTACTATGCGCATTTCTGTACACATTACACGGCTGGGGAAATCAAACTGTAAAATTCGGAGAAGGGCAAATTTCGAAGGATGGCTGTGTTTTGGTTTGTGTATTGTTTTGCAAAGTCTAAAACAGGTAGGTTTCCCTTTAAATGAAAACTGAATCTATCCCCCTCCCCCCATCCTTGTGTCAAGGCCATTCCGGGTAATTCCAGGCAGCAACTGTATCCGAATGCTGCCTGCCAAACTTGGAGAAAATTTAGACACTTCTTAGGCTGCCTAAATCTTTCCCTCCTCTTACCTATTGTTTCCAATGTGGCAACCCTCCTCTGCCCTCACTCCCATTCTGCTAGCACCAATCCAGCAGAGATGGGGATTAAAGTGGTAGGTTCACCTTTGGGTTTCCCTACACACCCCACTTAGCATTGCACTGTTACCGTATAATTTATCCCACTTTTCAGACAATTGTTGCTTTCCAAAGCGACTCGCATCAGTTTTTAAAAAAGGAAAGGAAAGAGAAAGAAGCCCTGCCAGCCAGCCAGCCAGCTTGCAAACCAGAAAGACGAAGGTATACAAGGGGTGGTGCGCTTTAAAATGTTCGACATTTAAAGAAATGAGCTTTTGAGGAATGACAAGGAGAAAGGTCAAGAGTGCTACATGTTGAATTAATACATATCACTGAAGTGCGAGGGTGGGTGGAATATCCTATCAGACAATAAGTCCAGGGTCTAAACCAGTACAGGTTTACCTGCCTAATCTGTACTCAACCTTTTGTGCTGCTTAGATCTTGTGTTCCAGTTTCCGTTATCTAATCACTCAGATTCTGTAAATGAATGTTGCAGCATTGGGATGGTGGCACACATGCTTAGTTTATATCATTTATTATAAACTGGATGCATTTACAGTATTTTTTATAGTGGACATGTTTCTTTTCTGCTGTCATGTTTTCTTTTTGGAGTCTCCTATTTTGATAAATGGGGATAAAAACACATGAATCACTACAGAACAGTTTGAAGATGGGAAGTGTTGGATGTTGAGCAGTGAAGACCTTGCTCATCGCTCCCCTACCCCACCATATCTTGTTTAGTACTAAATGCTGTATTATAAAATGTTTCAAAACTTTAGCTGACCTTATCTGGAACGAAGATATGGTCCACCATCAATCCTGATTACACGACCTGCAACATTGATAGAATTGCGGTTATACGAAGTGTTAAAAGTTAAAAGCAATCCATTAAAGTCATAGTTTCTTCCCAGCAACAAAACATTACTGATTTCCTTTCACATAGTGTGAAAACAATGTTTTATGTTGCAACAAATCCTAGTAAAAAAAAATTAAAGCTATAGTAAACATGTCATGGAAATATATCTTCCTTGGGACAGTTATTTTCCTGTGGACACCTAATATAAATCATTTTTAATTGGATCCTGGATACAAAAGAAATACCCAGGTAATATTTATCTATCAGAGTTTTGACATGGTTAACAAATTTGTGGAAGGTCTAAACAGATAATATAGCATAAACATCGATACATAAAACAGTGATGGATAATGCTGTATCAAGTGAGTGAATGTGCCTGTTAAAATCTGAAGATGTTTGGATAATGGAGGCTACCTGATTGTCAATGCTTATTTTTAATTTGTTAAAACACACATTCCATTTGAATTTCATATACTGTTTTCAGGCTATAATTCTATACTCGGTGATGTGTGAGTAAACACCATGGAACTCAATGGAACTTATTTTGAAATCAACTTCTGTAGGATTTCATTCCAAACTACGGAAGGGTAAGCTTTTGGTACTGCATGTTGTGGGGTGTAAGCTGCCAGGGCACTAGCAGCCTAGACCCAACTGCAACACTTGGTGCAGGTTGCCAGAATAGGGTGCTGTTGGTCTCTTAATGTGGTTAGAGGCCACCACTGCTGATGGTCAAAAGGAGGCACAGTAGCTACTAGCTCATTAAAGGCAAAAAAAGTAAAGGACCCCTGGATGGTTAAGTCCAGTCAAAGGCAACTATGGGGTTGCGAAGCTCATCTTGCTTTCAGGCTGAGGGAGCTGGTGTTTGTCCACAGAGAGCTTTCTGGGTCATGTGGCCAGCATGACTAAACTGCTTCTGGTGCAACGGAACACCATGACGGAAGTCAGAGCACACGGAAACGCCGTTTACCCTCCCGCAGGAATGGTACCTATGTATCTACTTGCACTTTTGGGCATGCTTTTGAACTGCTATGTTGGCAGGAGCTGGGACAGAGCAATGGGAGCTCACCCCATCATGGGGATTCGAACTGTCAGCCTTCTGATTGGCAAGCCCAAGAGGCTCAGTGGTTTAGACCACAGTGCCACCCGCAGCCCTATTAGCTCATTAAGGATCAGCTGACACAAATGGCCAATGAGATTCTATTTGGCATCGTAATACCTCCAGTTCTGGCTTGCTTCCTTAGTCTAAGCAATTTATTTCAGGTACAGAGCAAGCTGTAATTGGACTATTCTAGCTGACCTCTCTGCATCCTTCCCTCCTCGTGACTCTGCTCTTCACTCATTTGCTTACCAGCTCACTTGATCACCAAGCTACTTTCCACCTCATCGGTCTGCCACTTGCTTTATCTCCAAAATGCAGCAATAGGAAGGTTCTTGGAAGTTCAAAAGGGTAGATCAAATGGTACAGAACAGAAATGACAGACAAGTTACACAGCTAACGCCTAATGGATATGGTTAAGGCAGGTGGAGCAGAAAACATGTGCAAGGAATCCTGTGGAGTTTATGAGGAAACTGCTGTGGAAACAATGAACACGAAACCAAGGAGAGCAGATGAAGCAGATTTTAGTACTTTTCAACTCTGATATTCTCTGTCCAAAGCAGTACCTTTAAAATATATATACATATAATGTAACAGCTAATGAGGTGATAGAAATTCAGACACGTGTTGCTCACTTTCACAAAGAACATCTGCATACAATTCTGGAGTGGCTCAGGTGTTCTGCACAAGACTGGATAACAGAGCTTTTACGAGCAGAAGGTTCTCCAAACCACATCTTTCGATATCATTCTGTGACTCTGTGGGTGTCTCTGTCCCAAAGTTCCGATGTAATATTTTCTCTGTTTAGGGAAGTTTTTAATGTCTGATGCTTTATTGCATTATTATTATTATTATTATTATTATTATTATTATTATTATTATTATCAATTCTGTTGGGAGCCGCCCAGACTAGCTGGTGAAACCCAGCCAGATGGGTGGGTAAATAAATAATTTTACATCTGATCCCCACCTACCACTGAGATGGGAATCTTAGAAGGTTGCTCAGATGGGAATATGGCCCTATTGTTGAGAAATCTTACCTGTCCCCCATGAATAGTTAAAGGCTCAAGAGATTTGCACCAGGACAATGACATCTCATCATCTCATGTTGTCCTCTCCCATCCAGCTTCTCCACCATCTTTGCACCCTTTATTGCAGTTTGTTGAAGCGTAGATGGCAAGCTTCTCAGCATACAGAGTTTGGTTGCTCCTGCTATTGTTTGTTGCTCCTCCTCCTCCTCTGTAAAGTACCATGTACATTGATGGCATAATAATGATGATGTTTTGAGTTCTGACCCACTTTTCCCAGTGTTCCTATAGTAACCATGGCACAAGATTGGATCAGAGCTTTTCCTTTACATTGTTTTGTGTTTCTAAGTACTGGAGAATTCAGTTTGCTGAAATACCTTCTTAACAACAGCATAAAAGTCCTTCCAGAAACAACCGTACTCAAAGCAGCCCAAACATAATACTATCCGGTAAGGTGCAATCAAAACCCAGACTTTATTTAGCACAAGCCAATGATGTAGGCAACTGAAAATGATGACAACCACCACTTGCCTTTGGAGACACTTTCCGTGGAAGCCAAAAACTTTTAATTGCTAATTATAGCAATGTGGATCAATCTTTTGTGATAAACATAGCAGAGCAGTTCACTCCCAACTGTGGGATTATTTAGTTTCTCAATAATAGGAGTACAAAGCACATGCTTTCTGTCATTTCTCAACACCAATACTGAAAACAACGCAACTAGAGTGTAATATAGTGCCTTTTATTTGAACTCAAAATAAAACCTTACAAGCAATGGGAAATTGTGCTGCGCTAAAATCTGTCCTCCATTTTCACAAAAGTTGTTCTCCCTTGCAAAAAGGGCTTCCATTTTGCTGCCCTGTTCTCGGGGAATTTTGGTGGGTGTGGGGTTTTGAGCTTACCTTATCATTGTGAGGTAGCTGAAGGTGCTGTGTGGTTTAATTTCCATTAAACATTAGTCTACCACTTTGCAGCTTGTCTTGTTACCTGCATTTTCTGATCCTTAAAAGCCCCATGAGAGGAATTGCCTCATGATATCTTCCCTTGTGCTTTGACCAAAGCATGGCCTACTTGGAAAGGCTGCAGGGTGTAGACTGCTGGTGAGGTGATTTGTACAATGAATTAAAGGCCACAATCTTTACCACCTCAAAGTAAGGTAATCCCAACACCCATGAGGGTCTCACCCAAACTTTTATCTTTCCCTTTGCTATTTCTAACACAATTTCTTTATTGATTGATGGAGAACGGTTAAAAAATGCAGGAGATTTTTTTTGGGGACAGCACTTGTAGAAATTACTTTCCTGCAGTGTGCTGGAGCCTTGCACTAATGCTGTCATATCATGTCACAGCCGACATGTCACAGCTATGCTTGGTTGTGTCAAATGTCCAAAGAGTCAATCTGCAAATAAATAAACAAACAATGCCTGCATGAACACTAAACACAACTTTTCTGTCAACACTTTCAGTCAAAACCTTCGTTTCTACGTGGTATTTCTTAAGGAAAAAGGAAACAGATCGCCCTCAAAGGACACGGCTCAGAGCATTTTCACAAAGTTGCCTTTGAGCTTCTGTTGCATTATTTATGTTAACATTTGAGCGCTGCTCATGCAGGAAACAAAGCCGAGAAGGGGCATTCGTAGTGCGAATCAGTATTCTGGTCAATGTGGTGTTTTATATTGGCATTACAAACCTGAATGATACAAGAGCCCTTTAAGCCTCGTATGCAAGTCCAGAGGTGAAAAGAACAGGAGCAACTTAAAAACACTGATTCAAAAGGCACGACTGCAGAGAACCATGGAAACTGGTCAAACACCTAGGAAATCTAGATGGTGAATATTTACATTTCCCCTCTCCAATGCATTTTGGGAACATTGGGAACAGGCTGATCCACAGCGGGACCAGAGTGGGAATGTTGTGGCATAAAGCATTATAGCCCCGGCTGCCTAACTAGGGTCTTAATCCAGAATCAGGTTCTGCCACAATGGCAATGTGTGCAAATCTCACCTCCATTTAAGGCACAGCTATAGGTACTTGGACATCTGTCTGAATATGCAGACACCAAAGCGTGTGCTTTGGCAGAGCTTTACATGCTCTGCACTTCCCCTCAATGTGCTCATGAGCGTGTCCCTTCAGTCCCCCGCCTTCTGCAGTTTCTACAGCAATTGTGACAATGATAAAAGCAGGGTCTCCGATCACACAGAGAAGTCTATTTCATAGAAAACCTCTTCAGGCCTTTCCCAAGCAACACGGGGATGACCAGCGATGGAGGGATCCCCCCCCCCGCCCAGCCCTCATCTACACTTTCAGCGTTCTCATGTTCAGACAAACATCTGAATATGCTTTACAGAACTATAATTTGACATATGTTATAAATCATGGCGAAAATGTTTGACTGCACATGTGATATGTCCCAAGGCATTTTCTTCAGTGCAGATCACATTTAGAATGTGTGGTTTCACTTTTAGCATTAATAGTAAAGTTTGCAGATCATGCCAAAGAACACTGGGCGAGATCCAACCCTCCTGCACAAGTGGAGACTGCATGCAGCAGGAGAGGTAACAATGTCTCAGAGTATCCCCTCACGCTTTATGAGTTGCTATTCTCCCCCCTGGCCTTTTGAGAGAGCTTTCACCGGCTACCATTTGAAATGGGGAGCTCTTTGAGCCACCATCCACCAGCAGAATCACTTGCGCTGGGTGAATTTCTGACCATGTTATCTTCCTATCAAGCTGGCATTTTGCAAACCAAAAATGTCATACAAATACACACAGACAATGCTTATCATTTCAAAGCTTTATTCTCTTTTTATGGGATACAACTGTTTTAACGATTCAGCCCATGAAAGGGAGATTATAAAATGAGATCAGTTTAAAACAGATTCAGTTCTTTAGTCTTAAGTACAATGTTGCTATATGCAGGGTGCATTTTGATAACATAATAATTTATTAATTTATTTATATTATTATTATTAAAAATTTCTACACCACCCTTCATTCGAAGATCACAGGGCGGCTTACAATATAAAAACACAAAATTACATAGCACAATACCCTCAAAGTATTGTTATTAACTAAGGGCTATAAATAATAATAACCAAACCCCAATAATTTGATAAAAACATAGCATGCAATCTATGCTATCATCTGTCAATAAAACTATCCACTACAAGCTCAGGAAAAATGATGAGCAAACTTTGCTGCAAAGGCACATTTTCAGTTCAATACATATGTTTCTAGTAGAAATATTTGCTGATTCCACCCCAAAACAATGTCAGCAAGTAAATGTTGCAGGTTATCACTTTGTGCGATTTTAGCTAAATTGTCTGCTCCCTCCTTCTCACTACTTAAAAGGAATGTCCCCATAATGACTATTTCAAATTGCAGAAAGCTTCTTTTGGAACCGGAGAAGGATCAGAGCCTTCCGTAAAGGGAATTTATAATGTCAGTAAAATACTTTTTATGGTCAGTAATACCAGTGGGGTTGATTTGACGTTTGATAACACAGACAGTTCAGTCTGTGCCAAGACCTATTTTATTCACTTTAAAAATATATTTGTTTAACCACTGTTAGCTGACTATGTCCTCTGTCTGCCCCTGCCTAGAAAATAACATTTATGAATCAGCACAAGCTTCCCAGATGTATTCAGCCAAGAGAATTCTTCAGTAGACTGAGAAGATTCTGCTCTTAGCAACAAAACTGAGTCTTTGAAAGAATTCTAATCCAATTATTGAAAATGCAAGAATAAATGGATTCCCAAGTCTATAGGAGAAGAATCCAACGAATATTTTTAGGGGCACCCATAATTGCTCTAAGGATTCTTTTCTGAGAATTTTGCAGATCAGTTGAGATCAGAGGGGCCCCAAGGTTGCACTTTAAGCCATGATCAGTTAATTATTGTTCTTATATTTCTCACTCACCCTTCACCATGAGGTCTCAGGGCTGGTTATAGCAATGAAAAATACAGTATTAAAATCAGTTAGAACAGTCAGAGATTGTTTGAGGACTTCGATATTAGGAAAGAACTTTAGGACCCCACTGGTTGCCTGTTCCACCTTCAGTCTAAGAAGTTGAACGTTTACTTTCCAATTGCAGATTTCAGGAAAGCAAACTCCCAGATAACAGATATAATCAATCCACTTAATCATGTGATCATAAATGCTTCATAAAGGCCTTAGATATTCTACCAAGAGAAGGCACTTTTCCCTTTTCAGAGTTAATATTAAACTTTTTATTAAAAACAACAACCATGAGAAAACCTCACAGGCGCTTCTGGAACATCAGAAAATTAACAATGTCAATCTGTGTAGAGTAGTAAGGACCATTTCTTCTTGGCAACTGACAATGAGAAATCATTTTAGTAGTGTGGCCATCATATATATTATCATCAAAAAACTAGTAACATTGAGAAATACTTTTAGCACGGTTGTTATATATTATGTAAAAAAACTGAACAGAAACAGGGACAAATATGATGGCTATCATTACTATAATCTGCATCATGCGGTCAGCAGAAGTAGCTTTCATCTTCATTTTTGTAGTTCAATGGATCTCAACCTTTTTTGTCTGGGTCAGAATCAAAAATTGCTCATGACACACTGAATTTTTTATTGATAAGAAATACATTGGAAAACAAAAAGTAACAACTTCTAGCACTGCTTGATTTTGAAAAAAATATCTATCCATAATCTGTGAATATAAATAATAAACAAATTATTTAAACAAATTATTTTGATAGTCTACTATACCACACTTAAATGTTTAAATGTTTCTTTGATCATCCTTGAATCTTCCCGCAACACTTGCCATTCTCTCCTGCCACACCAGTGAGAACCACTGATATAATTTATAGTGTAATCCTTTACATGTTTACTCATAAGAAGGTCCTTGGCCCAACTTACTTTTGCCATTCCCATTTTGATTTCAGGGATTCACTGCCAAGTGGAAAGAGTTCAATCTGCTTGCTTTCCTTAGACAGATAGCGGGTTTGCCATTCTGCATGGAGAGTGCAGCTATTTATTTGGAAATGGGTATTTGATCAGTTGAATGTAAATTCTGGGAGGATGCCATGAAATGGTGGCTGCAGCCACGCTTCTTAGCAGTTCTTGCTACTTCTTTCCTTATTACTTTCGGACTCTTTTGTTCAGTGGATGAGAGATGGAGAAGATGCAGGGCATCTCTACTAAAGTTTGGGGGCTATTATGGTTTAAAGATAATTTCTCATTAAATTCTGGGGGAAACATGTTGATACACAAAAGGGGGCGTTGTTTTATTAACTATTTCAATCTAGCAAAAATTAGCAAGACTCATTGAGGGCAACACTTCAGCCATAGCTTAATTTAGATCTTCCTGAATAACCAGAGCCAGTGTGGTGTAGTGGTTAAGAGTGATAGACTCGTAATCTGGTGAACCGGGTTCGCTTCCCCGCTCCTCCACATGCAGCTGCTGGGTGACCTTGGGCTAGTCACACTTCTTTGAAGTCTCTCAGCCCCACTCACCTCACAGAGTGTTTGTTGTGGGGGAGGAAGGGAAAGGAGAATGTTAGCCACTTTGAGACTCCTCTGGGTAGTGATAAAGCGGGATATCAAATCCAAACTCTTCTAACCAATATTCCAAGATGTCAATATACAGCCTCTAGCAGCAGATGGGGTACTTTAGGTGCACTGCTCCTCTGTCTGACTGAGTCACTGCAGCACACTGGGATGAAGAGAGGGAGGTTTGTGTGGCAGTGGCCAGGTTGGCATGGTGAATTGGCTGCACTGGAAAATTTACACTGCACCAACCTTGCCACTGCATCCCTCTCGCTCTCTGCATGCTGCAGCGACTCTGTTGGATGAAGCTCAGTTGAATACTGCAGCCCCACCTTATTATCTGCTATGGACAGCCTGAAAACAGCAGCACCACCATGAGGGGAAAGGCGTGCATTTTACGTCACAGCATACTCTGCAGACCACAGGTAGCCAATGGGATGCCCGCCAGATGTTGCACTACAACTCCCATCATCCAATGGGCTATGGTGACTGGAGCTGATGGGAGTTATAGTCGAACAACATCTGGAGGTCCCCCACAACGGCTCTCCCTGCTGTGCACAGTTGGGAAACCCCAGTGTGTTCGAAAAGGCTGGAGTTTCGACCGTAGATTCTTTAGCTTATCAAGGATTTTTCGTTTGGTAAAATCATAAGGCTTCTTTGATGAGCTCAGCCAACCTCTGAAAACCCTGCAATAATAAATAAGAATGATAACTGGTTAGGATTGGAGCCATTCAAGTGTGGGTTCAGGGTCTGCCACACAAGTCTCAACAAAGCCCTATTTATTCTTTCTGCTCTGACTATTTTGACTCATGAGCACATGTGAAGGCAGCATTACAAGGAACGGGAAGATGTGCACTTTCCATACCTCCTCCCTCCAGGCCCCATGTCTATCTCTCATGGTCCAGAGCTAGATATAGGAAGTGTGTACAGACCTTCTGTGGCATGTTTGCTTGGACAGGGACCTTCCTGCTTTATTTCTAAATTAGCTGATTTGGCAACATTCCTACACCAAACAGGAATGCTTTGAGCTCCTTCCTTTGAAGGTCAAACCCTTGGCCACTGTTCCCAAATGTTCCTCTCTCTGAAGGGCCAAGTTTCCACAGACCTCAGGGGAGTGTGTGGACTTCACAGGGCTCTCTGGGTGATGCAGGGCCCCAGACTTGCACCTGTGAGTCTGGCCGTAGTGACAATGATGATAGGAGGCTGAATGATAGCAAATCTGACCAAAGAGTTGACAAGCTGGCAGGCACAGCAAGACTGCACTCACCTGATCAATCTGGCTTGGAGAGGAAAGCGAGAAGGAAGCTCTGACGTAAGAGCTGGGATCGGAGCTGTTAATGTTAAACGCTCTTCCAGGAACCAGCAGCACCTAAAGACAAATCTTTCACGTTCAGTTCGTAAGCTTATTCTGCCTCTTCGAATATTAGACACTGTTAAAACTATGATTACCTCCCTCTCTCCCAACATCATTTTAGGCCTAGGATAGTATAGATTTTCATACTTGTTTCTCCAAAGCTTTCTTCATTATCAACTCTTGTGTATCAGAAACTCCCTTGATCTTCATCCATAGAAACATTCCAGCTGCAGGTGAATGCCAGTCTGCTAGGCCTTAAGAGAGAGAGAGAAAAACAGTCAGGGAAAGGAAACATGTAGGAACCTAACTTTCATGCAATAACGTAACTTTTCTTCTTTAACAAGTTTGGGTTTCTTTTACGTTCTGTGATGATTTACTGTAAGACTTATGAGCTGCTCTTAAGCCATCTGCTGTGCACATCTTCTCATATACTTTTCTGAACAAATGAGGGAAATTATGGACTTCCTCCCTATGTTACCTTCCTTTTTGCAGTACACATCTATCACATATAGGAAGGGTGAGGGACTTTTTTCTGCCTGAAGGCACATTCCCTTCTGGGCAATCTGCTAAGGGCCACATGACACTAAGGATGGGACATGAGGCAAAAGTGGGCAGGGCAATGGATATAAATTTTACCATTGTACAGTAGGCTAGTTTCTACATACATTGACACACTTTTTCCTATCCCACCTCCAGGGAATGAAAGAGGCATTATCAGAGTTGAAGGACACATTCCAGCCAGGTATAAACACCTGATGAAGGTGCAGAAAGGGCTGCGGAGGAGTGTGGCCTGGAACATATCCAGCCCCCAAGCCTGAAGTTCCCCTACCAATTTGATTTGATATCCCACTTTATCACTATCCGAAGGAGTCTCAAAGCGGCTAACATTCTCCTTTCCCTTCCTCCCTCACAACAAACACTCTGTGAGATGAGTGAGGCTGAGAGACTTCAAAGAAGTGTGACTAGCCCAAGGTCACCCAGCAGCTGCATGTGGAGGAGCGGAGACGTGAACCCGGTTCACCAGATTATGATTCTACCGCTCTTAACCACTACACCACATTGGCTCGCAATGGCATCAGTGCCGGATTTACATATAGCTTACATATAAGCTAAACAAGCTATAGCTTAGGGCCCCCCCAAAAATTTAAAGGGAAAAAAACTGGATGCACATTTCTAAAATATAAAATAAAAAACAAATAAAATAAAACCTACATACAGCAACGGTGTTTTGTGTTGTCTAGGCACCTATGATGTAAGTAATGGGCCCCGCTTGCTAGCCTGCTCCCTAAAATATTACTGGTTTGCTCATTTCTGTATCAATTACTTTGATAAAATACATATTTTGTTATGTGCGAACAGCTTTAGATACCTATTAGGTCCATAAATTACCATATAGCATATATTCAACACAAAAAACAGCAATAATTTGTTGTTGACAAAGGACAGCTGGACATATAAAGGGCCCCATTACCTTCAGTAGCTTAGAGCCTCATCAAACCTAAATCCGGCCCTGAATGGCACATACAGGAACAAAACAATTGATTTACAGTTCAAATATTACTCTTGTTTTCAAACCTTTTAGCCACTTATCTGCTGCCACAAGCATCACATCCCGCTGCTTCTTGTAAAAGTCCACCACACTGGAATACAAACATCATTGAGGAAAAGCCATTTCAACAAGAGAACTTTTGCATCATTAAAACTCTGATAGCAAAAACGAAGAGTACGAGTTTATAAATGAAACAGAAATCTGTTACAAACCGAGGGCTGGAGTGTACACAAAATGGCGACTGCAATGTGGAAGCTGGTTTTAGTCCCTCGCCATTCATCTGCGTGCAGTGGCTTATCACACAAAATGAAATTTCTTGTCAGTGCTTTTTAGGGGCAGGCAGGTGGGAGATAGTGGTGATTTAGAGAAAAATCCCTAAATCCAGTGGTGAGTGACATGTAAAGAGTCCTCATGGGGCACATATGTTAAAACTACATGGCTGGTCTTTGTGTATGCATATCCTCTTTGGTGCCATAGATTTCAATAGATGTAAATAGCGCATAGGTACGCATCACCGTTTTGAATGTTTAATGTTCATAGCATTAAGTATGCAAATACTGGCACCATGTAATACTGTGCTCACACTCCGCCCCCACCCCTGGTAGGTCTCTACATATGCTTCTCACTATAGTATGCTATTAACAAGTGTGTGTGTGTGTCTGTACTGGGGCAAGGTGAGGCTCTTCCAATGGTACTATTAATTGGCCAGTTGTAAAATAATACATGTTTTATGTTTCCATGGCAGTTCTATGTTATTTAAGTATTTTTATCTTCCTCTTCAGCAAAAAAAGGTTCCCATGGCAGCCTATGTAAGATTAATAAAAACAGTAACAAAAAAGGCAACCTTGACCGCAAATAAACTTGCAATTTAAAAAGACATGACCTAAAAGGAAGAGGGGAAAAGAATGCAGAAGTTGGAGGACACCGTCAGTTCCTGGAGTTACAAAGCTCTTGACCTGGCCAGCTCTAATGGAAATTCATGGATAGATAGAAAGGAAGAGCCAAATGAAGCTGGTCTCGCAACACAGCTACTGGAGTATATGCTCTTCGATGCACAAAATACAAAAAGTAGGACCAATGAAGTAATTATTTGCCTGCGCTAGACACTGCACACAAATTGCTTTGTGAGGCAAACTGGATGACACTAGCTGTCTTAACATCCCTAGCCTTCTTGGCAGTTCCACGGTTCCTTAAGTTTATAATTAGCCACTCATGGAGTGGCTTATTTCTTGCCCTCGTTCCAAAGGTCATGATGTACAGCCCTGCTTGGTATAAAAAATGCAGCAGTTACGTCTGATAATGTTAGAAGTAGAGGCCTGATTCTAATCATGTTTCCCTGAAAATCTTAAGCATGGAGCCTTGGGCTACTGGAAAATAGCCCAACGTGAAAACAAAATGACAACAACATAGTAATGTAAAATATACACGCATTACCCATCTACGTGGTCCAAGAAACCTTTTTGTCCCCATTGTTGAAGAAGCTGGGCTATCATAAGCTATGGAAGTAAAGCTTAGAGTAAATATCTTATCAAGCAGAGACTAATAAACAAGCTAGAATGCCTAGGTATTGGAAAACCTGCATGCCGTGTTTACTCAGAAGTAAGTCCAGTGAGCCTTACTGTCAGGGAAGTTACGTAAGATTACATCCAAAATTCCCTTTAACCCCTTTAATTTATTATTTAGTTATTTATTGCTTCACATTTATGGCTCACCCTTCTTTCCCAAGTGGAGCTCAGGGAGGCTCACACCAATAAAACTACATAACTCCGAACAACATTATATTACAGAGATTAAAGCCAGCATGGTGAGCCTGTAAGCCTGATACAGCTATTCTTATCTCTCCCCAAGGTTTTTGATCTCTATAAATCTGGATGCCCAGTTCTTAAGGTGTTCCACAACTACAGAATAACCCTGTCAAAGTGATTAGGCCCAGTGTTGCTGTGTAAGTTTTAAGCGGTGTTCATTTGCCCAGAAGCAGAGACTGCATGTACCGCTCCCTTGTGTGTTGCCATTTCCCTTTCCACCATTCTCAATTATGTTGCTAACTCAAAGGAATAGAAATTGAATCGACAAGGGGCTAGTTGCAAAAAGCTCTAGTTCCCATAACATTCTGTGTTGTTAATTAACACCACAGATTCCAAACGCTTAAAAGGTCTTTTTAAATTAAACTCAACCCTCTTAATTCATAATTACTTTTAATAATAAATTAAAAGTAGTGCTAATACGTGACAATTACACTTGTTTATCTACACACATGCATGTGCAAACTTTGTGAAAATTATGCTGAAATTACAAAAAAGGTGGACAATTTTACATAATGGTTTTCTCATTGGTTGGTATCCAATTTGTGCAATGTGAATGTTCTGTCAGCGTAAAGATTTCTGCTTGCAGAATTGCACAATGGAATAGTCCCCCCTCTCTCCCAGTGCACCCCACAAATCTACACCCCAGGAGCTGCCCCAACCCTCATGCTGTTACAATGAAGCTTTCCACAGTTGTTGCATATACTTTTAGAAACCTTGTTGGCTCTTACCTGCGTGAAAGTACTGGTATGCATTGTGGAAACCTGAATATGCAGAATAACTCTGTCGATGAGAGGCTTGGGACCAGTTAGAAACCCTATCCTTAGTCTATGTAAAAAAACAACAATTAATTCAAATTGTAACATTTCATCATTTAAATATGTAATTACAATTCAGTGCATTTGTGCTGGAATACCTTCCTTTGCTCCTGACATTTATCGTGACTTTCAATACATAGAAGAGAATTATGAGAGAGGAAGTAGAAGGAAAATGAGACAATACTACAGAAACTGGAGAAGAACCTAGGAGTTCAAGCACCTATAGCTAAGGAACTTTTGACAGCTCAGGTGAATGCTTAGCATTTGCTGTACTTGCACTCTCTAGAAAAGAGCAGAATTTAGTTCTCAGTAACTGACAAGAGGGATGACAGAGTGGCAGATGGGGGGGAAGTAAGTGAAATAAAATTAATGGGGAAGGCGAGATGCAGTCTTTCTTTTATGGTTATAAAGGTAAAGGTAAAAGGACCCCTGACCATTAGGTCCAGTCGTGGCTGACTCTGGGGTTGCGGCGCTCATCTTGCTTTATTGGCCGAGGGAGCCGGCGTACAGCTTCCGCGTTATGTGGCCAGCATGACTAAGCCACTTCTGGCAAACCAGAGCAGCGCACGGAAACGCTGTTTACCTTCCTGCTGAAGCGGTACCTATTTATCTACTTACACATTGACGTGCTTTCGAACTGCTAGGTTGGCAGGAGCAGGGACCGAGCTCACCCCGTGGCGGGGATTCGAACCGCTGATCTTCTGATCAGCAAGTCCTAGGCTCTGTGGTTTAACCCACAGTGCCACCCGCGTCCCCTATGGTTATATCAATAGTTTAAGGTTCTTTCTGCAGTGTGTGGCTGGAAAACCCAAGCTCAGAACCCACATCATTGCATTTCCATTTTGGGGCATATGGTCAAGAAAGGAAAAACCGATATTACCCAGATGAGAGGATCTTAGAGAAAGAGTCCGTCCTGATAACTCGACCATCAATATCCATGGAAAGAAATGTTGGTGCCCAAGGCTTGTGGAAAGAACACAAAGGTTAGTTAGTAAAAGTTAACACAAGAATTCCAGCGCTTTATAAGCAGAAGTATAAGAGGGGTGTATAATACATTGTGGAAGGTTAGTTCTACTAAAAGTAGGCCCATTGAAATGAATAGATCATTACTAGCTTAAGTTTATTCATTTCAATGACTCTACTCCAAGAAGAACTTAGTTGGCTCCAACTCTTAAAACGTACATAGTTTTTAACCTATTTATGCAGCAACACAGACATGCCCCTGATGTCAGAGTCCCACATTCTTTCTCATGCCTTCATTGCCAGAAAGCATCTTGTTTGTCTGCATGAGAAATGGCAACGTTTGAGAGGACGGCATTTCCCAGCTGCTACTATGGCCGTTATGCTTTTCACCACTTGCCAGAGCCATTGAACTCAGTATATGGTTGAAGATTTCTTCTTTCCAGTTGTCAGGGGCCAAAAATAAGGGTTGTGCCAATGGTGAGAAAATCCCAAATGACTGGGCACTGACTGCAAATACCACCAAGCCATGGGCTTTTTGTTGCTAGAAACCACTTTGGAACACGAGGATGGACAAGTTTTACCCATGCAGGAGAGCTAGTTGGAAGACTGAAGCCCTTTCTGTCAGCTGGGTGGAGGATAAAGGCAACAGAGGGATGAGGTAAAAAAATGTTTTTTTAAAGATGTGTGTACGTGCGCGCGTGCCTGTCTGTCTGTATATCTATCTATCATCTATCTATCATCTATCTATCTATCTATCTATCTATCTATCTATCTATCTATCATCTATCTATCTAATAGGATACATAGGTAAGGAAAAGGCAAAAGACACAAATGATGAAGAGAGAAAGGAAGGGGACCAGAGGCAAAAAAGTGAAGGATAAGGAGAAGAGGAACTGAGGAAGAAGAGGTAGAGAGAGATCCCAAACAGGATGTGCTCTAAGAAGAAGAAGAAGAAGAAGAGTTTGGATTTGATATCCCGCCTTTCACTCCTTTTAAGGAGTCTCAAAGCGGCTAACATTCTCCTTTCCCTTCCTCCCCCACAACAAACACTCTGTGAGGTGAGTGGGGCTGAGAGACTTCAAAGAAGTGTGACTGGCCCAAGGTCACCCAGCAGCTGCATGTGGAGGAGCGGAGACGCGAACCCGGTTCCCCAGATTACGAGACTACCGCTCTTAACCACTACACCACAGTGGTGGTCTGAGCCTCAACAGGAAGGAAGGAGCAAAGCATTCTGTCACAAGTTCTGAGTGTTTCTGTCTGTGAGCTGCAGGAATAGCTGTACTGCCCACTTCAAGACCTCTGTCATCCACAGGTGAAAATATGTGTATTTTGTATACAAAATAAAAAAGCTCAATAATGTGAATTTGTGCATTTCAAAAAATGTATATTGATGTGTAAACAGAATGGAACAGGCTCATGAATAAATGTACATTAAGCTGATATGAACCAGACATGGACTGATCTGTCCATCCCTACTGCAAAAAATGAGGCACATGACATCCTTTTATTTTTGCACTTTTGCAAATGCCATGATGAGAACATAACTTTCCGCTTAGTGGGGAAAGAATAGGGAAATATCATTTCAAAATACAATCAGTAATGTGGTATCAGCAGGATGCAAGTTAGAAGAGATAGCAAAATCTATGCTAGCGCACAGCAGAATTGAAAACTCACTTTATCAAACTGAAGGAAGTAATATGGATCATCTTCTATTATAAGGAAATCATATTGTCTTGCAAGCTGAAAGGGGGGAGAAACAACAACCCACTGACACATACGTGCAATAAAATATTTAATCAAATCAGAAACATTCTGTTCCCCAAATGGTTCCCCTTCAAGCCATTACACCATCACACAAAGTAGTCTTCAGGTGTGTCAGGTCAATCCAAACTTAGTTTCAAATGGAATTATGAATAAGCAGTGGAGATTTTTGCCCTGATCCTAAGATCTGTGTGCATTCTCACATGCACCCGCATCTCTTGAAAATGCTGGGATTCTAATTAATTCCAATGGAGAGAGGGCATGCAAAAGCATATGGATGCAGGTTAGCACTTTCCATGGAAGCTAATTAAGAAAATTGGTCTGGGTAGCAGCAATCCATATACGCTTTCAGGCTCGAGTGGCTGGAAGTCAGGAGGATCAGAGTGGAGTATGCCAGACTCTAAATGAGTGTGTTTAATGCTTTAATCACAGATTTAAAAGTATATCTGTTAATTGGGCAAGTCATTAGCCACATGCAACAGATTTCTTCTAAAAATTGTATTTGCTTGAGTACATAAATATGGAACTTAAAAGAGGGAAAGAAAACCCTTTTTACATCCCAACCACATTGGCGCCACAGAACATGCATTTCATATATTTCTGTCCCATCTTTGAGGATGATCCATCACCAGGCAATTTACAATAAACATGTTAAAACCAAAAACAACTGAACAAATGTGTGTGTGTTTGTGTGTGTGTGTGTGTGTGTGTGTGTGTGTGTATGTATGTATGTATGTATGTGTGTATATATATATATATATATATATATATATATGTATGTATGTAACGGATTAAAAGCATATATGGGGGAGGGGTCAGCAATAAGATCAATACAACTATTGGAAAAAGAAAAGTTTTTAGGGACTGTTTAAAGGCAACAAGAGAGGGAACCAAGCACAGCTATTGGGAAAGGGAAATCCACAAGTGTGGAGCCACTGCTGAAAGGGCCCTGCCCCTTGCACCTGCCAGCGTGGTTAACATGGCAAGCCAGAGAACGATGTTTCTCAGTTTGATCTTCAGGCCCAGGCAAGTTCTTATGGATGTGGTGGTGGTGGCTGGGCTTCAAATGACCTAGTCCCAAGGCATTCTAGACTTTAAACAAATTACGTACCTTGTTGAACTCTCCTAGAATTAAGAAACTGATGTGTTTACAATCACGACCAAACAGCACATCTACTGGCAGCACTGCCACTTTTATTACTCTCAGAAATCACATTAAGTCTCGGAGGGTTCATTTGGGGTCTGATTTCCACATAGATGGATCTTAGCAGCAGCAGCAGCGGCAGCGGCAGTGGTGGTCAGCAGTGCTTTCCTGACATCACATCACAGCTGCTGTTGTGGCTTACTGAGAGGAAGGGGGTAAGACAGCAGGAAGATTGGCTTGGTGCAAATGCCCTGGTGGAACCAATTGGTGGAACCAATGCATATGGCATTCCTATGAGTGATTATTCACTGCACTGATCTCTCTGCTGCCCCCCAATGCCAGGGATGGGAGATCAGTTACCGTATTTTTCGTTCTATAAGACGCACCAGACCACAAGACGCACCTAGTTTTTGGAGGAGGAAAACAAGAAAAAAAATATTCTGAATCTCAGAAACCAGAACAGCAAGAGGGATCGCTGCACAGTGAAAGCAGCAATCCCTCTTGCTGTTCTGGCTTCTGGGATAGCTGCGCAGCCTGCATTCGCTCCATAAGACGCACACACATTTCCCCTTACTTTTTAGGAGGGAAAAAGTGAGTCTTATAGAGCAAAAAATACGGTAAGTGTCCCTCTCCACCCACCAACCACTACAGATGAGAAGATTTCTGTATCTCTGTGAAGAGAATGTACCAAAATCCACTGACCTCTCCCAAGAGTCCCTGTAATATAGAGGTCTGTTCTCCACTATGTTCTTTATTAGTCAATTTTTTGCTAGTACCTGAGACATAATATCCAGCAGGTTCGCGTGATGTGAAACCACCTCCCCCACTTTTTTTTTTGCCAGAGCAGTGACATTAAATGTGCATTTAATGAATATACCTGATAGATATCTTTTTTGCGGTCTGTCGTTAGTGAGGCTCCAGTAGGATTGCCACCGTTAGGAATTGTGTAGAGAAATTTGGGGAGGCTGCTGTTAGGTTTCTTGGCATCTTCTGGGCTCCACCTGGAAAGAACTTCTTTCAGGGCTTTTGGAATAATGCCATGTTGGTCACTGGGAACATTGACAATGTTGCAGCCCAATGGCCTCAGCTGGTTTATAATAGAAGACAACAAGAATGAAGAGCGTTTACTTAAGCAAGACATTTTGCATCACATGCTACAGCATTTTAATGGTGCCTATTTACCTATAAATTGAGGATTGGGAACCTGTGGCCCTCCATATGCTGTAGGACTCCAACACCCATCAGCCCCAGCAATCATGGTCAATGACCAGCAATTTCTCAAGGGCCACAGGTTTCCCATCCCTGCTGCCAATCAAAAAATGATCTTTACACTGCCTAATTTCCATATCCCACTAGCTGTCATGTAAGGGAAGCCTATCTTTAAGAAAGCAGATTAATTAAGAATCACTGAAAGCTCATTCTTGAACAGCTGATCACCTTTTGGGTTTACATTTTTCCTCTTTTCCTCCATCTTTTCACAGCTTGATCACACATGGTATCACACTCTGTTTGCTGCATGTACACTTGGTGTTGGGGAGGAGAACACCATAAAGCAGGCATAGGCAAACTCCAGCCCTCCATATGTTTGGGACTACAATTCCCATCATACCTAGCTAACAGAACCAGTAGTCAGGGATGATGGGAACTGTAGTCCCAAACATCTGGCGAGCCGGAGTTTGCCTGCCATAAAGTATATAGTGAAACCGAGGATTTAAATCACATGGAACAGACCATAAAATATAGGATGGCATCCTGTGAAGTAGTTTCACTAGAGCAAGGAGTTTAATTCTGCTCTGGGGGTTCCTTCAGCCTTCTGGCACAGATTTGTGGATGGCACAGAGAGTGAGCAGGGAGAGGAGGAAAAAGGGAAGTTCTCTTGCAGAAGCAGAAATCCTTTGTAGCACTTTGTGGTTTTGTGGAGCTTGAAAACTTGTTGACCCGTTCATGAGCAGAAGTTGATTCAAACCTTAATCTTTAGCTTACCTTTTGTAATCATTTGTCCATTAAAAGAAACATCAGTGTATATAGCAATATACTTCCTAAGCAAAAAAGACACAGAGCATTTCGCACCCCCACATCTACTTCCCGTCTAAATTATTACTGTGGAGTGGTGGGAACGGGAAAAGCAGGGGCAACAAGAGACCTTTGTGAGCAAATGCAGCTAGCTGAGATTTTGTTGCATACTGGGTGTAAACGATGAAGTAAGGGAATCACAGAAATTGTGTTTTGAGGAAGCAATTGGAGCGACCTAGAGATGGTGCTACATATGTATTCTAAGAGGGCATCCCTGGAATAAGGTGTTGTGAGGGAGAATAGACAGAGATCGTCAAGAAACAGGAGATCTACTTAGAACAGTTGAGGGTGCTATGAGGTGAAAAGTCTGTCTCGCTGTGTTCAGTGGGGCTTACTCCTAATAGATGTGCACAGAACCGCAGCCAAATGTGTTCATGTATCACAGGGAAGTGAATCTGCATGCTTACTGGCCTTTTTGAGCATTTTAGCATATCCTGCTATACAACTGATTTGCGGTCTGGTCGTACTCAGTTTCGAAATGAACCTTGTACCACCAATTTTTTCTATGCCCAAGAATGCAAGCTTTTATAACTAAAAATAACCAGCTCGCCACCACAGTAGTAATGAGAACATCTATGAAACAAATGAGACAGGGGTGAGACATGGAAACAACATAAGGGTTGATTTACAGGCCAGAAAACCATATAAAAATCTCTATATAAACAAACAAAGCACACCAAGCTGTCCATGTGGAGAGGTTCACCTTTCAGGTTTTGAGAGTTTTATCGCATCCCTTCCAAAAATGGCAACGACATGGAGACGCAACTGTCACACGTAACCTGGCTTGCATGGTTGCGCCACGCTTTAAATGTTATAGATTGGCACAGGGAACCTCAGGTCTTCTAGGCATCTCTATCTGGCCCTCAGAACATTCCCTAGGCCACAGTTTGGGCTTGTCTGGAACGTGACCTTGAATTTTAATGCTTCTTGCTTGTCTGGATGGAGGTTAGACAGTGGTGTGTGGCAACTGTGTGTACAAACCTGTGTCCACACTACAAAGGTGAAATTTGCACGTTACTTCATTCACTTTTGCCTCTGGCCCTGCTCACCTCTGGCACACATTATAGATGCATTCTTAACACTTTTTAAATGTACAACTTAAGAATACGATACACAAACGTAAGAGACAGCTGAGACCCAGAACTGGACGCAGTTTCCTCTTACGTGTAAAGTTTGGGAGCAAAGCTGGGTTTTCTATCACATAATGTGAAAAGCAGTTCATAGTCTTATCTCTCATTCCCGATCGGGTGAAACTGCTGGAACCATAAATAACTTGCCTCAACAAAAGAAAGGATAATTGCTCCAAAACGCAAGGTATTCAGAAACAGGCCTGAAATTTCAATAATGCTAATAGAGCAACCAGAGGAAAATACAAAGGTGTGGGCAGTTATAGCTGAGGTTTAAAATAAAGAGTCTGCAATTTCTCTTTCTGCACTAACTAGCCCTTCATTTATTAGGCCATAAATGAAATGCAGCTGCATTTAAGTTTTATAGTGCCCCCCCCTCCCGGAATGGATAATGAAAAAATATTGCCAACAACACACTAAGTCGAACCATAAATCATCCAGACACCACAATGATTTGCAGAATCAGGGAAGGCTGAACTGTTGTATGTAATATTGGCAGGAACAAGATTTATTCCAGTGTTTCTAGGCATCTACGGCTATTATACATTACTGTATTTCATCTAAACGCACGAGGCACGTGTTTAAAACTACAGAGCCGCAAAGCCAGTTTTTGCACATGAAAACTCGCTGTTTAGTTATCGCTACACAGTCCCTCCCATGAACAGGAATGTGTGGAGAAACCAGATGTGATGCTAACAGCACAGGCCTGCGCAAATCTACTCAGAAATAAGTTCAACGGAAAAGGTCTGTGTCCCAGTGGACACAGGCAGGAGGTCTGTGGTGAAATCCCCAGCATCTCTGACCAGGGCTAGGAACCTGCTCTGCCTGAAATTCCAGAGAACTGCTGCCAATCAGAGTAGACTGCATGGGCCAATGGCCTGACTCAGCATAACACAGCTTCTTATATTCCTATAGACAAGTGTATACAGGATACCAGACCAAATGTGTCTCCAGTAACCATGTCAGGGTTTTTAAAAATAGCAATAGCAGCCAAAGGGGTGGATTTCATTAGGACTGCAGTGTGTGGCAAGGGGAGGTTTAACCTTTATTAACCCACTGTGAATATGACGAAATTCTGCCCCCACCATCCTTTGGTTGCAATTATGCCTGAAAGAAAATCTCCCATTGGGATGAATGGGTGACTCCCTCCAGAGGCCAATAACAGCTGCTGGAAGGATTTTCAAAAGAAGTACAGCAGCCTCCTGATCCTATGTGCTGTTGTCTCAATGAAAATTACCTGGAGTGGTTTAATAATAAACAATTCCTCTTCCCAGGGTCTGTTGGGAATGTAGTAGGGAAAGGGACAACTCTCAGGACCCTTAACAAAACTACAAAGCTGTGGCTTTTACAATGTGGTTTCGTTGTGCTTTAAAAGGTTAGTACAGATGTGGCCCATGTGTCTAGAGTTCAGAAAAGGGTTAAAAAAAACCTCTCTAGCCCACTGTTAAGCAGCAGTCAGAGTCAAACCAAGGACTCAAGTTTACAGCTGCTAATATAATGTCTTAGTGTGTTTTAAGTGCATTATGCAAATGTGACACTAGATGGTGCTAGTGAGCTAATGCAAAATTCAATATATTTTTAAAAACGTTTTTTCAAAAAGCATTTTCAGAGGTTTCTTTAAAAAATATATGTGTAGATTCCACCCCATTTGTTTTTAGGTGAAGATCTGAACTATACCAGCACTTGCCACTGTCATAGGTTTCCAGAATGATGGAATACTCACAGCTGCCAGTGTCCCGGGATAGGTGGGCGCATCTAAAAGGACCGTGTCTCCAGGATTAACCAGCATTTCAAATACCTACATGTTTAAAATATATAACATATAATATTGTAAGACTTTCTGTGTACAATTAATATTTCTCTCTACTTCTACAGTAAGTGCCTTATGGTAGTAATGAGTTAGTTATTTTGTAGACCAAAGTTGATTCTAAGATAGAAAAAAAGTATTATGGGAAGTAGAGAACTGCTCATGGGGTGAATTATGGCTAAACTTGCGGGGGGTGCCCCCTCAAAAATATACATTCACCCTTTCAATAATGTCCAGGCCAGAAAAAAACAACAACCTTGCATAACACATTACAAATGAATGCTAATTAAATGGATAGCAAAGTTACGGCACATAAAATCCTACTCAACTGTACTATCACAGTCCAATTTTGTGCTCCTAAGAATATAAGTGGCAACAAAATGGACCGAAAAGCCAGAAAGCAGCCCCTTATTTATATTGCACAAAATGCTCATTTCATGGTGTACTTTGCCTGTTTCACAGGTCGTTGGCCAAAAAAGTACATATTCAGTACAGTGGTACCTCGGGTTACATACGCTTCAGGTTACACACTCCGCTAACCCAGAAATAGTGCTTCAGGTTAAGAACTTTGCTTCAGGATGAGAAGAGAAATCGTGCTCCAGCGGCACGGCAGCAGCAGGAAGCCCCATTAGCTAAAGTGGTGCTTCAGGTTAAGAATGGACCTCCGGAACGAATTAAGTACTTAACCCGAGGTACCACTGTAATTACATGCAACCTATTAATAAAGAACAATTACTTTGTCAGTTTCAAAACTGCATAGATTATGATGTGAAATGCAGCAATTCTACTCTAAAAACAGCAATGTGGAATGGAAACAGCCTCCTGAGAACGGGGCTTGTGTACTTTTATCTAACTACAGATGTGCCTGGGACATTTTTGGTGCTTTTACATGTAAGAAATGATGCTGGTGATGTTCTTAACTTAGGTACTTGCAGCCACCATCACTGTTCTCCTCCTCCTCTGCCTGGGTGTTTGTAAGCCTGGATGGAGTCAAGAGGAGGACAGAAAGGGCTGGCCCAAGACATTTTGCTGCCTGAAGGAAAGGGTGAGAAATTGCCTCCTCCCAGTCCCATTCGAGGTTCAAAAGCTCAGCGGACCACAGAAACTTATTTCAACATCCTCCAGTGCACCCCAAGGCAGTGGCTTAGTTAAGCGGCTGCAGGACAAGTTGCACAGCACATGCACACAGCACAGGGCTTGCTGCCCTTCAATATTTTCCACCTGAAGCGCCACCCTCATGCTGTTTCATGGTAGGGCCAGCCCTGAGAACAGAGCAGCTTGGATTAAACAGGCAGGCTGATACTGAGCTGAAGAGGAACTATTCCCAGAAAAAGATGTGGAAGTTTGGCTGCTTTTGGTTCTTCTTCTCTTGCCTTTAGGATTTCTGAAAATGGAGCCTTGCCTAATTTTCAAAGAAGTTCAAGATGGCTTACCCCCCCCCCCAAAAAAACCAATGAGAAAAATAATAAAATCTCTATTAAAATCACTAATGTTAACAAATCACAAGGACCAAATTGGAGGAGATGAAGGAGACCCATGATCTGGAGGGAGGGAGCAGGCAAAAACTGGAACAGGGTCATGGTGCTGGAGAGGGGAACTTAAACTTCCCTCAGTGCTATTTTCCAGATGCAAGTCACACACACCAAAGCTCCTATTTGTCCTGCTTGTGAAAACATGCAAGTTGTTCTTGTCAGATGTATCTAATCTTCTTCAGCTAGAGCTCTGGAGAAGTGGCATGGCAGACTTCCCACAGTGCGATCCTAAGACTGCCTACTCAGAATTAAGTCCTGTTGAATTCACCTGGGCTTGCCCCCAGTAAGTGGAGTTAGGACTGCAACCTCAGTTGGCAAAGGAATCCTTAGAAGATAAGAATTCAGGTAAAGCTGAGTTAAACGTTTAGGAGGTAAGAACTATGCTGACACCATATTAAAAGTACATCTGTATGGATCCTAAGATATTAGGTCAATATTAGTGTGTTTTATCTACCAGCCAGTAGTTGAATCTTTGAAATGCAAGGTAACAATGCATTGCATTGAGGAAAACAGGGAATAATGATCATAACCTTCAACATATATTGCTTTTGTCTTACTTTACTCAACCCTTCTTGACTGCCGGTGGTGACACACAACTCCATTTCCCCCTTTTCAGGCTGATACTCAACAGTTGGAGGGTTGTGAAGATTCTTCTGCAAATCCTTCAGCCAGGATAATAGCTCTGGAATGCTAAGCAAACATTTCTCTTTCAAATCGTTGCATCAATAAGCTCCTCATAATAATGCATTACATGTCCCCTTTCAAGATTCTCATCCTTTATTGATCTAACTTTAGATCTTGGTTGAAAATATTTTTGCCTCGAGCAATTGGGAGAGGGAGAACAAGAATGGATGCAACTGCCTGGCCAGAAATGTTAGCCACCACTGTCTTACACCACTGTCTTGCTTCTTCAGATGCAAGGGGCACCCTATCCAAGGCCTACCCATAGAGCTGCCACTTCCATAAAAGCTTCCCTGTTCCCTTGCTACTAGTATAAATTTTCACCAGCAACAGGGAAGAGGGTTCCTGTGGTGGTACTCTGTGCACTTGGGACACTGTGCCTCTCTGGCCAGCATTTATTTGCAACCCTCCTCTTGCTATTTCAAAAACACTACTTGGATCCACGAAATCTGTAAAATACCCTGCAGAGGCTGAATACTGGAGAGCTCTCTTCATCAAGTCTTCCCCAATTTCAACCGTTGTTCCATCTCCAATGGTAATGCTAGCAGTTTTGAAGGGGAAAGTATTGGGGTTTGGTGCCCCTCCAGCCAGAGAAATCAGTGATGGAGGAGACCTCTGCATCAATTCCGCTAAAGTAAAAGAAAAGCAAAAAGAGAAGAATGAAACTTAAGATCCTGTATCAGCAGATACTTCCTTTTAACCCCCTCCTCATTTTACTTATTTAGATTTCCTACATACTCTAGGCCAAGCTGTCTGGGCAGGTAACAAAAGTAAAATGCAGAAAAATGGGAAAACTGTATAACCAAGAAGCTCATTCAAATCTAAAAGAAACCTCTATAAACATTAGCAGAAAGCTGGGGCCTTCTGCATATGAAGTGTGTGAATGAGCCATGACCTCTCCCTAGTGGTGGGTGGGGGAACAATTCAGAAAAGAGAGTGTTATTCAAGCTTCTACTGGTGCGGTGTCAGGAAGTCCTGTGAGCAACCAATGAAACAGCTGGATATATGTTTATCATGTGGAGAAGATCAGGTGAAGGCGATGACAGCAGTCTCCAAATATATAAAGAACTGCCTTGCAGGAGATGGAACAGACTTGTTCCCTGCTGCTCTGAAGGGCAAACCAATCGGTGAAAACTGTAGGGATACAGATTTGGGCTAAGGAGCAGGAGAATGTCAGAAGAGTCTGCTGATTCAGGCCAATGGCCCATCAAGTCCAACTTCCTGTTCTCACGGTGGCCAGCCAGACGTTTTCGGGAAGTCAGCAATCAAGGCATGAGTGCAACAGCACTCTGCCCATCAACTATTCTCAGCAACTGGTTACAGTGGTACCTCGGGTTAAGAACTTAATTCGTTCTGAAGGTCCGTTCTTAACCTGAAACTGTTCTTAACCTGAGGTACCGCTTTTGATAATGGGGCCTCCCGCTGCCGCTGCACGATTTCTGTTCTCATCCTGAAGCAAAGTTCTTAACCCGAGGTACTAATTTTGGGTTAGCAGAGTCTGTAACCTGAAGCGTCTGTAATACGAAGTACCACTGTATACAGAGGCAGACTTCCTAAAGATAAAAGCCATACAACAGTGGGACAGAGGAAGTAATGGGCTCCTTGCTGGAGATGCTAAGCAGTGGTTGGATGGTCATAGGAATGCTGCAGCTGCGTCCTGTGTTGCAGAACCTGAACTGAGTTGTGGGTTGGACCAGGTCTCTTCCAACACTGTAAAATGATCCTCTGGTAGCTCAGAGCAGCCTTTCCCATCCTGGGGCCCTCCCAGATGTTTTGGACTACAACTCCCAGTGCTGGCTGGGTCTGATGGGAGTTGGAGTTGAGCAGCTGCAGGGCCCCCAGGTTGGGAAAAGCTGGCTTAGAGCATTGTTTAGGGCATATGGGTGCCTCTGTTGGCCCTTCTGTTCTTGCTCTGCACACCTGTGGTGTCAAACCACATAGGCTGATAGTTTGGTGAGCTCATTTATATGCTGCCCACATATAGTGGCAAGGAGCTCCCCCAACTCAGCCGGGCTGGGTTCTTGCTTTCTACACCTATAGGGCTACCTACCACAAAATCATATGAACAACCTGAGGAAAATCAGAGGTTCTGGTTCAAGCGACAAAGTATGTACTTACTGAGGAGCCTTATCGGAGATGCTGTTCTTGCAGCACTGACTGCAGTAATGAATCGTGAGTAATTCATGACTAAATCGTCAAGCACCGGACTTGGCCTCCAGATAAACTGGACAATGGTTAAAATAAAAAGAAACAGTTTTTTTTATTATGCTATTTAAAAACATCACTATAAACACTCTAAAAGAGCACTGACAAAATCTATGGCACTAGTTTTGCCAGTGGGACATTGATATGTAATGCATTATTTCTGTATAAGCTGATCTGATTAGCTTTGCTTATTGAGGTTTGGCTGACTACGAAAGAAAAAGGGGGAAGCCATACAAGTAATAGATCTTTAGCTTAGTTCTGTTTATTCAAAATTCCTAAATATTCTCATGCCACTATGTGGCTCATACTGATAAGAGCAAGGGTAGCTGTCATAGCATAAACATACCAAAACACTCCAATTGAAGTAGATGTGCCTTAAAGGTGCTTGACGTGAGCTGGATCTTGCTCTTTGTGCTCAGCTGCATTGGAAACACATAAGAGTAAAGCAGTGTTAGATAAAATTAGCAAAAATCAGTTAACAATACTACACAAAGGAAAGGTTGGTTTAAGAGTGGCTAATTTGTACGTTCTTAAAAAGCAAAGGTTTTGCCTTCCTTTCTCATGGTTGTTTAGATGTCCAAAGTTGAACCTACATGATGCATCTATGACTCTCCCATTTTCTGCCCCCAAACATCTGAAGCTACGCTAAGACAATAGATCTCTCAAATCCCCTGAATTGCTGGTAAACAGATGGGCCTGTTTTCAATATCAAAGTTACCTTCCGCATGAGGAATAAATAAGGCGGCATATTACTTGGTAGTATTGCACTGATTAGTATGATATTTTCTCCTCTTTCTATGGTTAATTCCTCAAAAGTCTAATCGGTCCTACAAACACTACTACTCGGTCAGTTTCTAAAAGATGAGCCACACAACCCCCAAATTGGTTATCAGCACACAGAAAAGTCAAACTACACTTTAATTGGCTGTGCAACAGAGTCATTGTCCAATTGCTTTTCTCTTGCGGTTAGATCAATTTTTCAACACGCAACTGATATTTTTGTCTGTTCGCTTCATCAAACACTGAGAATTGATCCGGCTGTAATTAAATGGAAGCTTTCCCACAAAGTCAGAAGTAATTGGCTTTGAATTTGCTGCATGCTCAGATCTCTTACATGAACCAGATCTCAGTTGAGTCACAATTCAGCCCCGCTTTAAAGTAAGTAAATCAGAGTTTTATTATAATCAGTGAATTGAGAAGGTAGAGGACAGGTGATAGAAGCTGCATGTTCTGCTTCTTTCTATTTTATCCATCTGAAAGCAGTTGAGGGATAACTGCAACCTTCATTTCCCCCGTTACTTCTAGGCAGAAACAAAGATAAAACAGACTTAGAAGCATGACAACTGTGCAATCTTTACAAGAACCCACCTTTGTTTCTTTAGCTGTATATATCCACACTGCAAGCAGTCATGGGATGCCTCAGCACATCAGACTGGAAGAAAAGATCCTGTCTTGAGAAAGAACAACAGAAAACAGTCTTTCAAAATGTTTTCAAACAGTGTTATGCCTGTCTACTCAGAAGTCTGTCCTACAAAGTTCAATGGGAGTAAGTTCCAGGTGTACATAGCACTGCAGCCAAACTGATTTCCCCTCCCAATTTCCTAGCTTTCTACCTTCAACACAACCACATATTCTAGCAAAAAAATACTTAACCTAATGTTTGAAGCTTCCCTTTTGTAAAAATAAACCAGGATCCATTTAGTTAAAATGTAACAATGAATCCGTGTGCATGCCTGTGCTGAGAGAATCAAAAGATTCAAAAGTGCTTGGATGCTGAGCGGTCTCTTTTCTTGAATTCATAGAAAATAAGTCTGTATCAGCTGAGAAAACACAGTTATGTTCTACTATCTGCTTTACAAATTGCAAACAATTTTATGGAAGTAGTTCTTTATGCTCCATCTCCTTGAACATTTTTCCTTTGTACATAAAAATTATTCTACGTATTTATGTTGAGGGGCGGGAATTAAAATCCTCATTTCATTATTCACTGCAGCAGCAAATGATCTTCCATATAGCAACGATTTCCCTGCTGCAAAGAGAGTATCCCCACCTCCACCCACAATAATCCAAGACTTGTTACCATACAGAAGGACTGTATTATCTAATTTTGCATCCTTCCTATTTAGTGTTGACAAATAGGTTTGTGTAGGAAGCTGGCATGGAAAAACAACAACTGTGTTCACACAGAACAAGCAAGAGAGAAAGGAAATGTATTCACAAGACTGATACTGACGCTTGACAAAAACACTGTTCCAAGTAGGTAGTTGAGTACTGGAAATCTACTGATCAGTTTGAAGGCATGGAGCTTCTTGTTTCCTAGAGGTTTAAACTTGGTGCATTTATAGTGAGGAAGTCCCTCCAAAGTATTCCTACAGTGCAGCTGTGGAGCAGAAACTTTGGTACTTTAGACCACAGGTGTACCTAGGCTCCTTTGCAACCTTGGCAAGGAGCTAGTAGTGCCATCTGACTGGTGAGGGGCCCCCACAGGGCTGCTGTGATGGAGCCAGAGTAGAGGTGTGATTTTAACATCCTTGGTGGGGGCCAACCTAACCAACCCCTAGGTACACCCATTTTAGACTGTGATACCTTGATCCCTGTAGTAGTGGATATGTGTGGAGAGACCAGGAATGCTTCCAGGCAGAGGCTTACTATTGCAAATGGGGTGTTAGCAATAGCTTCTTCTTCTTTTTTTAAAGGTAGTGCTCTTTTATAGAAAAGGTAAATCTGGATTAAGTAAAGGAAAAATACAGGCTGCCATTTTTATGTCAATATTATGTGGTGTCTGAAAACGATGCGCCAGAATGAGGGACACCACCCCACAATAAACACCTGTCCGGAAGGTTCTAAGAGCAGCATAAATACAGGTTACTGGCAGGCATACAGGACTCCAATATGCCTATGTAGCCCGGCATTGTGAAAAATGGTACCTGTTCGTCATGTTTGTGACTGGCTGTAGCATCCGCACCTGTGAAGGGCAAGCAGAGCTAACAGAAAGACTTCAGGAAGCCTCTGTAAATATGACTGTGGGGCACACAGGGCTGCTTGGCTATAAGTTTGGATTTTGAGGGCAGAAAACTTCCCAGCAGGACTCTGTTCCACCTTGCACTTTCTAGAGCTGTGGTTGCCCCCAGGGGGGCAATTTGATTTTTAAGGGGGGCAATTCGAGAATGTTTAGACCAAGTTCATGGTCTTCTAGGCTTCCTCCACGTGATTAGGAGTTCGCTTTTAAAAAAAATTAATAAGTATTATATGTCACGGGTGCAGGGCAGCAGGATTTTAGAGATACTTAGGTGGGGCATAAGGGACGCGGGTGGCGCTGTGGGTTAAATCACAGAGCCTAGGACTTGCCGATCAGATGGTCGGCGGTTCGAATCCCTGCGACGGGGTGAGCTCCTGTTGCTCGGTCCCTGCTCCTGCCAACCTAGCAGTTCGAAAGCACATCAAGGTGCAAGTAGATAAATAGGTACCGCTCTGGTGGGAAGGTAAGCAGCGTTTCTGTGCACTGCTCTGGTTCGCCAGAAGTGGCTTAATCATGCTGGCCACATGACCCAGAAGCTGTACTCTGGCTCCCTCGGCCAATAAAGCGAGATGAGCGCCACAACCCCAGAGTCGGCCACGACTGGACCTAATGGTCAGGGGTCCCTTTACCTTTACCTAGGTGGGGCACGGCCAAAAAAAAGGTTGCGAACCACTGTTCTAGAGTCTCTCGAAGATGGCCTTTTGGTATTAGCTGCTATCTGATCCTTTTTAGCTGAAGAAGCATACTCTGCTATTAAGAAGGGACCTTCTCCAGACACCCACGACCCTTGACGTGCACCACTTTCCCTTTGCGCGCTTGCCCATTCCTTTCCCATTCTAACCATTTCCCCTCCTCTATGCCGACTCAGCGGCAGGGTCCCCTCCCGGAAAGCATGGTCCACGTGATTAAAAAGAGCGTCTCCGAACATGCGCAGAGCGCACACCGTCGCATTCCCACAAGGGGTAAACAGAAGCTTGACAGGCAGCGGCGGCGGCGGAGAGGTTGAGACGTCAGCTCTGGCTTGCTTCCCCGCGCTAGTTCAGCAGCAGCAGCAACGCCAACAGCCGCTGCTGCAAAACGTCCGGGGATCCAGCAAGTCTGGGATCTGCGTGACGCGCAAGGGGCGTCCGCTCGCCAACCTCGCTCTCCAATGTGCTGCTGCTCGGCCCGAGAGGGGGCTGCCAGCTCCGCGGTTGTGCAGCCTGCAGCGAGAGCTGGAGCTCCGGCAAAGCGCAGCGGCGGAGCGCGGCCGAGTCACCCGGCCCGGCGCCATACTAACCTTCGCCGCCAATGCTTGCCGCTGCCAACCGGGGCCCTGGCGCGCTTGACGAAGGAGCCGCCGCGCCGCCGCCGGGCTTTTCGGGGCCCGCCTCTCCGTCGCCAATTCCGGCCTGCAACGCCGAGGAGCCGCTTGTCTGGCCTTGTCCCTGGCTCCCCTTCTGGGCATGCACGCGCGCAAGCTCGCTTCCAGGGAGCCGACCTTGATACGGGCGCGAAGAAGCGTCAACATATCCCCAACTCAAATAATGCGGGTGGGTGGGAAGGAAGCCGCTCCTCCCTTTGACTTCATTAAAACACACACACACATTCTGTATACTTTCCAATTAAAATTTAGCACCACGCTAAAAACACACACCGAACATTAACAGCAGAGTTGGATCCGGACCAGGAAAAGGAAAGTTTTCCTTTCGGCTGCTTAAAGCTCACTAGCAAGAATCAATGTGCGCAGGCATGCTGTTGAGCATGTGCAGAGTGCTACCTTTCTCACTGTCGCTGAAGCACACCCGGGCCCAAAAGGTGTATGCTACCTGTATGCTGTTGACCATGTGCAGAGTGCTACATTTCTCCCACTTGCTGAAGCATACCCGGGCCCAAAATAAAAGGTCGTATGCTGTTGAACATGTGCAGAATGCTACCTTTCACTATTGTCGAACCACACCCAGTCCCCAAACAGCCTAGGTAAGCGTTATTGGCTTCCTGGGAACAGATGGTGTAATTTTTTTGTCACAGTATACATTTTATAAGATGCTTGCAATGTGTTTTATTTAATTGAATTCCCTTATACATTTTAAAAAATACCTGTACAGTACGCTTTAAAACAGATATCCAGTTAGCTGATCACTCTAAAACCCAAAGGGAAAGCTATTAAATGTTTCAACATTTAGAATGAGTGGAGCATGAAAGGTTAAAAAGCTAGCATTCCTACCATATGTATTTATGTGTGTTCACTTGAATTAAGCATTTTTATCACCTCAGTTTTTGTTCCAGCGTGATGGGGGGGGGGGAGAGAAAAGAAAATTGCCAATTTTCAAAGGGATTATGTGCCAAGACTTTACCCAAGGCAGTTTTTAGGATTTAATTTCAGTGCTGTGCCAGCAGGCTCTCGGTCAAGTCCTGTGATACGAAAACGGTTTTCGTTTCTGTTCTTTTAAAGGCATATAGTATGTGACCTAATTTTGCAGGAGATTTCAGGTTGCCTTCCTATGCTCTGTTTTTGCACTCTTGCTTAACCTTAAAATAAGTAATGCAATGTTGCATCGTGTCTGATGGTCCATTTGTGGTCTAATTATTTGTTCCCTTTGACCGCTAGATGTCGCCTATGCACCTTAGTTTGGAAGTGTGTGTGTGTGTGTGTGTGTGTGTGTGTGTGTAAAAAGACAAGTTCCAAGCAGAATTGTGTCAGCTTATTCCATTTGATAGTAATTGCTTCACTGCAGGCAGTTTGTGAAATGGGAAGGAATGAGTCCCGCCTGAGCTATTACCAGGCTGAATTTCATTGGAAGGGTTAACTCCAGTCAGGAGCCATTAGCAGTTAGCGAAATAACTAAATACAGAGTATATAGAATGTGATATTGTTAGATTGCCTTCACAAATGTGTGCATATGTAAGGCTTGCTTTGACATCAGCAAGGAAGTGATAGATGGTAAGAGAACAAGTGTTATAGCATTATAAAGTCAAGAGAGCCCTGGAGTCATGTGACTGCTGGTGCTACTAAGCATTTATTCAGTATCGGAGCCGTGTGCTAGGCAACATCAGCACTCAGCTGGTGTTCTTTAATAGGAGAAACATGTGTATGGTCATCTTTAGCTGTTCATTGGGTTCTCTTTTAGCGGTTCTGCTGTGCAGCACAGCATATGAGAGCCACCTGCTAAAAAGCTGTTTTCGCCTTTCGAGGTGTGTGCAAGAGCACAGCGAGTGGTCCTGTGACTTGAAGGTCTAATGACGCTGTGTTTTTTTTTAATTTTAAAATTTAGACGTGTTGTGTTAAATTTCTATAGATTTTGTACATCGTGGCCCATTTGCAATAATGAAAATATTTTTCCATGCTGAAATTCAGTAATCTGTGTCCTATTTCTTCAAGGAAACAATAAAGGGCTGCTATTTTATCTCAGTTCTGAGTGCGTACAGTACTAAACCTCCTTTAACCATTTTATCCATGATGAGGAAGGTTAATTAAATAAATAATCCCAGTACATATTTAATATTTTCATAATATTTTTTGCAGCCCTGAAAGATAGTATGTTAACTTAACATCTTTTTTCTTGATATTTCCCAGGAAGAGAAAAAATATCTCTGGCATTTCCATTAACTACCTCCAGTTATTTTCTTGATAGATGTCCGCTACTTGTTTTCAAAATGCATAAATGCTTAGCCTTCATACATGCCTCATAGAAATGCCTGCTTGATTTCCGAGCTAGATTTTTTAAAAAAAATAAAAATAAAATCCCATGAACTATGATACCATCTGAGTGATCATTATATAAATGCTCGATTTTAAATATAAGTGCTCGATTTAATTGTTTTAAGTCAGCTCATTTGGAAGTACAGACCAACACTCAATACAAAATCAAAATAAAGCAGGGTTGCCACTCTTTTTGGGTCCGTGGGCTCATTTGCAAACCAGCAGAACTGTTGCTGGGCACCACATGATGCTGCAACTTTCCACTCTCCCTGAAATACGACTAGGACCTGGGAGACCAGGGTTCAAAACCCTACTCAGCCTTGAACCTCACTGGATGACCTTTGGCCAGTCACTGCCTCTCAGCCTAAACACATGTGGTTGCAGTGGGGTTTCAGTGAGGAGGAGAACCATGTACACTACCCTGAGCTTGGAGAGAAAGGTAGGATATAAATGCAGTGAATCATAAATTCATTCAGTTTATATACGGCCCTTCATCTGAAGATCTCAGGGCAGTTCACATGATAAAAATACAGGATAAAAGAAGAAAATAAAGAGTTAGAACAAAAACCAATTGAAACAAAACACACACACCCCCGCAAAAAAACCCCCACACATTTAAAATGCTGTAGAATATCAATCAGCCAAAGGCTGGTTAGAGAGGAATGTTTTTGCCTGGCAGTTAAAGATGTATAATGAAGGCACCAGACGAACCTCCCTGGGAAAGCATCCCACAAATGGGGAGCCACTGTAGAAAACACCTTTTCTCATGTTGCCACCCTCTGGACCTCTCATGGAGAAGGTCTATGAAGCAGAGCCTCAGATGAGGATTGCGGGGTCTGGGTCAGTTCATATGAGAAGAGACGGTCCCACCCTATGATTAGGCTTGAAAACAAGCCTCCTCTTGACTAAAGATGGCATCTTCCAAACGTAATTTCAACAGGGGGTTGCAACTCTCTGGGCTCTTGGAAAGAGCCTCTGCTAAAATGCAACTTGGTCTATGATTAAGTGTAACACTTAAAATAACTTTTATGAACTTTGAGGATGATTAAGCCCACTGGATACTGTTACCGAAACATACTAGGAAAGTTGCTTAAGTTAGTTGAGCATGAGATGCTTAATCTCTGGGTCGTGGGTTTGAGTCCTACATTGGGCAAAAGATTCCTGCATTGTTGGGGTTGGACTAGATGACCCTCGTGGTCCTTTTCAACTCTGTGATTATAGTCTATTCTACTAGCCATGATGGCTATGTTTTACCACCACTATTAGAGGTGATAGGGACGCGGGTGGCACTGTGGGTTAAACCACAGAGACTAGGACTTGCCGATCAGAAGGTCTGCGGTTCGAATCCCAGCGACGGGGTGAGCTCCCGTTGCTCGGTCCCTGCTCCTGCCAACCTACCAGTTTGAAAGCACGTCAAAGTGCAAGTAGATAAATAGGTACCGCTGTGACGGGAAGGTAAACGGCGTTTCCGTGCGCTGCTCTGGTTTGCCAGAAGCGGCTTAGTCATGCTGACCACATGACTCAGAAGCTGTACGCCGGCTCCCTCAGCCAATAAAGTGAGATGAGCGCTGCAACCCCAGAGTCGGTCACGACTGGACCTAATGGTCAGGGGTCCTTTTACCTTTACCTATTAGAGGTGATAGGCACCTGAAATACCAATTTCTGGGCATCCCAGGTGGGTAGAGTGCTCTTGTGTTCAGGTTCTGCTTGTGCGTTTCAAATGAGCATCTAGTTGGCTGAGTTGTTCTTATGTTCCAATTAAATGTGCATGGGATCACTTTTGCAACCATGGTAACTAAAATTTAGCACAAATTGGAAGGGTTTTAAAGTGATTTTTGAAGGCCAGCTGAACTTATCACCCATTGAATTTGTCAGGGGAAAAAATTTAGTAATTTTTGGGTAACGTGACGCACTAGTTTTTCATATAAATGATTCCACCTACCCAGGAGGAGCCATCAGTTGTACTGTACCTCATATGCAATCTAAAGAGCTACAGTCAGGAACATTTCACCACATATTGAGCTATTTGTCTAGAGAGCATTTACACTAAAGTATGTCCTTTTTCATAGTCTCCTTTGAGCACTTAACTCATTGCTCATACTGTAGTTTCTCAGTTTAATTGTTTGTTTTTATATATATGTGTGTGTGTGTTGCATTTGTTGTTTTGTTTTAAGCAGTATACAAATATATTAAATAATAATAAAAATAACAAACCACTCAAAAACTTGCAGCAAGCTGAAAAGGCAGCAGCATTTGGTAATGATTGCGTTGTGTCTACCTGCCCTCGATTCTTCCGTTTGCTTCTCTCTAATTTGTGTTTTAACTGATCAGTTTGTCATGGCAAAGGCTTTGGAAGGTGATTCCTAGAGAATGGTTAGTGGATAGAACAGAGTTATATTTTTTGGAGTGAAAAGCAAAACACTGTTCTAGCTTGTAGAGCCGATGGGTCACAATCCAGACACTAACTTTTGGCATGCTCAAGGGCTTCTGTGCACCCAGTGGGACTTCCCCCATTATGCAACGTGACAGGCAGTGTGGTATAGTGGTTATAGTTCTGGACTAGGACTTGGGTTCCTGGGATTCAAATTCCCCTTTGGCCATGAAGCTGACTTGGAGACTTTGCGCCATCATCTTGCAACTTCCCAGGGTTGTTGTGAGGATCAAATGGTGGGGAGAGAGAACTATGTATGTCACTTTGATCTCCCTGGGGGAAAGATGGAATAGAAACATAAATATAAATTACATTTTATTATTATTATAAAGTAAATAAATACCACAAACTGGTTTCTGAAATTCTCCGTGTTTTTGCATA